TTCATTAATTTTCTTCGCAGGCAAACTAGTCAACTAGTTTGAGTTGTCAGTGCAGTTTAATTGATATATTTACGTTTTAAAATGACACATGAACCGAACCTAATTATATCGGCGATGTGCTATAAAAATGTTCAGTTGCAACCGCAAATTGCGCTTTGAGACGACAATAACCGACGAAGACGGTAGATAGTTATAAAAGTATAAATATGATGAACAATTAGACTGCACAAGGATATCCTCAAGTTGGCAATAATGGAAATGTATTTATTTTCTCTTTGCTTTTCTTTTCGTTTTTTTTTTCCTTTGCATGACATAGGTATCATGATACACTGATGGATTGACTGCTAATAAATTCCAAGGCACCAAAAACAGATATAATTTTAGCCATGCATGCCGTACTGGTGAGGCATCATGAGGCGGAAACAAATATCTATGGCTGCAACATGTACATTATTGGTGGCATTAAAAAATTTAACAGAGTGCCTGTCACTCCCTTCCTCTCTCTCCTATCTAAACACTGAAGTTGACGAGGTCTCCACTTTGTTATTACTATTGTACGCGACCTTTTGGTTTTTTTTTTTTCTCGGCCTATCCTTTTTCTTTTCTCTCGTTTTCGGGAAGGAAATGTAATAAAAAAAATTTGCATTGGCGAGAAGAAACTTGACAGTCATGAACAGAATTTGCTCATTTTTCGTGGTGTATGTTGCCTAAAAAAAAAAACACCTGCCAAGGGATTACTCAAAAACACTTCAAGTCGTGACGTTTTCACTTTACTTGATGGTTCTCAAGAAGTTTCAGCATCAAGTACAGCGTGTGCACCTGCCAAGGAGAACTTACTAATTTCAATAAAACATTATTATTTTGCAGTATATTATAGTGGACTTCATTTTAACAGGGATCGTGCGTGGCATTGATGGACTGATAGCCATTTGACCCTTGACATTATAGGTATAGGAAATCGCATGAGCGAAAGTACATTATATCTCTTCTTGCAATATAAATTACTACAGTGGACTTAATTTAACAAGGATCGTACGTGACAGGGATAGACCTGATGGCTCTGTGGCCCTCGATAAAATTATAGGAAATCGCATGAACGAAGGTGCATTCTAACTCTTCTTGCAATATATTACAGTGGATCATTTTAACAGGGATCGCGCGTGACAGTGATAGACCTGATAGCTTCGTGGCTCTTAATATAAGCATAGTAAATCGCATGAGCAAAGGTGTATTCTAACTCTTCTTGCAATACATTACAATGGATCATTTTAACAGGGGTCGTGCGTGACAGTGATAGACCTGATAGCTTCGTGGCCCTGAATATAAGTATAGGAAATTACATGAACGAAGGTGCATTATAACTCTGATCGCCGTATATTACAGTGGACTTCATTTTAACAGGAATCGTACGTTAAAGTGTTAGAACTGATAGCTCTGTGGCCCTTAAAACAAGTAATGAACAAAGGTGCATAATAATTCTTCTTGCCACTTCATTTTAACAGGGATCGTATATGACAGTGATGGAGATGATAGCTCTGTGGCCCTTAATATAAGTACAGGAAATCGCATGAACGAAGGCGCATTCTACCTCTAGTGTCCTTTGATTCCTACAACACCTCAGTCATGTTTCTCAAAGTCTTTAATGGTTCAGTTTTTGAAAGTTCGTTCCTCCCCCGTCGGCGAGGTTCTTGCACAAAGAGCAACGTAAAACTACCTTTTTTTCTTCTTAAAAACGACTTCGAAGCTTCATCCGAAATAAATAAGTTCTAGTGAGTTCCAAAAATATCAAATCAGTTATACGTTCTACGTGTAAGGAAACTATACAATTTATTTCGGAACACAAAGTTTCAACGACATCGCAACAACGCTTCACTCAAACACGTGTAGTACTTGCACCACTCCATTTCACCTAAAAGTGAGTACAGGATCAACCAAATATATGTGTATAGAGATATAAATGAAGAAGAAACAATGAATCACAATCTGATTTCTGAGTGAAAATAAGTTTACACATGCAAGCTCTGGTGAGGTATATTAAAAATTTCTGAAGTAGTTTAGTAAAGTATTCTTCAAAAATAGTCTAGGTATGCACGTTATACGAAATGTTTTTCAAAGTACACCCTTGCAGTATCTATTCTCTTATCATGTTGAGTTAGTTGAGATTAAAACACTTTAATAAGATTCATGTCCTCTGTTGTCTTAACGCTTTGAAGTTTTCTCCCGCTATAGTGTGGTGTCGGGTTAGTCACACTGTTTGTCCCGCCTAGTTTCTGGGGCTCTGTTTCAGGGTAAATCCTGTTATTTGGGCGGCAGGGGAAAGAGATAGTACCTTTGATCTTCTCCCTAAATCTCTGGTTGACCGGAGCGTATACAAGGGGATTGATGACAGAATAAAGCATTATCATTATAGACGCTGCGGCATATGTTACATCGCCTAAGGAGTGACTAGGACTCAAAGAAGACGATCGAGTCTGTAAGCCAATAGACTCCGAAAATAATACTGACAAGGATCGCCATCAAAGCGCTCGTTTGCGAACTTTCGTCACTCCCTAAATACAGAGATCAGTCAAATTCAGTCCTAGTAGTATTTGCAGAGTGTTCGCAAAGGGATTATAAGACAAATACTCTCCATTTTGGTTATTGATGGACTCAAACGCTAAGGAATTATGTAAAATCTACCTTAATAAGTCATATTGGTGCTTACTTTGGATCATAGCTAGCAATATATTTACGCTTTAGATGTTAATTATGCACTGTGGAAGTGAGTGGAGGGATGTGAGTAGAGTATGTAAGCAGAGGGCAACGTTGAGTTTCTTTAATTCATTTCATTTTAGGCAAATTAAAAAAGCAAGCAGATAAATGACAGATTTTAATAAAATGGAGGTTCCCCTTCAATATAATTCTCTTTAAAGAATTTTGATACATTTTACCAACCTGTTGCCAGTTGGTGTGATCGATAGGCGTTTGATCCACAATCTGTACACCACTCTGTCTGGAGGATAGTATAATCATTACTGGCGCTGGGAAAACTCCAAGAGCAAACCACCAAGTTATAGCATAAGTATAATTATAGGCTGGATGATAAGTAGCTGAAGTCTTCACCTCAGCAACACGAGGATCTAAGCTCTTCCAATTTTGAAGCACTTACCTTGGAATATACTTCAACGATATGAGCTACGGTCTGTGTTGTTCCATCACGCGCCATGGTAACATGTACAAATAATGACAGTTCATTGGGATACGTATGTATCCTACCGTAGATTAGCTTTTTGCGCCTGTATTATTTATATGTCAAACGATTTCAAATTTCATAAAAAAGGAAACCAATAGATACAGAGCAAATAAATTACTTTTGCTACATGATTACTCACACGATCAAAGTTTGCTTTATGACTTCAAGTTCGACTTGGACGTGTGTCAAAGAAAACAATTGTCAATTGTCGAACTGTCAATTCTAAATAAACCGAAGGACCTTAGCGTATTTTTTTGTGAATCGCACTCTCGTTTAAGGGATTCTTGTACTTCCAAATTCAGTAGTCGTTTGTAGTCATCTCACAAGTATGCCTTCGTTCTTTACATTCAGGCTACTCTTACTTTACTCCCGCCGCAGTTTCTAACTCAGTATTCTCAATTCTCAGTATTCTCCCAACCAATTTTACATGAATGCGTTGTAAAGCAAAATTGTTTTTACTTTGTTGTTTTTTTATCCGGTTTTATGATCGTTTTGATTATTTGATATGTTTGGTTTACCTCGAGAATCTATAACGATCTGAGCCGAGTAAAAACGTGCTTTTCATAAATTCGATACAGGTGGCTGTATTTGAAGAGAGCGGAAGGTGTAAAAGAGACTTCAAGATAACATCGTTTTTGAAACAAAGCATCGACACAAGCTATAGCGTTCGTTTTTTTCTAGCTTAGACGTGCTGGTGCACGGAAGACTAGTTTTAGCTGTTAATCATATCACATGTTATAGTATCCTCTATGCATTATTACCATTTCATATTGTTTGTCTCCAGCTCTTGGTCTGTGTTATTCAGTTTTTTTCTTGTAATTCAGAAAACTTGTGAGCAAAACAAAAAGCAGATACGGAATGAAACAGAGATGAAAATAGAGATGTAAATTGTAAATCCTCCTTATTTTCATTATTGCCCTCTAGTTAATCATTAATATAGAAAGCCTGCCGCAAGAGTGGATACAAACGTGAATTAGAGAGATCTTAGGTGAAGTCTTCTCAAAGTGAACGTACGATACATTGGATTTATTGAGAAGAGACTGCGAAATGTGCTATTGTCTTTTTTATCCGTTACAACTGCTGGTAGAGGCGAAAATTGCGAACAAAATGTCCTTCACTGTAGCAAAATATAAATTTCGCCTTAAAACGCTCTTTCGAGCTGAGTGTTATCCATGCATTGTATTAAAAGCGGTTGGCAAAAATCGCAAATTAAAATGTCCTGTAGATCTTTAGAAAAGCAGACAGTCAAAATACTCTACGCCCCAGAATAAGTGGTTTATTATACGAAAAAAAATACCTTATTACGTTTTCAAGACATGATGTTTGGCCGGAACAAACATCTCAAATGGAAACTCTCGAAATGATCAAATGCTTTTATTCAGTCCGGTGGTATCCGTCTGTTTTAAGGACCAATGTATTAAGAAGAGTAATTAGACTCGAAAGCTAAGCCTCACATCCTTTTTTCAAAGAAAGTGAGACTTAATTTTAATTTCAACACACAAAGGAAGCCCTTGCCAAACGCAATACAACGCAATGTTAGAAACTAAAACACTGAAAGATACACCTTGGTCAGTTTGTGTTTTCACAATCTGTTTGATTCCCACGCAAGCAGCATCCGACCGCGTAAACTGCTACCGTAGCCTGCTAATTAACTGTCAGAAAATAATATTGACAAATGAAGCAGTACAAGTGTTAACCGGCAATACAAGTAAATAGATAATAGCACACGTTCATTAAGTCAAGTGTTTATTATGAAATCTTTCCTTGCTAGGCTGAGAATATTGAAACATTACGAAGAATTCTCCAGTATGAAAATTTACCAGAAAATCAGCTTTGCCAAATAAATGCATTTGGGGCTGTTACCTTTTTCCTGTTTTAGAACTGAGAAGTGAATAAGCTGTCACCCAGGATGAAAAATTGATCATTACCCTGGCTGAAAAATTCTTTTTCAGGCTGATGTTTAGTGTACGGGCAATTTCCTCATCATTAACATCACTTTAGAACGAATTTCTCTAATTCGCCAACAGTAGACGAAAGGATTTATAGAAGAATTAAGAAAAATTACAAAAGATGTTAGATTTGTTGATAACACTACTGGGGAGCTATATCCCAACAATGCTACCCCAACTATGGCACAGAAATAAGGAGTGTAACATGCTACAAGAAATCCGAAAACTGTCAGCATACTGTTTACAGATTTACGGTACAGAATCATGTTAAAAGTCTTTCGAGGTTGCCTTGTGGCAGCCTCGTTTGTTACTCTTGTCTTTGAAGCCCTCAGAGTTTGATATATTCTAAAATAGCACGAAGACGTTATGACAATGGAGGAAAAGCCAAGAATAATGGCACTAATTTTATTGATTCGAATATTCCACATTCGGGAGACCGCCCAGATAGAGCTGCAAATCCACAGAAGTACTACAACCAAAGTGACTTTTTTCACGGTTGTAATCAGTCCGTATCGTATTCTGAGTCTCAACGCCAGATATCTTTCAATGCTTATTGCTGTCGTGGTTGAAAAAGACACGGCACAGAAGAAGTAAGCCACTACAGCATAAAACGGCTGAATCGAACAAAACAATTCAAGATTACCGTGGAGAGCCCCCAAAGCTGTGGCAACTTGTAACGGTTGAGCGACCATACCAACTCCAAAATCAGACAGAGCTAAGCTGTAAAAAAGAGCTTTGGACGACGAAGAAATCGTGCGGCACTGGAAGAGGGCGAGTAAAATTATCGAATTTTCAACAGTTGCAGAAATTGAAAAAACCACATTCACAACGCACAAGAACACGTACCAGTGACGAGGCGATTTGCGTATAAACTGGTACTCACGAAAATCTTGATCAGAGCAAGAAGTATTGTATACTTCCATTTAAAAACTGTTTGTAAAATTGCTTGATCGCCTTACGTCTCCGGAGAATTACTAAAAGTTTTAGAGGCTCAGAGAGATTGTCAGCTTATCCCCATAAAGATGTTGTGCCTGATGTTTCGAGGTTTAATTAAAAGTCTTTATACACCTATCGATGGTTTTTCCATGTCAACATGAACAAAGGAGATGTCAATGGCGCCAATCAGATTCAAGCTTTTGACTTTCAACTAAAAGGAAAATATTCATCAAGCCAGCGTTGTTTTATTTTCCTCTAGTGATCCGGAAAGAAATTAGTTAATTGGCGACAATGAAAACGAGGGGTATGTAATTGCGATTGTACTAAAGAGATGCACAAATGTTTGCGACTTCGCAAGTATGATTACTCTGTGAATTGCAAAATGCTGTACCTCTTGCTAAGTACCGTATGAATTAAGTCTAACTGTGTTCATGAGAAAATGAAAAAATGATCGTCAATCAATAAAATTATCGTACTTTTCTAAATTGCTCACGAAATGGCCCTATTTTTTTACAGCACGCGTAAAAGCCAGATCTGATTACGCTGTTCTGACGCATTTCATTGAAGATTCAATGTCGTTAGTTGTGCAGTAGTCGGCGGTTGGAGCCCAATTTCACAAATTGTGCTCAAACTCGCCAACCACTATTCTACTTACCATATTATGGTTATTATTTGATGAAATTATACTATAATAAAGACATAGAACTTCGAGAACCCAAGGATGTTTTCATTTCTCAGAAATTGACGAACTACTCACGCACGACGTCATTGAATAAACAGGAACTTGCTGACTCATCCATGGGACTTTCCTGAGGAAGTTGTTCGTAGCATTTATATAGTCCAGCTGGCATCGACCAAAAAAAAAATTCGTTCAAATTAATGATAAAAGCATGAAACTTTGCTACAACACTTATGACCCTAAGACTGACATTTTCGGATATGGGGCCGATTCAAAATAACTTCTGGAGACGAGAACCACGCATGGGAATTCTGTTATTGGTATGCTGGAAGCTTCATCTTTGAACTTACTAATTACTTCCTTTTTTGTTTTATCGAAATATCATGAGTATTCTGGATATTCGCTGTCGAATTTATTTTCATCGCTTCAGAGGTCTTTTTAAACGTCTTCGATTTCGATTTCATAAGTTAGACTGTCTGTATCAGTAAAGAGTAATTTTTCTTCGCTGTTGTGTTTGTTTTGATGTCATTTGCAATGGAAATCGTACATTAATGTTCTAGAAAGATCTAGAATGCTCATTCCTACGTGTAATGACACGAGGAACAACCAGGATAAGAAACTGAGACGTTGAGCCTTGCCGCAGTTTCACTCGCAATTTTATATTTAATAATCTATATACACTCATCGATGGTTTTTCTATGTCAACATGAACAAAGGCGATGTTAATGGCGCTAATCAGATTCAAGCTTTTGACTTTCGACTGAAAGGAAAATAAACATTAAGCCAGCGTTGTTTTATTTTACTTTGACGATCCGGATCACAATCGGAAAGAAGTAAGTTAATTGGCGACAATGAAAACAGGGGGATGTATAATTGTAATTGTGGGTGTTTTATTTACCACGCAGACACCTGTTTCTTTGGACTCGATGATTAAATGTGTGCGACTTCGCATGAATGTATATTCTGTGTATTGCAAAACGCTGTACCTCTTGCTAAGTACCGTATGAATTAAGTCTGACTGTATTCATGAGAAAATGAAGAAAATGATCGTCAATTAATAACTTTATTATACTTTTCTAAATTGCTCTCGTCATTGTCCTCTTTGTATTTTACAGGTCGAAATGAAGTTTTCGTTAGTAGTACAGTAGTTGGCGGTTGGAGCCCAATTTCACAAGTTGTGTTCAAACTCGCCAACCACTGTTCTACTTACCATATTATGGTTATTAATTGGTAAAATCGTACTAAAATAAAGACAAAGAATTCGAGAAATCCAGGATGTTTTCATTTCTAAGGAATTGACGAACTACCCACGCATTGACGTCATTGAATGACAGGAACTTGATGCCTTACCAATAGAACTTTCCTGAGGAAATTGCTCGTGACATTTAAATAGTCCAGCTGTTATCAACCAAAAACACTAAATCGTTCAAATAAGTATAGGCAATCACATGATTTCGAGTCCAATTCTTAATCAATAAGCTCGAGTAAATTTTTTCAAAGACTGACAAAATTGTACGAGCCAGTAGGGCGAGTGCAATTCTTTGAAAAAATTCAACAGGTGCTTATTAATTCCAAATTGCTCGAGAAAAATCACGTGATTACGTATTAATGATATACATGAAAAAATGCGAGATAGCTTATCATAGTTATGCAGAAGCAAAGCGCGCGCATCAACTGCAAAAATAATTTACTCAAAGCCTGCAAGTGACTTTGTGCGTTCGGTCAAAACAACCGCGTACGATCAAAACAATAATATACAATAATATTTTGACATCTTCAAGGCGCAAAAAAGTTCAAAGTCCGGCTAAACAGTACAAGGAATTGTTCAGTCTGCGTCAGAATCACTTTCGATGAAATGGAATCATCGTTTCCGCGGTTTCACCATGTTTGTTTTTAATTTCAGCGTAGTATCGCTCGAACAGAGTGTTAAGCTGGGTCGGCTCGTAATTTTCGATTTCCTTGGCAATTCCCTTCTCTGAACACCACTTTTTCCAAACCGAAAACCAAAGAGCAATGCTTTTTACAATGGTTTCGTTGTTAGAGCTGTTTTTCAGCTGCTGTATTGTTGTTGAGGTAGCGAAATAAACCTAAATAAATGCCGGCCATTGTTTTGCTGGCAAATTTTCAGCGCATCCAAATGTTGCGATATCCAAGGCCCGCACTCAATTGGCTATCTGTGAGTTTCTTTGTTTATTGACCAATCAGAATATCTGGTTTGTTACATCTTTGCACTGAATTAACTCTCTTCTGCACTGAATTACCTGAAAACTGCATTTATCCTAACCAATCAGAATTGAGTGATTTTTTTATATTCATTATTAATGATAGAGGCATGAAACGTTTTACAACACTTATGACCCTACGACTAACATTTTTTCATATAGGTCCAATCCAAGTAAACTTCTGGAGACGAGAACCACACATGTCAGAAATTCACTAACATGGCTAAGAATGAAAATCCTCTTAAATGACAAATGCTTTCCAACATAGCCCATTGTCGTGATATTGCGTTACACGGTCACGCCACTGGGCCGATGAACATCTTTATATTTAGAAGACTAGGGAGACAACGAATACACACGTGGCGGCAGTCGAGTTCGCACAATAAACAACCCTTTTGAGTTCACAGAATCGTGACATGGTGTCAGGAGTGGGATCTGTTCACCCCTAAAGATGACAGAAGCAGCTGAAGCATCCATAGTTGTGCCACCAGCGCCGACTCAAGTTTTTATTCCCCCGTCAAATTTGCCCCCGCCGAAAGCGCTTAATTTTGACGACAATTTAGCCACCGCATGGAAATCGTGGAAAGCAGCGTGGCAGCGCTACGAAATCGCTACTGGTGTATATAAACAAGAGGGCATAGTTCGTGTGTCGACATTACTAAGCATTATAGGCGAGGATGGCGTCAGAGCCCACGATACCTTTATTTGGAACGAAGACGAAAACGCAGACGACATTTCACAAGTCCTGAAGAAGTTCGACGAATTCTGCATTCCTAGGACACAGGTCATATATGAACGCTATAGGTTCAACAACCGAAACCAGGAACCAGGCGAAAAAATCTCGACGTATCTTACGGAGCTTCGAACGATCGCAAAAAACTGTGCACACGATACAATCACACCAGATGAAATTTTGCGTGACCGCCTCGTGCTAGGCATACGGGATGATCGCGTCCGCGAGAGACTTCTCCGTTTGAATGATTTATCTCTCCTACAAGCAGTTGACATTATTAAGTCGTCAGAACAGACCCAACAGCAAGTAAAGCTAATGGCTGGAGGAGACACTGCAGTTCATGCGTTACGGAAGGCGGGATCGGCAGAAAAACCTGAAGAAGAACGACAACTTAAGTCACAAGCATTTAGAAGACCGTCTAAAGAATGTGGAAATTGCGGAATGGTGCATGGACGTCATTGTCCCGCGTATGGAACAACATGTTTTAACTGTGGGAGTATGAATCATTTTGCGAATAAATGTCGCGCTAATCCCCGAGGAGTGAAAAGTAGAGTTTCGGCGGTCCACGAAGCCGTCGACATGGGAAACGACCCCTACTACATTGGTGCTACTACTAGTAAGAGCAAAGGCCAGGAAAAATTGGCAGTGGTCAAACTCCACATTTATGGGCCAGATCCCAAGACAGAAGTCCAGTTTCAAATAGATACTGAGTCGCAGTGCGACATTCTCCCGGCCCAATTATACAAGCAAATCACTGGGGACACCCTCCTTCATCGCCTCAAACCATGCCAAAAGGAAATAGTCTCGTACACAGGGGATCGCCGCAAAATTGCTGGTAAAGCTACCCTGCCTGTGTGGTCCCGTGGACAGCGGAGGTCAATGGAGTTTAACATCTTAGACGGAGACTATCAACCGATTTTATCATTGAACACCAGCCTCAATCTTGGCTTTGTGAGTTTGAATAATTGTGACGTCCTAGCATTACACGTCAAGTGTCCCAAAGCCTCCTTGCTCGAAGAGTATGAGGACGTATTCGACGGATTAGGGGCCCTACCGGGAACATACAAAATAGCCATAGACGAACAGGCGCAACCAGTTGTCCACGCACCGAGGCGAGTGCCAGTAGCCTTGCGTCCATGCATCAAAAACAAGCTGGACGAACTTGTTGATCGTAAAGTTATTATTCCAGTAACAGAACCGACGCAGTGGGTATCCAGCATGTTGGCCATAGTGAAGCCAAACAAAGTACGCATCTGTATTGACCCGAGAGATTTAAATCGTGCCATTCGGCGAGAGCATTACCAGTTGCCGACGATCGATGAAGTGGCCTCCCGCTTAACAGGTGCCAAGAAATTTACTCTTTGTGACGCCAAGGATGGTTTCCACCAAATCCTCTTAGACGATGCTTCTAGTTTCCTGACAACGTTCAATACGCCTTTTGGGCGTTATAGATGGGCCCGCATGCCTTTTGGTATCTCAAGTGCGCCTGAAGTTTGGCAGCGACGCATGCATGAATTCGTAGAAAATTTAGAAGGAGTTGAAGTTATCGCTGACGACTTCCTCATCGCTGGATTTGGCGAAACTGACGCAGAGGTCAACTCGAGCCTTGAAAAGAACGAACGTGCGTTCTTCAAGAAATGCCGGGAGTGGAACCTCAAGCTCAACAAACTCAAGCTGAAAAGATCTCAAACCGAAGTGCGTTTCATGGGCCACCTCTTGACTCCTGATGGTCTAAAGGCAGACCCAGCCAAAGTTGAAGCTATTTTGGATATGCCACCGCCGACTGATGTGAAAGGCCTGAAGAGGTTTTTGGGGATGGTCAATTATCTGGCCAAATTCTTGCCACTCCTGTCCGACATGACAGAACCTTTGCGAAGGCTTGAGGACAAGGACGTCGAGTGGTGTTGGCTTGCACAGCATGAGAAAGCATTTACCACAGTCAAAGAATACTTGGCCAAGGCCCCGGTACTGAAATACTATGATGTTACTGAAGAAGTGACAATCCAATGCGATGCCAGCATAACGGGTCTAGGTGCAGTACTGATGCAAAAGGGTCAGCCCGTTGCCTTTGCCTCGCGAGCTCTGACCGACACCGAAACGCGTTACGCTCAAATCGAGAAAGAGCTCCTCGCCATAGTGTGGTCAACCGACAAGTTCAATCAATACATACTGGGACGCGAAGTTGTACACATCGAGTCTGACCACGAACCACTAAGGGCAGTTTTTACCAAGCCAATACACAACTCACCAAAGAGACTCCAGAGAATGCTGATGGCCCTTCAGAATTACTCCCTGGATGTGCAGTATAAAAAAGGAGAACTTATGTGGGTATCAGATGCACTGAGTCGAGCATACCGCAACACCACCGAAGCCTCCAAGCACGATACAAGTCTGATCTGTACACTTGCCGAGATAGATCATTCAGAAAACCTCTCGATTGCACCATACAGGCTCGCTGAATTCAGAAACGAGATTGCCAGGGACCCAGTGATGCAAAAGCTAATCGGAGCAATCAAGGGTGAATGGCCAGTGTCAAGGAAGTCCTGTACCCCTGAGCTGACGCCTTACTATGACAAACGAAGTGAGCTTATAGAAGACAAGGGACTAGTATTCCTGGGGGAGCGATTGCTGGTACCCCCTTCCCTGAGAAAAGAAATGTTGAAGCAAATTCACCGATCACATATTGGAATCGAAGGGTGTTTACGTCGCGCTAGGGAGGTCCTCTATTGGCCCCTCATGAATTCGGAAGTAAAGGACTTTGTTTCCAAATGCTCAATCTGCCAGTCGTACCAGCCAGATCAGTGCCGCGAGGAATTGCAACCGTATCCGATCCCGTCGCGTCCCTGGTCGATGCTAGGTGCCGATTTTTTTTACCTTGGGCAACAACATTTCTTTGTCCTAGTCGACTACTGGAGTGGGTTCTTTGAAGTCCAGGAGGTTAAGGTGGCCACATCTGCTAGCGTGATAGCTGCGTGTAAAGTACAATTCGCCCGCCATGGGATACCAGACGTGCTTATTACCGACAACGGACCTCAGTTTACGTCATCGGTGTTCAGTGCATTCGTGAGAGAATGGCAGTTTGAACATAGAACTTCGAGCCCCCGTTACCCCCAGTCAAATGGCCGCGCCGAGAATGCCGTGAAGACCTGCAAGAACTTGATGACGAAAGCGAAAGCGGATGGGCAAGACCCGCTGTTAGCCCTTCTCGATTGGCGCAACACCCCAACAGAGGGTCTAGGAACATCACCCGTACAGAGACTGATGGGACGCCGCACACGCACTTTCTTACCAACCCATGAAACGCTCCTGCGGCAGCCATCACACCAGGAAACAGCCACCAAATTAGCTGAGCGCAAGAAAAGACAAGCTCAACAATACAACAAAAAGTTTCGCCCTTTAGAGGCACTAAAGTGTGGACAGGCCATCAGGATGCGGCTTCCCGGAAGGGAGGAATGGAGTCTGGGGACCTGCATGAAAGCCTTGGGGAACAGGTCTTATGAAGTTGAAGTTTGCGGCAGGCGATACCGACGCAACCGTCGGCAACTGCGCCTGACCCCGGAAACAGCACCACCTATGAGTCTGGTAGAACTAACTCCGCCCGAGTCTACCCTCAAACCGGCGCCAAATCTGACAGAGCCAGGACCTCCTCCACCGGATATCCATGGCGAGACCAAAACAGAGAGAATGCCACCTGAAAATGAGATGGGAACTGAGCTTGAGCCACAAAGGATTGAAACTCGTCGATCAGAACGCAGACGTCGACCGCCTTTGTGGCATCAGGATTACCATATGAACTGAACATTGAATGATTGAGCCGCTAAATAGTTGTTGGGTCTGTTTCTATCTTTTTATGATTTCAATGAAGAACAATGTTTTATCGATTTTATGTGATTTGAACAGTGATCGAAACCGAACATTAATTATTAATTAACTTTTGAAGATAAACTTTGTAAAAAGGGGAAGATGTCGTGATATTGCGTTACACGGTCACGCCACTGGGCCGATGAACATCTTTATATTTAGAAGACTAGGGAGACAACGAATACACACGTGGCGGCAGTCGAGTTCGCACAATAAACAACCCTTTTGAGTTCACAGAATCGTGACACCCATGAGTCATTTTCTAACCATTTGTATTCATCTTATCCCATCATGAGACTATCTTTGATATTTATCACAATATTTGGGTACCCTGTGGTCAAATATCAATGATGAATGGTGTGTGAAATATAAGAAAACAATTGTAGCGATACGAAACAACATGGCTCTGAAGTCCCGCTCATGGGTCACAAAGCTTAAGAGTAAATGTCAATAAAAATCACAGATTATCGAAAAAGTCGCGGACACGGTCGAAAATCGATTTGGTTCATTTTTTGCCTGTGGGTAGTCTTATCTAGTAAACAAAAGGAAATGGGGTTAGATTTTTTAAATATGCACTTTAGCGGGAATAATTTGCTTTAACATTTCCGGGGTTAAATAGCTCAAATTTCACCAAGCGCGATCCTGAAATTATGCACTTTTCGAGCACTTGTCGTGCTAACAAAAATGTAACGGAAGAACTTTTCTAGTTATAGAAATATTGAGTTGGACTTGCATTATCGAGGCAAAGTGACAGTTTTTGTCTCATGTTATTCTTGGCGGAGCTACGTCCCTATTAAGAGACGACATCTTCGGCCTTTTGAAATTAAGGCAAAGGTGGCCTAGAATAGCTTGGCAAAAATACATGTGGTAGTGTCTCAAAGTTTACAATAACACTACCAAGAAGCCTTGAAAGATAGTTCTTTACGATTTGGGTTTTATTTCTTTGGGACCTTTGACTATCAAAAGATGACCACCAGCCGAATTTCGGTTAAATTACTATGACGCCATAATGAGATGCATAATAACAAAATTAAATGCGTTGGACACAAATAACTGTTTTGGTCAGTTATGTCTTCACACTAAATGACTAGAAACATATTAAAATGTCTATAACTACACTTATCTACGGAGACAGGAGAAACAATTTTCGACTTTGCTACCCTGAGAATCACGCCATAATTCTGCATAATCTATCACACAACAGGTTAAACAGTTGAATTGCACTCAACAGGTTAAATGTGGCTCAAAGCCGTTAGTTTACGTTTACTTCTCATCCGGTGAACATGGATTCGAGCATTTGCATCCCCTCTGCGCCTTCTACACTCGCCAGTTTCGAATATACTGAAAATCGTCCAACACAAAGGTAAGAAGGTTTCACAAGCAGTGGTGGGCTCGAGTGACTGAAATCCGATATGTAGGACTCTGCTGTCACGCAACGCCTTCTTGTAAATAATACACGCACCGCTTTTATGATCAGCGGATCAGTTACTCGTAAAACGTTCAGTGCTCAGTTACTTGGAAGAGCAGGTACACTCTTGGACTAATTGTGTGAGTCGTGCGATGAATGGCTTTTTCCTCTTTTGAGGTGAAATGTCAGAAATATCCAGCCCAAGGTCGATGCACGTGTCTCTTAGCCTATCCACTCTTAAAGTTGTGATTGTACGTTTTTGTACAAGTTCGCAGATGTTAAGATCGAAAGATACAATCGGATGCTGAATAGCCACATCTCTCATCACATTTGCACACACTGCAGATAGATGCTTCTCAGCTTCGGCGGAGATTTCGTCCTCGTCGACGCTCTCCATATCCACTTCTGAGACTTCACTAGCTTTTGCTTCGTTATCGGCGGCTGTAACTTCTAATCGCTTCTTTCCTGAAAGACGGCTGAAGAAGCCACTAATCTGCTGCGACGTAAGGACTTCATCAGGTTGAAATCGGCGTTCCCCCGCTTGGTCTCTTGCTAGGCTCATGGTTTTCGAAACTTCCTGTGGATCGCTTTTCCGTCCACTATACTCCCCTTTTTGAAATTGGTCAGTTAAGAATTCGGTCTGTTCCTTTGTAAAACGCACCTTTTTCTTAATTTTCTTCAGGGCCCAACCCATTGGAAGAGGAGGCAAGCCGTCACGCTTTGATTGTGCAGCAATTTGAACGCTTGGTATTCGACTGCGTCCCTCCGTCAGCTTGGAAGAATATTCTCTTTTAGCTTTATCGTAGAGAGTTTCCTGTTCGAGCATCATTTGGTGTTTTCCAGTATCTAGGTGTGTCTGGAGGTTTGCAAAGCGACTGTATGCTTTTACACATCCTTCTTCTGGACACGGGAAAAGCATGTCATCTGGCTTATATTCCCCAATACAGCGTCGATCTTGGTTTTCGCTTTCAGTTGAGAAATCTGCTTTGACAGAGCTTTTCTTAATATGTCGGTGTCCCACAATCTTGAACGTCGGTGAACCACTTGGATTTGGCGATGGCGGGTCTAGGATTTCCAATTTTTCGGGCTGCTTCATGACTCCTTCGAACTTGGCCCATGGCACTACTTTACCGGAACCCACATTGAATGCTCTCCACACTCGTACGCCACTTTCATCGTACTCAAAATTGTTGAGTAAGCTTATGCCATCCCATTTGATATTAAAGGTGCATGACGGTTTGGCAGTAACATAACTTGCTTTCACTCCTGTGGTTCCTTGGCCAGATTCAATGGCTGTTTTGAACTGTAGAGCGTTGATGACATCATTGCCTTCGTTTACGTACCTTCCAACGTCTCCCTTGATTGTTGCCGCTTTGCGATCACATACCCCCTTTCCACCTTGAGGGTCCGAAAAGTCGTTTCTTACAACAGCCACTCCCACGGCATCACCGGCCAGCTTAGCTGAGATGATTGAATTTCCGCTGTGATAACAGCCAGCGTTATCTTGTTTGTAATAAGCCATTTCCAGCTCTGGAATTTCCTTTTTCAGGGTAGTGAGGCAGTCAAGCATTATCGAAGCCACAGTCACACTGTCTTGGGCGCAGCTTTGGAATACGTGAACAAGTGTTTGCGATTCAAAGTGCTCAGAATCCTCTGACCGTCTTATGGCAACGCTAATGTGCCATGGCAATCCTCGCTTCGCAAACCAATCTGACTGTGCCTCTCGATATTTTCGGGGCATATATTTCATTGCCCAGTCCTGGACTAACAGCACCGATCGGCTGTCGAGTTTGGCTAAAACTGAATGCTTTGCCTCAGCTTGGTGGACTGAACGTAGCTGATGGGCTTTCCAGCTGATGATATCATCCCTTGCCTGTTTAATGGTATGCAGCATGTCAGCTTGATCTTCTGCTGACGAGAGCGCACTTGAACACTCATCTTCTATGGTACACAATACTTCTTGTAAGTCATAACACTGTTCACATGACTCATTGTGGAGATGGTCGCAGGAGCCCCGAAATTCAGCATTGCTTGGGTCACTTAGCGCAAAAATTCGACAATGATCGGGAACCTCACAGGCCTCCACTGCATGTACCTAAAATAAAAAGTAAAATGACGAGCGCGTGATTCAGTGTATAGTTGCAAAGCAACGCATGCGCATATGATCGACATTTCAAAAAGATTACTTAACCGATTCTCAGCGTTGTATACATGTGTGTAAGCGTATTACAGTGAATTTTAAACTGTTGTTTCATAAATTAAGCATAAAGAAGACTTGGAGGGAAAGAAAGAGGTAGCCGTGAATCATAGTAAGAAGTTTACTGCATTTGCAAAGGCAACGCATAATTATAAAATATGCACCCACTTTGTAGTCGCCCTTTAGGTACTGCTTCGACAAACGAAGTTGCTGCTTAATTTCCCTCGCCCATTGCTGAGTCTTGCCACAGTCAACAAGCTTATCTACGAGTTTTTCTAAAGCATCAAATGCTTCCACCCCTGATGCTGAAAAGTTATCAAGTCCTTGCAGAGACTTCCGAACAGATGAAGAACACACGGCCAAAACTCTCTGTAGCGTTCTCTTACTCATAGGCTCAAAGTTGGTTTCACAGCAGTATTGTTGATACTGCTGAACAATACGCTCTGGTATCATTGTTCTGATAACATTGGGTGTTTTTATGATCTCGCCAGTCGACAATTTCAGAAGTTTTTCCCCGAAAGGAACATCTTGAATAACGTGTGGACTTGTTATAAAAGAAACAAAATGTTCTAATTTTACAGGTTCAATTCTCATTCTCCTTTTCTCCTGGTTTGGAAGAGGAGCAGCTCTTCCATGTATCAGCCTGTGGCGTCGGGCAATGTTGTAGCGATAGCTAGTAACGGTTGGAATAAACTCCCTCATCTCCTTAAGGGATAACTTGTCTGCCATCAAAGAAAGTATTTGCCGTCTGGTGCTCCAATGTTGTGCGTTCAAGTAGCTTTCAGCAAATGCATTAAGAAGGTCCGTCTCTTTTTCACTTCTGCCCTCGACCACAACCTGACTCTCGCTACATACAGCGTAACGATCACAAAGCTCCGTCCACAGTTCTTGCGAATTTTCAGGTGCCAGGACATCCAGCATTGCAGAAATACATTGTTGAGCTTTCCGTAGGTATCTACGTTTAGTACGCTCGTGCGCTGTATTCCACGGCACTGATAACGTGTGACGTACTGGACTGACGTCTCGAAGGTGTAAGAAGCGATTTAGCTGCACCTGGGACTCGTTGTCTAGACTCGAGCTTTCATCACTCTCTTCGCAATCTTCTTGCGGAACAAATAGGCTCTGCCGTTTGGATGTGAAACCTTCTGGCAATGTTTCATCACCAACAGTGACAGCACAAGTGGCAGGAATATCAGAGTCACTCCCTTGTTCATCAACCTGACGAAAAAGTGAACACATTGCTTTGGATGGCTTCAAAATGAGATCAACCGTATACACGCGCGGGGTGTCGCATGCAAGGCGGAAGTTTATAGTCGATGATTATTTTCACCTTATAATATAACTGACTAATAACCTATTCTGATATCTTTATCCAATTACTTCTCAGTATTATTTTCCATTTGGAGCATTTCGAAAAAAAAATGTGGAGAAGCCATATAATAATTTAAAACCTTTATTATTTGGACATATCCTGGAGTGTGAAATGCTATCTGGGTAGGGCACGCCTATCCAATTCTTGTGCCATGTATGGTTTTGCCAAGTCGTTGACGGGCGCAATGGCGGCGTTTGAGCATGCGCATGCAAGTTAGCCTGGACACGCCCTTCTCCCACCTGGGTTGAATCCCTAGGCATGAAAAGGGCGGAGAAGGGAGAATTCAGAGAATGCGTTAAGGTTTTCCATTTTTATTAATTATATTGGATGGAAATTCTTCATAACACTTTGAAGAAACTCACCAAGGTTAGACCACTTAGACCTTCTGTGATGTTTTCCACACCTCCTGTGGCCTCCAAGCTCTGCGACTGTAACTGATTTTTTATTTTTGCTAGGGACTGTCGACATCGCACACAAATTCCTTTAATATTTTGAGAGAAAGAATTAATTTATACTTTTTAACCTTGCACATCCTCCTTGAACAAATAGCTCTGCATGTGGCAAAAGAAAAAAACTAGGCAAAAGCCCCACAAATCCCAAACTGATGACGCATTCTGTAGTTAACCTTGTCACGAGTCAGTATTTTACATTCCGTTCCTTTTTTGTCGGCATTTTTAAAAGGAATTCTAATATCTGTGAATATTTCAATTAGAGCGTTCTCCACGCCATTAATTAATTTTGACAGGAGCCCATCACTGGTTTTGAACAAGTTTTGAAAGAGACGAAAATGTTGAGTGAACGCCAGTGTTTTCCGACGTAAAAATATTTGCAAAAATCCTGAAAAGACATGAAAATAAATTTCCTGTCAAACTTGGCGACTGTTTTACGCGACAGTGAAGTGGTTTGAAGTTAGGATATGAAGTCTGTGATTCCCGCCAACTACCCTGCGTGAAATGAGAAGCTATACGGATGTTTATCCTTACATACAATGAGAATAAACTAGAGGGACGTCAGTTCTTACAAGATCATGACTCATTGTAGTCGCTTACCTGATCCGACGGGTACGAGGTTTTTCGTAAGTTCAAAAATTTGTTTTGAGTGCTGCAAAGTAATTCCTCTTTCTGCTGCGGGTACTTCTTTAGATTCCTTTTTGTGACCGGAAACATCCTGTGGCACAGAACATAATCTACCAGCTCTTCTCCATCCGATTCCGAGGCTTGATCGATGTAAAGGGCAAACAGTCATTTCCGAAAAATTGGCGGGCTTCTCGAAAATCCCGCTTCTTGCTAAGATAAGTTCAATCTCTGTCTCAACACCTGAAAATTGTAAAAAACGCTTGTGGCTTCTGATATCCTTGCTGCATGATGACAGAGATACCGTCTGAGTGGACTGATGCCTTGCGCGTTCCTCTGCACCGCAAACGCCACCAACAATATCAAGTAAAGAACAAGACATTCTTTTTCTGCTGGAGTTAAAGCAACCGTTGTCTTTATTCCTTTCACCGACGATTATTACGCTTTTATTTTTTGTTTACTTTCGTTAACTGATCACACTGTTTTTCCGTGGGAAAATTGTATCGTTATTTTCGTTCCATAAGGTTTTCACTGTACGGTTTATATTTGTGAAATTTTGTAAAGTCTATTTCTTTGTTGTATCGTTTTCGTTCACGATGGCAATATATTTGTTTAGATTTTATATGTGGGGCAGAATGAATTGTTCGTTGATCTCGTTACGTGACGGATTATCATATGTCACGCAGAGTGACAGGAACCTATGAAAAATTAATTAAAATCCGGCAAATCCCTAGCGTTACCTGTCGTTTTGTACGGGACCCTTTTAGTGTGGGACGTCAAAAAAGCCAAAATTAGGATCGAAATAGACTAAACGTAACTGGGTTGCGACACGAAGTAGGAAATGACAACAACAAGTAACTTTATTTTACTCATCCCGGCTCAGTGGCTTCAATGAGTCAGCCGGTTGGCCCCCTTTACACCAATGGACAGTATTTCGAAAATATCTTCCAAGCGGAATAACAAGGGCCTATAAAAGATTTCTAAGGTAAGGAACTATTGATGTCCAAGCAAACATAAAAAGGTAAGTGCGGCTGCGACTCAAACAATGCTTTGCGTGTGTCATTGCAATGTTGATTTTGTTCATTTCAATATGGCGCCATTTACAATTTTAGCGAAGTTTGGTTAGTTGGTATATCAAAACAGCAGAAGATACCAGAAAAATGAAACGATGAATTTGAAGACTCACCTTATAAGCCCTCGTGATAGTATTGCTGGAGATTTTGAGAAACTACCACATGCATTTTTGCCACACTGCATTAGGCCGGGTTCGGCATGAATTAAAAATGGCGAACACGTACACTGGTAATTAACCCGTGGTTTCGTCAGGAAGGACACGATACAAAAAATATCACTATACCTTGGTAATGGAAGGCCACATGTATATATTTACAGCTAAAGAAGTCCAGCTGTTGCATTTTAGTTCATGCAAAGACGGCCTGAAAACTGCATAATTTAGAGCTCGCACGCACTCATTTTCGATCATGCAATTAGTAACGGTTTATTTTCGTTAAAATGAATATTTACACAAACTAACCTCACATCACTTTAAGTAGTACCTATAGCTACCTGTAAACAAAAAAATGAGACAAAACGATTTTTGACCGTGTCCGTGATTTTAAAATTTTTCTTTGATTTTTAGAGACATTCACTCTTAAGTTTTAACATCAGGGCCGAGGAATCGTACAGCTTTCAAGATGGAACACTGTCTTTTATTCATTCATTCAGAATGTTCAGAGACATGTGTGTCCTTCTATTCACGCATCCAGGTTGTCAAAACTGTTCACAATGTTACAAAAATCGGTGACGAACAGCACAATTCGTTTAATTGTCAATCAGCGGTTCGTCGAGAGAAGCAAGCCTGTTACACAACCTCTCAAGAAGAATAATCTTCCCACTTTCACTTCGACGAACAAGAAGACAGTTTCAAAAAAAAAGGCGAAAATAGGAGTTTTGAAGGAAGACTGTGCTTTATTTTTGCGGCTTTACATAGCAAAGGAGTCAAAAATAATCTTAAATCGTAACAAGAAAATCGCAGAGGAAGTTTTACCAGAAAGCCAGTGTGGCTTCAGGGCAGGCAGATCTACTATCTATGTGATATTCACATTACGACAATTACAAGAAAAAGCAATTGAAAAAATCAGCCCCCCTACATGATTTTTGTTGACAATTCCAAGGCCTTCGACACGGTTGATCGGAAGACACTTTGGAAAGTTCGGAAGCTGTATGGTTGCCCTTAGAAAATGGTGCAGATCATCAAGCCCTTCCATGAGGGAATGGCAGGTGCTGTTAGGATCGCCGGAGACACAGGTGAACCCTTCACTATCAATCACGGTGTCAAGCAAGGCTGTGTACTGACACCAACCCTCTTTTCTCTCTATCTTGCGGCTGTCCTAGAATCAATGTGTACCAACCTCAATTCAGGAGTGTTCATCAAGACAAGAACAGATGGTAAACTTTTCAACCTTGCCAGACTCAGAGCTTCTGCTAAAACAAGGGAAATCTGTGTAAGGGAGTTATTCTTTGCCGATGATTCTGCCCTTGTTGCAACAAATCCTACTGTCATCCAAGAAATTGCAGACAGGCTCTCCTGTGCCGCTCGCCACTTTGGCATGAAAATAAATGTGTCTAAAACAGGACTGCTCTATCAACCGGTCATGTGTGTCGTATGTCTGACAACAGAATCCCCAAATATGTGTTTTATGGAGAATTCAGCTCTGGAGGGAGAAAACGCGGTGGACAAAAACTGCGCTTCAAAGACGCATTGAAGAGATACATGAAGAATGTGGGAGGAAGAAGCAATGGACAAAAAGAAGTGGCGATCAATGGTCCATTAAAGCATTGCCGCTGTCGAACGGAATCGTTTCAAGAAATATCAAGCAGCTCACAACAGGAGGCTCACACCAACAACTGATGGTCTTAAATGCAACCGTTGCACGCTGGATTTGTAGCGCATCAACGCTCCTGCAGCACGTAACCGTTTCTCAGTCAACATCGCCTGCAGTGGACTGCCGCCGCCGATGAAATAGCGTGTCAATTCATGATGGAAACTTGAAAGACTTCTTCAAGTATGAGAACCAACCATGGCCGCCATCACTTTCGCATCTTGGACAGCTTAGAGGAGGACAGAAGGCAGACTTGGTGAAGTGTTTGCCCAGCGCATCAGCACAGATCGCAACTCAACCAGTAGCTGATGCAGTTATTCTTGATGGAGCTGTTGATGTGCATATGCTACAGCCAAGAACAGCATGCACCTTTGACTAATAGTCACGTAATGGTATAAGATGAATACGAATGGATAGAAAATGACTCAGTGGTTATGTTTGAAAGCTTTTGTCGCAAATTTCCCCAAGCAATGTCTTTTAAGAGGATTATTTTTTCCTAGCCTTGTTGTCATGTTAGCGAATTTCTGCCATGCCTGGCTCTCGTCTCCAGAAGTTAATTTGGATCGGCCCTGTATCAGGAAATGTTAGTCTCATGGTAATAAGTGTTGTGGCAAAGATTCAGGCTTTTATCGTTAATTTGAACAGTTTTGGTCGACAACCTTTAGACTAAAAAGGAAGTGGGAGAGTAAAGCAGGTAATTTAGTGTTAACAAATGATTTGAAAACGTAAATTGGCCACCGTAATGAGTTCAAAGGCTGACGTTTCGACCGTTAGCCCCTCTTCTCATTATTATTCCGGTTGTCAAGTGGTGTTCCCTCATAGGTCCTCATTGATCGGCTGTTGTGTTGTTTGATCGTGGGTATCCAAGCTACAGGAATTGATCTCCCTGTTTCACCGGTATACACATTGTCGCATTCGCATGGGATCTTGTAAACGACACCGTCTCCTTTTGTTGCCTTGATGTTGTAGGCAGCGGCGAAAAACCTCTGATACACCATTTATGTTAGGGAGAACGGCAATAGATTCAAATTCCTGCGCGGGTTCTTTGCTGGCTGTTACCCTTGCTGTCTTTACGAGTTTTCGTACAAATGAAGAAGGATAACCATTAGAAACAAGTACAGATGACAAGTGTCTCTTTTTCTCAGAGATAACTGACGCTTTCGTTGTGAGGTGTTTGGCACGGTCATATAGACACTTAACAGTAGCACGCTTTACTGACTGAGGGTGGTGTGAATCATAGGCTAGGTACTGGTTAGTGTGGGTGGGTTTTCTGTAGACAGTAGTAGTGACAAGACCGTCTGAGTCCCTTGTAACTGTTATGTCGAGAAAAGGAATGGTGTTATCTTTCTCGATTTCCATGGTAAAACGAATAGTAGACTGTTGACAGTTTAAATGTTGTAAAAAGTCGTCGACATGGTCCCGGTCTGAGACTGGGAAAGTGTCATCTACATATCGTTTCCAGATCTTAGGTTTGCAAGTCGCATTTGTTATCGCCTGTTCCTCAAATTCTTCCATGTAGATGTTAGCTATAACTGCGGAAACAAGCAGGGCTTCCCATAGCTGTTCCGTCTTGCTGTTCATAAATTGACCCGTTGTATTGGAAATATGTCGATCTTCAGACGAAATTCAAATGGTGGGCAATTTGTGTGGGTGTTAAGTTTGTGCGGTGAGCAAGATCGTCGTTGTTTTCTACTTCTCGCAATGCAGGTTGAACTGCACCCTCGATAGTGCATTTTTAAACAAAGATTCCACGTCAAAAGGTACCATGAGCTCGTTATCGTGTACTTTCTCATGACTGATAGTTGACACGAAGTGCATAGAGTTAATAACTGAGTAGTCTGACTTGCCTGTCAAGGGGGACAGGATATTGGCTATGAAGACGCACAGTATTGCAGTTGAAACGTCGCGATCAACATCCAAAGTGACTCCATAGTGAGACAAACGAATAAAGTTTATCTACTATCCTGCACCACGATGAACAATAAACACATATTTTATTAAAAAGAAAGTCGTTCGCCAGATGTTTTTAAAAGTTAATTTTACTCTTAAAGTTTACCAAAAGCCAAATTGACCAGCAAATAGACTATAGGTGTTCTAGAAATAAAAGGGATTCTTTATCTTACTTCAAAGTTTCAAATTCATCTGTCTCTTAATTTCACATGTCACAAATTATATTTTCAAATCCTAAAATAAAACAACGGAACCTAACATATCTTCCATCTTTTCAAACAGATATAGAAACTATTTTGCAGTTGGTTTTAACAGCGCTTAGAACTAATGCCCCTCTTACAATTCTGATATATATTCGATCCTTCAGAAGTAATTTATAATCAAGATAAACGTATATTGGATATCACCGCTTTCTCTTGTAGTGATTCCCTTCTTCGAGACTTGATAGCAATAAAGAGATAAAACAAATAAGCTGAGAAGACGGCTTTTATGTTTAACTCGAGAATAAATATATTTGTAAGTTATCAATAATATACAAACAGAAGTTGTTTGAAGTGTTTTTTCTTTCTCGTTCGCTGCTTCAATCGTCTAAAACACATGTAACAGGATCTACCCAGGGTAATAAAACACAGCTTGGTCTCTAAGAAGTTCGATTGATCGCAAAGAAATGCATTTCAAAGAAAATTGCTGTAAGTTCGAAGGAGAGAAAAGAAGCTCAAACTCCTCCTTACTGGCCCACTTCATTTCTTGGTTTTTAATCAGAACAACACAAACCAGGGTGTTTCCCACGATATCTGTGATTACCAGCTCAGAAAACATCAAAGCGATCACGGTCTGGGCTGAATCGGTCAACATGATGGATTTTCCTTCTCTTTGCCGCTGCAATTTTCACCAAAACGTCATTGTCCTACGGGCATAAAATTCATGCTTTTGGATGTTAAGTTCCAAAAAGAAAAATTGTAATTACAATTTGAAATTTCCGTACTTCAATTTGTAGGGACAAACCGTTACTTATGGTTTAAAGACTTGATTGTAAACAGACATCCAAAATATACCATAAACATAAAATTTAATTTTGAATTGCACTTTACCTTATCGTCCAAGTAGGTCCTTACTCAGGATTTACGAATTCAATACATTTGTGACAACATCGCGTTTCTCGGAAGATTGGAAATAATTGATTTAATAGCTACGCACTTCAACAAGCTGTAAATATAGCGATTGTCAGCGTAAAACCTTTTCATAATGAACGCCCTGGAAAATTATAATCTCAATACACGAAATCTCTTGACCAATGAGAATTGCGTTGATATATCTCTACCTTTTATGCAGACCTGATAGTATTTAATATAATTTTTAATGGCAAACTCTTTGTTTTCAAGAAAATGCAGTGCCAGGGGTTTAATTGACTCAGAATGTTTTTATTCAGAATTTCAAATACTAGAATGGCATCTCTGGATTTTTATATTGCAAAATTAGCGTCTAGTTGGAATTTCAAATCTTAACTGAACGGTCTAACAGAATATAATAACAAAAACATTTTCTTTAAATAATTTTCATGAGTCATTTTTCCAGCCTGTTGCGAGTTGGTCTGTAAGTCAAATTTATACAAAAAATATCCCTGCTTCTTATCTTACCGCCGGTGAACGGTAAACTTGGTACTATCAGTCTAATGGTAATCTTCATGTGTCAAAGAAAATGAGATAATCCACATCCTGTAAAAATTGAGATGGATTCTTCTTTGCCAAAACTATCAGTCAAGCACATTTATCACAAAAAAGCTAAGAAACGAGCTGTCAGTTCTAAACAGACCAAAGAACCTTAGCGCATGTTTTTGTGAATCGCACTTCATTTTGGGGATTCTTTAGTCGTGCACTTCCAACGTCAGGAGTCGTTTGTAATCATCTCACAAGTATGCCTTCGTTCTTTACATTCAGGCTACTCGTACTTTTCTCCCGCCGCAGTTTCTAACTCAGTATTCTCTTCATCTAAGCCCTCTCAACCGATTTTACATGAATACGTTGTAAAGAAAAACTGTTTTTTATTATGCTGTTTATTTATCCAGTCTTGTAATCGTTTTATTTATTTGATATATTTGGTTTACCTTGAGAATCTAATGACCTTAACCGAGTAAATACGTGCTTTTTATAAGTTCCATACAGGTGGCCGTATTTTAGGAGAGCACAAGGTGTAAAAGAGACTTAAAGACAAAATCGTTATTGAAATAAAACATCGACAAAAGTGATAGCGTTCGTTTTATCCGGGTCGGACGTGCGGGTGAACGGAAGACTAGTTTTAGCTGTTAATTATATCACATGTTACAGTATGCATCATTATCATTTAACCTTGTTTATTTCCAGCTCTAGGTCTGTGTTACTGGACATGGACTTGATTCAGTGTTTTATCGTAGGTTTATTCTGGTTCCATGGCGTGTAATCTTATTCCGGATCTCCCGGTTCCACAGAATCTCGGATAATTTTAAGAGTAACTCCGTGTCGGCTCAGAGGCTGAATATCTCCCTGGATGGTCAAAGCATTAATCCCTCTTGTTCTCGAGGTATCATTGCCTCTTCCCATGGCATAAACTCTGTTTCTGTCAGCACCACTACCATGGCAACTCAACAAAGCCTTAATATGCTTCCTGAAGCGACTGTTCACATGGGCGTAAATAAAGGGATTAACCGTTGAGTTACACACCACTAAAACAACGGAAATGACGTCAGCCGCGTCACCAAGGCTATGCTTGGAGCCGAAGTGTATCATGGCATAGATGACGAGGTCTGGAGTCCAACAGAGTCCGTAAATGATGCTAACTGCAACAACCATTTTTGTGACGTGCTTACGCACTCTTATGACACCCTAAAGCAAAAAATTGCAAAACATCATTTCAAATTCAATTTATGCTTTGATTTTGACAATAGGATCCAGTTTCGCTTTGAGGAGCTTCTGGGAAGATTACTTGCTAAAAACCAGTCTTTCTCTTCAGTAGTTATCACCCCCAGAGAAGATTTTAGATATATGAAAATTCACATATTTGCACTGCGGTGGAGAGATGAAATTAAGAGATCCTCGCAGCTAAGAACACTACTGAAACGAGTAGTTGTAAATAGGACCTGAAAAAAAAAAATTCAGGCCCGTACGGGATTTGAACCCATGACCTCTGCGATACCGGTGCAGCGCTCTACCAGAGAACTTAGGCAATCATAATAGTTTTCATAACTATGTATGATTACCATTCCTGGCGGCGCCAGACTTTCTCCTGATCATAACATGTTCGTAATTGGTTTTCGGTTTTCCTCTCAAGACTACTCGTGGGCGCTTTCAGGCTATTGTTAACCATTACAAACGAGTAGCTAATGTGAAGAGTTTTCAAAGCACGTTCAAAGTTATTGCTCCGCAACTTTTCGCGAAGTAATCGTGTTTTTCCTTTATCTTCCCCCATCAAGTAAGCACGGCCAATTTTTAAATGGCACTTGATTTAAAAATCTTATGACCTTGGTCTACTGAATCTAGTTCGTCGGAAAAAAAAGAAAAAAGAAAACATTTTGTTCAAGTAACTTCACTCACAGACCGGCTTTGAGTAATGACATTTGGAGAAAAGCTTGATACGGTATCAATTCAATGCGTTGTATTTTAGTTACCTGTTGAGTTCCACTAACACGTTCTTCGTCTTTGATCCACAGAGAATAGACAACTTTAGAGTACAGCCCTATCATGGTCAACATCGGCAAAGCTCCAAGCAGCACAAACCAAGCTACACTAAAAGTCTTGGGCATCCATTCCTCGGGCCAGTGCTCCGTACAAAATTGGTTTTCTTCATCGAAGTAGGACGTCAAAAAGAGAGGTGTGTTTAAAATCAAAACAGAAATCCAAAGAACAGGGATTATAACCTGTAGAAAGGTTTCAAACCAAGCTTTATTGAGCGTTTTACAGTGGTAGCACCAGCAACTTGTGCTTTTTTACTACTTGTCGGACACCAAAACTCTTGCAACGACAGGTGGTTTACTACCTCTTAATAAGAGTTATGAAAATAGTACTTGTCTTGAATATTTCTCACCTTATTTAGGCTCTGACATGAAGAACAAAATCTGCTCTTTTTACTGAGACAAATCTAGGAGCTCTGAGATCCATAGGAGCAGATCCAGGAATATTTTAAGGGGAGGTGGGCCACCTCCCTTAAAAATATTCTCGGATCTGCTCTTGTTTTTTTGAAGAATACCAACTTTCTATTTTTTAGCTCAAGAAACATGGCGCTGAATTTTTATGGGCGCTAACTGATTGATTTTGAGCCTCTTATCAGACAAACAACGGATCAAACAGAGTTCGAGGACCTCTATGACTAGGTGCAAAGTTCTATATCGTCAATCGTTTCGTCATTAGCTGCAAGAGTGATAGCGGAAATTAAGTTTAGTTTTTCCTACGCCTTTTTGAGTGGCTTAGCTCTTTGTTTGTTTTATTTGAACATTGAACACAAAGAAACAGAGTAAACGGATTTGAATTTGTCTTCCTTTTCAAAACAGTAATCTGAAAGCTGAAGTTTTTTCTTAGTGCAGCAAATGAATCGGTCTTAATTATATAGGTTTTCTTAAACAGAAAACAGCATACTCACCTTAAGTTTTCTATGTGTTAGTTTCCTTGTGTTACTGTAAGGGGGCATTACAGTAAAGTAACGCTCAAATGCAATAGCGACCAGACTAAACGCAGATGCAGTTGCTCCTGTCCACATCAAGTTTCCCCCGGTCAAGAATTTACACAGGAATGATCCTACAATTCCGTCAGGATGCTGGAAAGTGTGGATCAGAACAAACTGTGGCGCTATAAACAGCGCTACCATGATATCAGCAAAAGCCAAATTGACCAGCAAATAGTTTATAGGCGTCCTAGAAATAAAAGTGTGTTTTTAATCTTACTTCAAAGTTTCAAGTTCCTCTCTGTCTCTAAACTTCACATGTCACAAATTATATTTTCAAATCCTAAAATAAAACAACGGAACACAACATATCTTCCATCTTTTCAAACAGATATAGAGACTATTTTACAGTTGGTTTTAAAAGTGTTTAGAACAAATGCCTCTCTTACAATACAGATATATACTTGATCCTTCAGAGGTAATTTATAATCAAGATAAACGTATATTGGATATCACCACTTCCTCTAATAGTGATTCCCTACTTCGAGACTTGATAGCAATAAAGAGATGAAACAAACAAGCTGAGAAGACGGCTTTTATGTTAAACTCGAGCGTAAATATATTTGTAAGTTATCAATAGTGCACAGACAGAAGTTATTTGAAATGTTTTTTTCTTACTCGCTCACTGCTTTAATGTTCTAAAACACATTTGACAGGACCTACCAAGGGTAATGAAAAACAGCTTGGTCTCTGAGAAGTTCGACTGATTGCAAAGAAACGCATTCAAAGAAAATTGCTGTAAGTTCGAAAGAGCTGAAACGTCCTCGTACTGACTCACCTCATGTCTTGGTTTTTAATCAGAACAACACAAACCAGAGTGTTCCCGACGATATCTGTGATTATCAGCACAGTAAACACCACAGCGAGCACAGTCTGGGCTGAATCGGTCAACATAATGAATTTTCCTTCTCTTTGCCGCTGCAATTTTCACCAAAACGTCAATATCCTACGGGCATAAAATTCATGCTTTTGGAAATTAAGTTCCAGAAAGAAAATTGTGATTGCAATTTGCAATTTCCGTACTTCAAATTGTTGGAACAAACCGTTACTTATGGTTTAAAGACTTGATTGTAAACAGACGTCCAAAGTATACCCCAGACATAAAATGTAATTTTGAATTGCACTTTACCCTATCGTCCAAGTAGGTCCTTACTCAGGATTTACGAATTCAATAAATTTATGACAACATCGCGTATCTCGGAAGATCGGAAATAATTGATTCACTAGCTACGCACTTCAACAAGCTGTAAATTTAGTGATTATCAGAGTAAAACCCTATTCATAAAGAACGCCATGGAAAATTATGATCTTAATCCACATAATAGGCGTCATATCCCTTTCGAAATCTCTAGACCAATTAGAGTTGCGTTGATATATCTCCACTCCTTTATGCAGACCTAACAGTACTTAATGTAATTTTGAATGGAAAACTCTTTGTTTTCAAGAAAATGCAGTGCCAAGGGCTTTATTGACTCAGAATATTTTAATAACAAAATAATTTTCTTTAAGGAATTTTGATGAATCATTTTTCCAACTTGTTGCAAGTTGGTTTGTTCAAGAGGAGTATTTTGTATGGACCACAAGGTGTACACCACTCTGTCTCGAGGATAGTATAACCATTACTGACACTGGGAAAACTCCAAAAACAAACTACCAAGATATAGCATAAGTATAGGCTGGATGATAAGTAACTGAAGTCTACACCTCAGAAACGCAAGAGGATGTAAATGCTTTATAAATTTTGAAGCACTAATGGTCTGTGCTGTTCCATCACGCGCCAGGGTAACCAAAGGCTGCCCAAGCTCCAGCTGTGAGATGATCATCTTACGAAATAACAGCCATGGCGAAATTATAAGAGCTTGTATGGGAATATTTACGACCGCTCTAAGGAATAAAAAAATATGTCAAATTCTCACAAAAAATACCCCACCTTAATTCCACAGTGCATTGCTTGACCGCTTACTACGTGGAAGGGAAACCATTTTAGCGGGTTATCTCATTCGAGGTTTTCTACGATATTTTTTGTGAGAATTTGACTTATTTTTTCATCCCTTAAGGCGGTCGTAAATATTCCCATACAAACTCATATAATTTCACCATGACTGTTATTTCGTAAGATAATCATCTCACAGCTGGAGCTTGAGCCGCCTGTGGAGTAACATTTACAAATAATGACAGTTCATTAGGATACGTATGTTTCCTACCGTTGATTAGCTTTTTGCACCTGTATTATTTCGATATCACTCGACTTCAAATTTCGTAAAAAAAAAAGGAAACCAATAGATACAGAGCAAGGATATTACTTTTGCTACATGATTACTCACACGATCAAAGTTTGCTTTACGACGTCAAGTTCGACTTGTATATCGGAAAACTCGCACCATCAGTCTAATGGTAATCTTCATGTGTCAAAGAAAACAAGATCCTCCACATCCTGTAAAAATTTAGATGGATTCTTCTCCGCCAAAACTCTCAGCCAGACACATTTATTACAAAAAACCAAAAAACCAAATGTCAATTCTAAATACACCGAAGGACTTTAGCGAATTTTTTGTGAATCGCACCTTTGTTCGGGGGATTCTTTACACGTGTACTTCCAACTTCAATAGTCGTTTGCAATCATCTCACAAGTATGCCTTCGTTATTTACCTTCAGGCTACTAGTACTTTTCTCTCGCCGCAGTTTCTAAGTTAGTATTCTCTTCATCTAAGCCCTCCAAACCGATTTTACATGAATACGTTGTAAAGCAAAATTGTTTTTATTATGTCTTTTATTTATCCAGTTTTATAATCGTTTTGATTATTTGATATGTTTGGTTTACCTTGAGAATGTAATGACCTTAGGCGAATAAAAACGTGTTTTCATAAGTTCGGTACTGGTGGCTGTATTTGAAGAGAGTGGAAGGAGTAAAAGAGACTTCAATACAACATCGTTTTTGAAACAAAAAATCGACACAAGCTATAGCGTTCGTTTTTTTCTAGCTTAGACGTGCAGGTGCACGGAAGACGAGTTTTAGCTGTTTATCAATCACATGTTACAGTATCCTCTATGCATCATCACCATTTCATATTGTTTGTCTCCAGCTCTTGGTCTGTGTTATTCAGTTTTTTTCTTGTCATTCAGAAAACTTGTGAGCAAAATACAAAGCACATACGGAATGAAACAGAGATGAAAACAGAGATATAAGGTGTAAATCCTCCTGATTTTCCATTATTGCCCTCCAATTAATCAATGTCTACTCAATGACTCATCCATGGAACTTTCCCGAGGAAGTTGCTCGTCACATTTAAGAGCTGATGTCACTTTCATCAGGCAAACAGCGGCAAGTCACCCAAAATTTGCCTTCACTCCTACTTTCAATTTTTGTAGCCCGATATGTTCTTATAACTGAGTTGTAGTTTTTTCGTGAAAATATATTTTAGTTTTCGAAATTTTAATTTTTTTTTGTTCGACCGCTCAAATATGCAAATTTTCACCGTGAATATTACTCGAGTTGTGTGACGTCATGTAACGAATATAATTGACCTCTGGTATTTCTGACACCATAATCCTTTGTTTTATCATCTAACTTAATCCCTTGTCATTATTGAAGCTGGCAAAGTAATATTTATTTTTTGGTGAATATTTTTGTCCGACGTACTTTTCCTGTGTCGAATAGTAGCATCAAAACAAAGACAATTTTTAGCAATGACAGATATGAGAGGATCTATTGAGCTTCAACCTTTAAAAAAAAGACAAAAGGATGGTTATAAATTTATTGTAAAAATTTCCTTGTGTATTTGTGTTGTTCTATCTTGAGACGAACTCAAAGTCCGGCAAAATTTACTTGCTAGCGATTATGAGATAAACATGGTGTGCCTACTTGTCGCCACCGTTTACTGGCATAAACCACTACAGTTTGTAGAATTTAATTTCATCGTTTGAAACCAACGGTTGGAAGATACTGACTCACAGCTCAACCATAGAGATTATTAGCTTCCAAATACATGACATACATTGACGGTGCCCTCTCATCGAAGTTTTTCATATATTTATAGTTTGCTTTCCATATCTGTCAAAAAATATATGAGATACCGCCTGACATTCCTTTTTCGATGAATTGAAACATGTCAATGTCAGTCATCAGTTCTAATTTTATATCAGTCATTTTTAACATAGCATCTCAAGACAGCCCAGGAGATGTGAAATAATGAAATGGATCAATATAATAATATCGCAAGCAGGTCGTCCTGAAATTCTCAAATGCATCAGCGAGTAAGAGAATATCAGATTTCAGATAAAGATCATGATACTGACCCATTGTCTTGAGATTAAATCTCTGCCACACATTTTGAGCATGTTTGTATTGCTCATCAGATATGTACTCATCTTAAAGAATGCTGTAAAAATTCATTTTTTCCTGGTAGTTTTTCATCAAACTTACCAAAACTATTCATATGGATAAACACCTTTTTGCTTCATAAGTTTGAATTTTTCATCTTTTAAGAATTTTGATGTTTACTTGAATGCTTCATCAGGGAGACTGCTTGCTAATCTATGAAGACTTGAGCTCTTGAACTGGAAGCTATCAAGAAAAATCGAATGCTTGCCCAGCACGAAGGCCATGTATTTTTGCATATTATTTGGAATTGCCTTAATTTCCATCTGCTTGCCTTCACCTCTATTTTCTTGTATGTAAATTTTTTTGCTACTTCACTAACCTCCCGCATAATAAAACGACTGTCATAAACTCGTAAACTTTGGAAGATAACTGGTATTTTTATTTCATCAACCCATTGAACAGAATGCCTATTGTTCTCGCGACATTTACTTGCAGTGGCGAAAATATCATAGATCTGTAATATTGGCGGCAAAGCGTAAACGGGAAGGCTCTTATCGGTCGAGGATAACGCGCGCTTTCCTCCTGCCTTAGTTCATCAACGGGTCAATGTGAAGCTAAGAAACAACGGTCTCGTAACTTATTGTTTCAGCTCTTGTTTCTGATATCACACTTAGCGCGCGCATATTTGAACCTGGCTATTTCGAGCGTTGGATTTGTGATGGCCATATGGGTTCGATTTCTACCGTAGAAAATTACTTTTTCATGTCTCGCTAAAACTTAATCAATATGCATTTCGCTTCATATCAAGTCTACCACAATTTGATAAACAGCAGGTATTTTCTATTTTTCCCCACTTAGGATTTGATTGTCTCATCATAAGTGAAGTATAAAATAAGGTCTCTTAGTCGCTCAAATGTAAGTTTTTTCGAATCGAAAAAGGAAATAGCGAACGAAGTAGAGCATACGAACTAACTCGCTATTTTAGGACCACAGTTTCTATCGAGCTTTTTATGCTCGTGCTATCCCTGGACTGGAACTGATCATCAGCTCCCGATCGCATACAGATTGCAGTGCGATTGGGGATTCAGTGAGCTCTGAAAAGGGCTCCCAATCACTAACAGCTTGCTGGTCGATGCACGCCGTCATGATCTGTAAAGCGAAGGTTTGACATCTGATTCACAGCAATTGTGAATAATTTTACAAGCGAAAAGTTTCAACAATGGGTATTGTTTAGTTTGACACGTTTATTGTTATTAAGGGCTAGGATGAAGACAATGGCTCGCTCGCTCAAAACGCGCCATTTTTGAACGCAACTTCGACATGAATCAAGTCCATGTCCAGTGATGGACTTGATCCAGTGTTTCATCGAAGGTTTATCCTGGTCCCGTGGCATGTAAACATATTCCAGATATCCCGGTTCCACGAAATCTCGGATAATTTTAATGCTGACCCCAAGTGAAATTTCAATTGACTGGACTTCCCCGAGAAAGATCTTTGACTAAATCTTCAGTCTAAAATAGCTTTTCTCTTGTTAGATCCACGCTAGTGATCTGTTTTTGACATATAGAGCAGATCAGTGTAACTCCGTGTTGGCTCAAAGACTTAGCATCTCCCTAGATGGTCGAAGTATTTATCCCTTTTATTCTCGAGGTCTCATTGCCTCTTCCCATGGCATGAACTCTGTTTCTGTCAGCACCACTACCATGGCAACTCAACAGAGCCTTAATATGCTTCCTGAAACGACTGTTCACATAGGCGTAAATAAAGGGATTAACCGTTGAGTTACACACCACTAAAACAATGGAAATGACATCAGCTGCGTCACCAAGGCTATGCTTGGAGCCGAAGTGTATCATGGCATAGATGACGAGGTCTGGAGTCCAACAGAGTCCGTAAATGATGCTAACTGCGACGACCATTTTTGTGACGTGCTTACGCACTCTCAAGACACCCTAAAGCAAAAAATTGCAAGACAACATTTCAAATTCGATTGATGCTTTGATTTTGACAATAGGATCCAGTTTCACTTTGAGGAGCTCCTGGGAAGATTAGTCGCTAAAAAAACAGTCTTTCTCTTCAGTAGTTATCCCCCCAGGGAACTAAGCCAATCATAATAGTTTTCATAACTATGTATGGCTATCATTCCTGGCGGCGCCGTACTTTCTATTGATAATAACATGTTCGTAATTGGTTTCGGGTTTCCTCTCGAGGTTACTCGAGGGCGATTTCAGCCTATTGTTAAACATTACAAACGAGTAGCTAATATAAAGAGTTTTCAAAGCCTGTTCAGAGTAATTGCTCCGCAACCTTTCACGAAGTAATCGTGTTTTTCTTTTATCTTCCTTCATCAAGTGAGCACTGCCAATTTTTAAATGGCACTTGATTTAAAAATCTTATTACCTTGGTCTACTGAATCTAGTTCGTCGACAAAAACAGAAAAAAAGAAAACATTTTGCTCAAATATCTTCACTCACAGACTAGCTTTGAGTAATGACATTTGGAGAAAAACTTGATACGGTATCAATTCAATGCGTTGTATTTTAGTTACCTGTTGAGTTCCACTAACACGCTCTTCACCTTTGATCCACAGAGAATAGATAACTTTAGAGTACAGGCCTATCATGATCAACATTGGCAGAGCTCCAAGCAGCACAAACCAAGCTACACTAAAAGCCTTGGGCATCCATTCCTCAGGCCAGTGCTCCGTACAAAATTCGTTTTCTTTATCGAAGTAGGACGTCAAAAAGAGAGGTGTGTTTAAAATCAAAACAGAAATCCAAAGAACAGGGATTATAACCTGTAGAAAGGTTTCAAACCAAGCTTTATTGAGCGTTTTACAGTGGTGGCACTACTGACTTGTGCTCTTTTTACTACTTGTCGGACACTAAAACTCTTAGAACGACAGATATAACCACTTGATAAGAATTACGAAAATTTACTTATCTTGAAATATTTTTCACCTTATTTAAGCTTTGACATGAAAAACAAAATATGCTTTTTTTTCTGAGACAAATCTTGGATCTCTGAGATCCATAGAAGCAGATCCAAGAATATTTTAAGGGGAGGTGGGCCACCTCCCTTTAAAATATTCTTGGTCTGCTCTTGTTTTTCACGAAAACAGAGACACAATTGAAGAATATCAACTTTCTCTTTTGTTAGCGTAACAAACATGGCGCTGAATAATTATGGGCGCTAACTGATTGATTTTGAGCCTCCTATCAGACAAACAATAGATCAAACAGAGTCCGACGACCTCTATGACTACGTGCAAAGTTCTTTATCGTCAAACTTTACGTCATTAGGTGCGAGAGTGATGGCGAAGATGAAGATTAGTTTTTCCTATGCCTATTTGAGCGGCTTGACTCCTTTTTTTATTTTATTTGAAGGTTTAAAACAAAGAAACAGAGTAAACGGATTGGAATTTGCATTCTTTTTCAAAACAGGAATTTAAAAGCTGAAGGTTTTATCTTGGTGCAGGAAATGAATCGCTCTTAATTATAAATTTTCTTAAACAGAAAACAGCATACTCACCTTAAGTTTTCCATGTGTCAGTTTCCCTGCGTTACTGTAAGGATACATTACAGCGAAGTAACGCTCAAATGCAATAGCAACTAAGCTAAACGCAGATGCAGTTGCTCCTGTCCACATCAAGTTTCCCCCGGTCAAGAATTTACACAGGAATGATCCTACAACTCCGTCAGGATGCTGGAAAGTGTGGATCAGAACAAACTGTGGCGCTATAAACAGCGCTACCATGATATCAGCGAAAGCCAAATTGACCAGCAAATAGTTTATAGGTGTCCTAGAAATAAAGTGTCTTTTTATCTTACTTTAATGTTTCAAGTTTCTCTCTTTCTCTAAACTTCACATGTCACAAATTATATTTTCAAATCCCAAAATAAAACAAAAGAACATAACAAATCTTCCATCTTTTCAAAAAGACATAGAAACTATTTTACAGTTGGTTTTAACAGCGCTTAGAACAAATGCCTCTCTTACAATTCTGATATATATTCGATCCTTCAGAGGTGATTTATAATCAAGATAAACGTATATAAGATATCACCTCATCCTCTAAAAGTGATTCCCTACTTCCAGACTTGATAGCAATAAAGAGATGAAACAAACAAGCTGAGAAGACGGCTTTTATAGTCAACTCGAGAGTAAATATATTTTCAGGTTATCAATAGTACACAGACAGAAGTCGTTTGAAGTGTTTTTTTCTTTCTCGTTCACTGCTTCAATCGTCTAAAACACCTGTAACTGGATCCATCCAGGGTATAAAACACAGCTTGGTCTCTAGGAAGTTCGATTGATCGCAAAGAAACGCATTTCAAAGAAAATTGGTCTGAGTTAGAAGGAGAGAAAAGAAGTTCAAACGTCCCCATACTGACTCACCTCATGTCTTGATTTTTAATCATAACAATACAAACCAGAGTGTTCCCAACGATATCTGTGATTACCAACACAGAAAACATCAAAACGATCACAGTCTGGGCTGAATCGGTCAACATGATGGATTTTCCTTTCTGTTTTCGGCTGCAATTTTCCCCAAAACGTCAGTTTCCACGGGCGTAAAATTCATGCTTCTGGTCATTAAGTTCCAGAAAGAAAATTTGTAATTGCAATTTGCAATTTCCGTACTTCAATTTGTTAGAACAAATCGTTACTTATTGTTTAAAGACTTGATTGTAAACAGACGTCCAAAATATACCACAAACATAAAATGTAATTTTGAATTGTACTTTACCTTAATGTCCAAGTAGGTCCTTATCGAGGATTTACGAATTCAATACATTTGTGACAACATCGCGTATCTCGGGAGATCGGAAATAATTGATTTACTAGCCACGCACTTCAACAAGCTGTAAATTTAGCGATTGTCAGAGTAAAACCTTTTCATAATGAACGCCATGGAAAATTATAATCTCAATACACATAATGGACTGGCGTTATATCCCTTACGAAATCTTCAGACCAATTAGAGTTGCGTTGATATATCTCTACTCTTTTATGCAGACCTGACAATATTTAATATAATTTTTAATGGAAAACTCTTTGTTTTCAAGAAAATGCAGTGCCAGGGGTTTAATTGACTCGGAGTGTTTTTATTCAGAATTTCAAATACTAGAACGGCATCTCTGAATTTTTATATTGCAAAATTAGCGTGTGGTTGGAATTTCAAATCTTAAGTGGACGGTCTAATAATATATAATAAGAAAAAAACTATCTATAAAAAAAAAAATTGGTAAATCATTTTCCCAACCTGTTGCAAGTTGGTTTGTAAGTCAAATTCTCACAAAAAATACTTCATCTTACTTCCACGGTGCATTGCTTGTTATCTGACCGCTTACTACGTTGAAGGGAACCCATTTCGGCGACTTATCTATTTCGAGGTTTTCTACAGTATCTTTTGTGAGAATTTGACATATTTTTTTATCCCTTAGGGCGGTCTTGAATATACCCATACAAACTGAGTTTTGTCTGGGAACAACCCTGCTATACATCGACACTCGGAACACTATCTGTCTAAAGGTAATCTTCATGTGTCAAAGAAAACAATATAATCTACATTATGTAAAGATCAAGATGGACTCTTCTCTGCCAAAACTATCAGTCAAGCATATTTATCACAAAAAAGCTAAGAAACGAGCTGTCAATTCTTAATAGACCAAAGAACCTTAATGCATATTTTTTTGAATCGCACTTTCACTTTGGGGATTCTTTATTCGTGCACTTCCAACGTCAGGAGTCGTTTGTAATCGTCTCACAAGTATGCCTTCGTTCTTTACATTCAGGCTACTCGTACTTTTCTCCCGCCGCAGTTTCTAACTCAGTATTCTCTTCATCTAAACCCTCCCAACCGATTTTACATGAATACGTTGTAAAGCAAAACCGTTTTTTATTATGTTGTTTATTTATCCAATCTATAATCGTTTTGTTTATTTGATATGTTTGGTTTACCTTGAGAATCTAATGACCTTGGCTGAGTAAAAACGTGCTTTTTATAAGTTTGATGCAGGTGGCTTTATTTGAAGAGAACGGAAGGTGTAAAAGAGACTTCAAGACAACATTGTTTTTGACACAAAACATCGACACAAGCTATAGCGTTCATTTTTTTCTAGCTTAAACGTGCAGGTGCACGGAAGACTAGTTTTAGCTGTTAATCATATCACATGTTACAGTATCCTCTATGTATCATTATCATTTAATCTTGTTTATCTCCGGCTCTTGGTCTGTGTTACTGGACATGGACTTGATTCAGTGTTTTACCGTAGGTTCATCCTGGTTTAGTGTTATGTAAGCTTATTCCGAATCTCCCGGTTCCACGGAATCTCGGATAGTTTTAAGAGTAACTGTGTGTCGGCTCAAAGACTGAATATCTCCCTGGATGGTCGAAGCATTAATCCCTGAATTTGTTCTCGAGGTATCATTGCCTCTTCCCATGGCATGAACTCTGTTTCTGTCAGCACCACTACCATGGCAACTCAACAGAGCCTTAATATGCTTCCTGAAACGACTATTCACATAGGCGTAAATAAATGGATTAACCGTTGAGTTACACACCACTAAAACAATGGAAATGACATCAGCTGCGTCACCAAGGCTATGCTTGGAGCCGAAGTGTATCATGGCATAGATGACGAGGTCTGGAGTCCAACAGAGTCCGTAAATGATGCTAACTGCAACGACCATTTTTGTGACGTGCTTACGCACTCTCATGACACCCTGAAGCAAAAAATTGCAAAACAATATTTCAAATTCGATTGATGCTTTGATTTTGACAATAGGATTCAGTTTCACTTTGAGGAGCTTCTGGGAAGATTAGTCGCTAAAAAAAACAGTCGTTCTCTTCAGTAGTTATCCCCCCCAGGGAACTTAGGCAATCATAATAGTTTTCATAACTATGTATGGTTACCATTCCTGGCGGCGCCATACTTCCTATTGATCATAACATGTTCGTAATTGGTTTCGGGTTTCCTCTCGAGGTTACTCGAGGGCGCTTTCAGGCTATTGTTAACCATTACAAACGATTAGCTAATATAAAGAGTTTTCAAAGCCTGTTCAGAGTAATTGCTCCGCAACCTTTCGCGAAGTAATCGTGTTTTTCTTTTATCTTCCTTCATCAAGTGAGCACTGCCAATTTTTAAATGGCACTTGATTTAAAAATCTTATTACCTTGGTCTACTGAATCTAGTTCGTCGATACAAAAACAGAAAAAAAGGAAAAAATTTTGCTCAAATACCTTCACTCACAGACTAGCTTTGAGTAATGACATTTGGAGAAAAACTTGATACGGTATCAATTCGATGCGTTGTATTTTAGTTACCTGTTGAGTTCCACTAACACGCTCTTCACCTTTGATCCACAGAGAATAGACAACCTTAGAGTACAGGCCTATCATGATCAACATCGGCAGAGCTCCAAGCAGCACAAACCAAGCTACACTAAAAGCCTTGGGCATCCATTCCTCGGGCCAGTGCTCCGTACAAAATTCGTTTTCTTTATCGAAGTAGGACGTCAAAAAGAGAGGTGTGTTTAAAATCAAAACAGAAATCCAAAGAACAGGGATTATAACCTGTAGAAAGGTTTCAAACCAAGCTTTATTGAGCGTTTTACAGTGGTGGCACTAGTGACTTGTGCTCTTTTTATTACTTGTCGGACACTAAAACTCTTGCAACGACAGGTATTACCACTTGATAAGAATTGCAAAAAATTTACTTGTCTTGAAATATTGAAATATTTCTCACCTTATTTAAGCTTTGTAATGAAAAAACAGAATCTACCTTTTTTTCTGAGACAAATCTTGGATCTCTGAGATCCATAGGAGCAGATCCAGGAATATTTTAAGGGGAAGTGGGCCACCTCCCTTAAAAGTGTTCTTGGATCTGCTCTTGTTTTTCACGACAACAGAGACACAATTGAAGAATATCAACTGTCTCTTTTTTAGCGCAATTATGGGCGCTAAATGATTGATTTTGAGCCACTTATCAGACAAGTAATAGATCAAACAGACTTCGACGACCTCTATGACTACCTGTAAGTTCTTTATTGTCATTCGTTACGTCATTAGTTGCAAAAGTGATAGCGAAAATTAAGTTAAGTTTTTCCTACGCCTTTTAAAATGGCTTGGCCCTTTCAGTTGTTTTATTTGAACATTTAAAACAAAGAAACAGAGTAAACGGATTTGAATTTGTCTTCCTTTTCAAAACAGTGATCTGAAAGCTGAAGGTTTTATCTTGGTGCAGCGAATGAATCGCCCTTAATCATATAGGTTTTCTTAAACAGAAAATAGCATACTTACCTTAAGTTTTCCATGTGTTAGTTTCCTTGTGTTATTGTAAGGGGGCATTACAGCGAAGTAACGCTCAAATGCAATAGCGACCAGACTAAACGCAGATGCAGTTGCTCCTGTCCACATCAAGTTTCCCCCGGTCAAGAATTTACACAGGAATGATCCTACAACTCCGTCAGGATGCTGGAAAGTGTGGATCAGAACAAACTGTGGCGCTATAAACAGCGCTACCATGATATCAGCAAAAGCCAAATTGACCAGCAAATAGTTTATAGGTGTCCTAGAAATAAAAGTGTTTTTTTATCTTACTTCAAAGTTTCAAGTTCCTCTCTTTCTCTAAACTTCACATGTCACAAATTATATTTTCAAATCCAAACAGATATAGAAACTATTTTGCAGTTGGTTTTAACAGTGCTTAGAACTAATGCCTCCCTTACAATTCTGGTATATATTCGATCCTTCAGAGGTGATTTTTTAATCAAGATAAACGTATAGTGGATATCAGCACTTCCTCTAATAGTGATTCCCTTCTTCGAGACTTGATAGCAATAAAGAGATGAAACAAACAAGCTGAGAAGACGGCTTTTATGTTTAACTCGAGAGAAAATATATTTGTAAGTTATCGATAGTACACAGACTGAAGTTGTTTGAAGTGTTTTTTCTTTCTCGTTCATTTCTTCGATGTTCTAAAACACCTGTAACTGGATCTACCCAGGATAATGAAACACAGCTTGGTCTCTAGGAAGTTCGATTGATCGCAAAGAAACGCATTTCAAAGAAAATTGCTGTAAGTTCGAAGGAGTGAGAAGCAGCTCCAACTTCTTCATACGGACTCACCTCATTTCTTGGTTTTTAATCATAACAAAACAAACCAGAGTGTTCCCCACGATATCTGTGATTATTAGCACAGAAAACACCACAGCGATCACGGTCTGGGCTGAATCGGTCAACATGATGGATTTTCCTTCTCTTTTCGACTGCAATTTTCACCAAAACGTCAATTTTCTAAGGGAATAAAAATCATGCCTCTAAAAATCATGAAAGAATGTCCCTGAGAGTAAAATTGTAATTGCAGTTTGCAATTTTGGCACTTTAATTTGTTGGAACAAACCGTTAGTTGTGGTTTAAAGACTTGATTGTAAACAGACGTCGAAAATATACCACAAACATAAAATGTAATTTGAATTGCACTCTACCTTGACGTCCAAGTAGGTCCTTACTCAGGATTTACGAACTCAATACGTATATGACAACATCGCGTATCTCGGAAGATCGGAAATGATTGATTTACTGGCCACACAATTCAACAAGCTGGAAATTTAGCGTTTTTCAGAGTAAAACCCTACTTATTATGAACGCCATGGAAAATTATAATCTCAATACACATAATGGACTGGCGTCATATCCCTTACGAAATCTTCAGACCAATGAGAATTGCTTTGATATATCTCTAATCTTTTATGCAGACCTGACAGTATTTAATATAATTTTTAATGGAAAACTCTTTGTTTTCAAGGAAATGAAGTGCTATGGGTGCCATTGACTTTAATTATAGAATTTAATTATACAGAATTTCAAATACTTGAACGATATCTCTGGATTTTTATATTGCAAAATTAGCGTGTGGTTGGAATTTCAAATCTTAAACGAACGGTCTAACAATATTTTCGAACTAATGTTACGAAACAGAGGCAAAGATACGGAACGAAGTCAGCTGTTGTTGTGTTTCATAGACAAGAGCTCACAAAGGCAGGAGGTATATCCGAAGAAAAAAATTTAAAGAAAGAATTTAAATTTCAGACTCGACTTATAATAATATATTTGCTCCACACACTTTTTATAGCCCTTAAAACCTAATCCAAGCCAAATTTTATCAATATAGGAACGATAACTAATTGTATTTTTCCATATATAAACTCGGGGTATAGCTTTATCACTCTGAGAAATGAGATCTATCAAAATTTGTAGTTATCCCTGAGGATCAATCTCGGAAACAAATTGCATGAACAGATCACGTTACCTTTAGATTTATCCAGCAGCATTCATTTCGCCCTTGGGTGAATCGATTATATCTCAAGAAAATGTTTTTCGGCCACAATCAGAACGAAAAGGTAAATGATGTCAACATTATAATTTCATTTCCTTGTTTCCATCGTTCTTCACTTCAAATAAAAGAGACACTGCGTATGGCCCTTATATAACATTTTAATGCCTGAAGTAACAACTGATTGAATAACGGTGAAGATTTTGAAGTCAACGTCTTTGTTCAAAAGAGGGTTAGGCAGGCTTTTAAATGTTCAACAATTGCAAGGTGCCAGTTAGGGCCAGTTCTATTCGCAAAATTGGACGATATCTTATATACTAGTTAACTTTTCACCTAGGTGTCGAAAGCAATCCAGTTTCGTTTTGGTTTTGCTGTTACTACACTACATAATTAGTCTTGGAAACTTGCACGCTTTACTCGGCCGATCACTCATGATGTAGCCACGAGCGTTTTTTCCGTTTATAGTTTTGTCGTTTGTAGTTCTAATAACATCGTCCCTAATAGATAAGTTGTGTTCAAACATCCAACTTGAATGACAAAAGTAAGATGGATAAATTTCCCTGCGAACGAACCGTTAAAAATACAAGATAATTTTGTTTTAACAGCTGAGTTGATAATGTAAATTGGCCACCGTAAAGAGTTTCAAGGCTGAAGTTTCGAGCGTTAGTCCTTCGTCAGAGCGAATGGAGGAATTGTGAGTTGTGCATGTGTTTATTTGAAGAAAATGGAGCTACGCTAGGTGTACATAGTAACGAGAAAAACAAGAATAAGTTGGTTGAATTAAAGGCATATGTTGATAACGTGGGGATTAAGAGTGCCGATTTGAAAGATAAATTTTTGTTCTAGAGCTTTGCAGCTTTCTAAAATTCCTAAATGTAGGGGAAGGACACAGACTATCATGTGCTCAGAATGATTAGGGATGTTAAAGAGTATAGCGACTGGTTTGGATGCGTCCTTGTCACTATCGTGTTTAACGTTTTTACGTGTCTTTTATTTTCCTCTATTTTGTTTCTCGTTTGTCAATTTCCCTTCGTATAATTGTAGTAACTTATCATTTATAATTTCATTTTGGCAACCGCTTCGATTGTTCAGTTCGCATCAATAATTTGATTTGTCTCGTTTGTTGGAATATGTTGTTGAAGAATATTAGAAATCGTGTTTTGGATTTGTAAGAGTAATTTTGGCCCTAAAAAAACGCTATTAACGATCTTGAAGTGCACCAAAACATTTTCAAAAACACTATTAACAATCTTATGACCACCAAAATATTGATCGTTAGAAACTCTTTATGGTGGGCCATTTACATTATCAACTCAGTTGATGAAAGCAAATTATCTTGTTATACTCCTCCACCGGAGTAGCACCTCAGTTTCTTAAGCAAGTTATCACTTTTATTGAAATAAACTAATTTGGCTTGCAGTCATTTTAGGGACATATCACTATGTTTCACAACCAGCAGGGAATTAAACTATTTTAACTTGACAGCTGTTTGAGTGTAAACCCTACAAAAAACCTTGAAATTTTTAGCGATTTTATGGGTATCACTTTGTTTTCTTTTTTTTTTTTTGAACCAACGTTTCAGAGTCTTCATGACGCCATTGTCCTAGTATGTGTTAGGATTATGAATTCTGCGAGTATTGATTAAAACCACTTTCAGGGTTGGTTTTAGTTCTCTGATGAATAGCATCTCGTGCACTAAGCAATGGAATTTATTTTTGCACTTCTTAAGAACATTGAAGCACCTCAGTGGGTCTTATCCTAGTTTTTCATGCAAAGTTATTGCAGTTGTTGATACTCCCAGAATTCATTATCCTCACATTTACCTTGACAATGGCGTCATGAAGACTCCAAAATGTCGGTTCATATCGCTAGTTTTTACGTGTTTATGTATAATTTAGCTTCTAAGAGGAGTAGCCATGTTTATAATGTTTCAAACGTTTGCACCAGAACAAAACTTCCTCAGAAAAGACTATTTCGGTATGCAAATTCTATGTCATACCCTGTTTAGTGCGCTGGCAAAAGATTTCTATTATCTCTAGCCTTAACTCGTTCTCTGACTGATCCTTCGGAATACTAACCGTTTTCTTGTCGAAAAATATCCATGCAAAATATACCTAACACCCTATATACCTACTTGAGAATAGGATTGTACACATTATTATGCTCCATGTTTCACACTATTACATGTCGTTTAAATCACAAGCGGCCCAAGCTCCAGCTGTGAGATGATCATCTTGCGAAATAAGAGTCATGGCGAATTATAAGAGTTTTATCCATTTTTGTACGTAGTAAACTTCGAAATGGATAACTCGCTAAAATGAGTTCTTTTTAGCATAGTAAGCGGTCAAATAGCAAGCGATGCACCGTGGAAATAAGGTGAGGTATTTCCATTGAGAATTTGATCGTGTTTTTTTTAATCCTAAGAGCGGTCGTAAATTTTCCCATACAAACTCTTAAAATTTCGACATGACTCATTTCGCAAGATGACCATCTCACAGCCGCCTGTGCTCATATAACATCACTAATACGCTCCGTTATAATTACCGGTATCATAAAAATAGCTAATATGAAGTCGAAGTGTACCATGAAACTCGCAGATTCAAATTATCAAGCTTTCTCCGGTTCTTAAAAAATAAAACGAGTGATACAACAAATGGATAATTACTCAAGGGGCTGGGACTCCTTGTTTCTTTTAAGTCCAAAATTATTCCTCCATTTCTAACAAGTTCTTTGATGTAACGACCGTATTCTTTGATGTAACGACAGGCTTCTTGCATCCTTCACAAATAACATCGTCTACATCGATCGCCCAAACAATCACAAGACTCGAAGTCGTTTGTACAGTCTTTGCTTTTTGAAAATAACTTCCTTCCACACATTACACAACAATTTTAAGACTTTGCCGCTTCCATCTAAGTTCCAGAGGGGAAAAATGACAAGAAAGGTTGTCTCAAATACACGACCCATTGCTGTTTTTCGACGTATTTTCCTCCTTCTTTTCTTTCGCGATTCTCGAGCGGGAAACCGTTGCAAACGCATACCAGCGGTTTCTCGCATCAAACTAAAATTTACAGAACATGTGCAACAAAATGCCTCTCTGCTGGTTTGCGTATATTTTTTATAAAACACAATTGAAAAGTCAAAGAATGTTTATTTTATCTCATTGTTTCTTATTTTTTGTTTATCTATGTATTTTATTTATTTTTCTGCACAATTATTCCAGCATAATGCTTAATTCTCAAAATTATGCCGGCATAATGTGGACAACGATACAGAAGGGTCTGGCATGTTAAATGTCAATACACACTACGGTTCAAATTGATTCGCAACCACATACCAAAGTTACTGTGCTCGAAAAACAATTGCATGTACTCTAATTGAGCGAATACAACCATTTCTTCTAATCACGATAACCTTGCAAGTCCGCCCACATTATCCCTGCGACACGAGCTGCAGATCCTGCGAGATTCAAGACGGCGAACAAGTCAGGCGTGTGAGAGGTTTCCAAGGAGTCCAGCACTCTTATTTTGGAGGCAGATCCCTGACGGACCTCTCGCGCGCTCACACCTTCTCAAAGCGAGCGTCTCGCCGCTCGTGACGCAGGGGCCAAGTTGAACCTAATCGCGGGATGAGTTCAATCCAAATTCGAATCGCTTGAGTATCTTAGTTCTGCTTGTTCATTGGCATAATATAACTCATTGCTTTAAGTTTTTTCTGTCCTCTTGCATGCCATCTGCGGTGGACTCTAAACTTCCCGTTCGCGGTTTGACTCGTATGTTGGATACCACGGTAGGTTGTGTGACAGCGTCAGTGGGATCGTAGGTATTATTGGTTGACTCAATGAAGGCCCCAATTCGGTTTCCGCAGGTCTTTTCACAACATAACAAACTTCTGACTTTTCTTTGAAATTTCTGGTTTACAAAGACGTAAATAAAAGGATTGACAGTAGAATTGCACGTAACTAGAACGATACTGGTGATGTAGGTAACATCTCCATAGTTCTGCGAAGGACTGAAGTAGTTGAGCGCGTAAGTAGTCAGGTTTGGCAACCAGCATACGCCATAAATTACACTCACTACAAGTACCATTCTGGTGACACGCTTTCGCACCCTTAACACACCCTGAAATAACGAAAAAAATAAAGTTTAACATTCTCATCTACATCATATGTAAAGAGCATCGATATAAAACAACTTGTGCCCTGTAAACTTCGCAGGTGTCAAAATTTCGAACAGGCATTTCTTTATGTTTTGCATGCTAAAACGTCAGTTGTTTAAAATGACTAGGGCTAATAATTTCAGAGTGTAATGATCTGTTCAAGGAATCAGCAAGAAGCCTAATAATTTCAAATGCTCTGACTTTCCGAGTCGTTCAGAGCTGGAGGGGCACCACAAGGTTGGATCATTCGAATGAGTCCTTAGCAAACTGATATTTGTTCGCCTTGAGTAGGAACCTATCTTAAAAATCCGCAAGAGTTAATGAACCAAGAAAATATGAATTCTACAGGGTATAACCACTTGAGACTCTGTGTCATTATTTGCCTTTGGTTTCAGTATCAAACCCGTGATGAAAACAAATCCTGAATCACCTTTGGGTTACAATTGGCTGAGACACACAACAATAACTGACAAATGCAGAAAGAGATATACGTTTAAAGTACAATGTCATATGCTGGAAATTTACACTTAAAGGATTAGATCATTATATAGTCGATAGTGTGTGGGATACCTGCCGGGTATTTTGCGTGATGTTTTCAACAGTGCCATCCTCTTTTTGGAACCAGAGCACATATACTACCCTGGAATACAACATGATCATCAACAGTATCGGAATGAGTCCAGCAACAAAGAACCATGTGGAGCTATATGCCTTCGGAAGCCAGTCAGGTGGGGGCCAGTACTCCATGCAAAAGTTTTTCTTCTTGTCAAAATATATTGTCAGGAATAGGGGAATGTTGAGGATACCTGCACCAATCCAAGATGCAGGAATGATGATCTGTTAAAAAAGTATGATTAATGAAATAACTGTGTACACTTTATTCAAAAACCGTAAGACGTCGGAAGCAAAAAAGGCGCGAAAGATGAACGTCAATCAATAAAACCATAAATACTTTTTAATACTGAATGATAAAAATTATAAATTGAAGGATTTATCTTGGCTTTAATTTTGTTTCTTAGATAAATTAATCGCACCTGTCCTGATGTTTCTGGGAGAAGTAACCTTAATTTTTCCTTTATAACGGTATAGGTCAGTAATAAACTTTTCCGCACCATCTACGCCTCTCTTTCGTTTTAAAGTAGCTATAGAACGTTCGCAGATCAATTCAGAGAAGTAGCTCAATTGAGGTCGTAGCTTTATTTTCTCGTCATTTAACGCGGGCTTGAAACGCGCCTCGTAGAATTATAGGCTTCGTAAACCGCTGGCAAAAAAGAGCGTTTCATAATTGTTAGTTTGTTACTTGTCTTGCTGTTACCGTGGTCGTTTTTAAAACAGCGCCTACTTATGTATATACTTCTACCTTTAGCTTGTCGTATGTAAGTTTCCCTTTGTTGCCGTAAGGATACATCACGGCATAATATCGCTCAAACGCAATTGCCACAAGGGTAAAGACTGATGCAGCACCGCCAGTCCAAGTAAGGTTTCCCCCAGTCAGAAGCTTGCAGACCCATGTCCCTGCCTGTCCATCTGGATGTTCGAAGGTGTGGATCAAAATAAAGCGCGGAGCGATGAACAACGCCACCATGGCATCTGCTACAGCCAAGTTTAGAAGTAGAACGTTCATGGGAGTTCTGAATAATCATAAATAATAACATCAATACCGGTTCATTGTTAACACAATAAACCGGACACAAGACTCGAACGAGATTCAATTCCTTGACCCATTTTTTAGTTATTTAACTAACAGACTCAAATCATGTTTTTGTTTCCTTTGTAAGTTCAAGTTAGCAGGGTTCTACAGTAGCAGTCTACCTTTTTCAAAATAGGTATTAGTTGAGACCAGTGTAAAGAAATCTGAGCATTTTAATTAATGCAGTGTGATATTCCTTGTTTAAGTTGTGTGTTGGGAAAAGAGTTAAAATAACGATGAGTGCAAGCATTATAAATCCGTTGCAGTCTTGGTGAAATACCTCATATCTCGGTTCAGTATGATAACCAGACCCACGATTGTGTTGCCGATGAGATTCGTGCTGACCAGAATGGAGAACATGGTAGTGATCCCAATCTGTGCTGAATCTGAATCCGTGTAGAGCGACATGATAATTCTGATTTACTGTATGATAAATAAATCGTATAACAAAGGTCCTTAAGAAAAGGAACATTAAGTGTGTCTCTGAAGTGGCAGAAGATGACTGGGACTTAAGATTTCAAAGGAAATTTAAGGAAGAATTCCCATGGCACGCCGTGAACAAGGCTATTCGCTCTATTTGATCATCACAGCAGGTTACTTTTTTCTGCTTATTTGCAAATGCAAACAGGAAGGAGGACTTCTAAGTATTGATTAAAATATATGGTTATGTTTACCTAACCTTCTTTACAGCGAACCTTCTATTTTAAACCTAACTTGAAGTAGAAGTGTGTTTTCTGATAACGTGTTTTTTTGCTTCCTTTTTTTATAGTTTTCATTTTCATTGACATTTTTTTTGTTGTTTTTGCCAACTTTTGAAAACAAAAAATACTTCAACATAAAACAGAAGTCGAACATACGCAGAGAAGAACACAATTTTCTGACTAGATCTAAGAAATTGCCTCAAGAAATTTATTTTACTTAGATGACGCATGCGCAAAGACAGTTCTTACGGAAGAAATACAGTAGAATCTCGTGCAACCACGTTGCAGAGCCGAAGAAAACGAAAATTCGGATAATTGTTGCCTGAATTCCCCAGCGCCAGTCCTCATTTGACTTGCGTCAAAGACAATAACTGTTTTCTTGAAGAACTGATTTTAACAAATGCCATTAACTGTGCCGATTGTTTAGACCCGAAATAGATCTAGAAACAATTTTTGCAGGTCTCATAAACGTGCAGAGTCTCTCAGGGAAAGTCTGATATTTTACAATTATGACTGTTCATATAAGACAAAAGTGCGGAAAAACTTGTAATAAAAATATCTTAATTTTCAGCTTTTAACGTTACGTTATGATAATGAACTCACCCAGTTTTATCAAAGGCATGGAAAAGCTTATTCTCAAACGTTATTGATGTACATTCACCTATTTTATCACTGAAAAGTTTCAATACACGTAGCCCGTTTTTCATTCTCAATCAGTAAATATGTTGCTTGTAATTTTAATTCATTATTATTAGAACTCTGCGTTAATTGCAAAAACTTGGGGTGCCTTTTTATTTGTTTATTTATTTTGTGCTATTTTCTTTTCTGCTATATTTCAAGCTACGAAAGTATAAATTTTCATTTTTTTTTTGTTTTACAACTTTTTGATCAATTTGAGCATTCGAAGAAAGCAAAATAACGTCAATTTTAAGACAAAAAAAAGTCTTTTAATTGCCGACATCGCACAATTTGCATTCATTATGACAACAGATAATCTACCCAGCAAAGAAATGGCGAATAAAATAAACAGCAAAATGAAAACAGCGATCATATTTCACAAATGCATGAAGACATATTAGAAGAATTGCTATTTCTTGGCCTAAGCAATGTTATTATGTGAGTTCCATGCTTACCTGTCCTTAGATCAGTAAAAATTTAATTCAACAGACTTCTTATTAAACAACTCTTCTGCCAACTGCCAGGATGTGTTTTTTGACGTTATATCTCTACCCGTGTTAAACAACTGATGAAACAATCAGGAACCCTTCGACAAAAATTCATATCAGTCAACGCTTAGATAACATATCACTCTTGCGTGCAGATAAGTAATTATAATAAATATTGACAAAGTATCTTTTGTATCCTGGGTCCACGCGGCTTCATAGATATGAGAGGGGAGGAGATTATGTTAATTTTGTAAACCAATTAATTAAAGTTTCTGTCCGAGCAAATGTTGTGACAAGTAATAAAGAAAGTAATTTCCTTAATCCCTTTTGGACTAAAATAGCAACCACCTCCTTCTCTTTTTTTATCACAATTTGTTTCAAAGGGTATTAAGGATTGACTCTAAAGATTCACAAAAGGAACAAATTCACCCGTGACCATCATCGTTAAAAGTTAAATGAAAACTGGACGATATCATTTAAAGATATTTCAGGGAGAAGTAAGGAATTATCTTGAATATCTTTGGGACATAAAACATCATAAAATCCTGAAAATATCAGATTTTTTAAAGTGAATTGACGAAAAAAGTTAAATTCAACCATTGTTTTATATTTGTGAAGAATTTCACAGTATTTGTAGAGCGAATAATACATTTTGAGACAAATTTATCGACTCTCGGTAAGATCCACCGTCTGAGATTGATTTCCAGCTGAGATAAATCCACAATTTACGATAATAATGGCTGGCTTTATTTTATCCATAGTTTTAGCGAAAAAATCTAAGCGGATCAACAATTTACAGGTTTAGTTACAACTTGTGGTGTTAGCGTAGAGAAATTTTATTTCGTAATTTTGCGCATCAGTAAATGAACGAATATGCCAATGATAAATTATGTAGAATTCACAAAATGACGTGTTAGTGCAAATACACCAGAAATTTACAATAAAAGAAGAACAATAGATAAGATGTATTTTATCGTCGCCACTTTTTTCAGACCTTACTTTGTCACAACTCTTTACTTGTAACTTAATTGTTCAAATTAAGGGTCAGTGAAACAAAAGTTATCTTTAGGGCGTACGTTCCTTCTCCGGAAATGTGCAAGAAATATCCCATACTACCTGTTTTCAAATTTGGAAACCCGTAGCTTTTAACTCATCTACTAGATTACGTAACAGAGTGTTTGATGGTAATGGAATGGTTTGAAACTTTTGAAGCACAGGAAAAAACACTGCCAGACTAGGTTCTCCCCCAAACCCCTCTCCTTTACCCCAACTGGCCCTTGTATGATAAATGCTGTCAGTGAACTTTCAGATAATAAAAGAAGGTTAAGGAATTTCTGAAAGACTCATTTTTCACCATCTTGGTTGAAAATGAAATTCGTGCCAGTACCTAAATGAATTATTTATGTAATTATGGTGTTATTAACATATTTGCATGCAAAGAGTCTCAAACTGATTTCCTCTGAAATGATTCCCATATCATTTTCAAAAAATAAAACTACAAAAACTGAAAATTTTACGAGAATGTTCTTCACTTTGTTAAATGTATCATGTTATTTAAGATCTCCGCAAACTGCTATTTCTTATCCCAATTTACCAAACAATGCTTGAGGAAAAGAATTACGTAATTTTACTTCAAGATGAAGGTATCGATGACAAAGTAATCCTCTCGGAAGGTGTCCCCAATTTGTTTTACAAACACCTGATATTTGTGTATTTTGAATGTATATTCTGGCCTGTTTTTCAATATAAAAATCGTCTGCTAAATATATCTAAGCTGAGTTGAAATCAACAACCAAAGCAATATAAGCAAGCTTTAAGTTAGTGAAATATGTAGCGTTACTGATTTGGTTATTTCTGGTAGAAATTCCTGCTGAGAAATATGAAGTACAAGTTTAATTAAAAATGATTTCTGCTCTGACTGACTATTCAGGCAGCGACAAAATTGAATTAAGACTTTTACTTCCTATCAGAAAATTGAACAATGCAAATTCATAAAAAGGAGGAAACACAGCATGACTTGTTTCTTTAAATGCATCAGTAATTTAACTTGACGTTTTTATATGGAACATATTCTGTCATTAATGATACTTTTCCTAAATTTGTTTCTTTGGGATCTTCTGTAACTTACCTGCTACAGAGTTGTTGGGACAATTGAGATGTTTACTTACCGCTCTCCCTGTCCGCAACCCATAAAATAGCTGTTATCAGCGTTATCAAAACGATGCAGTTTTGGTTTAAACTGTGCTATGAGATGTTGAGTAAACAGGTGTACAACATCTATGAAGAAAAAGAAGTCTTTCGACTTGTTGACCCCATAGCAACAGTGGAAATAGATACTTCATTAATAAGGGATTTCTACTGCACCTTTCTTCTTTCATTTTATTTCAAAATGGATAGCCTCATATCCCTTGCGAAATCTTCATACTAGTAAGAATACCGTTCAATATATCTTTTTTTTTAAGCAACAATGGAAATGGATATTTCATTAATAAGGGATCTCTACTGCACCATTCTTCTTTCATTATATTTCAAAATGGACAGGGTCATATCCCTTGCGAAATCTTTAAACCAATAAAAATAGTGTCCAATAGATCTTTTTCCTTTAATGCAGACCGAACAATACTCAATATATACTTTTAAATAAAAAAATTATTTGTTTGCGAGAAATGAAGTGCAAGTGGCTGTGTTAATTCAAAGCGATTCATGATTCAGAATTCATTTTAAAATCTCGAATAAATTTTTTGGATTTTTAAACCAAGGATTACAATGAAGCTGTCATTTCAAATCTTATGTGGTTATACAATGATTTAGAATCATCAGTTGTGTAATAGCTGCAAAGTAACGGTAGGGAAATAAACTTTGTTTATTGGTGCATTTGTTTGGGGAGATAAATTATCCCAAAGATATTTTTATTTTAATTTTAACTTCGGAATTGATTTGATTGTCTCATGAATTCCTTTAGCCCTTGAAACCTACTCCAGGCTAACATTTTTCAATGATAGAGAGGGATTTTGCGGCAAAAATTAATTGACACTTCCCAAAACTCGCTAAATGACTTTATCATCATGAACAATCACAACTTGTAGTGTTTCCTGCGGATGCATGTTGAAACAGACTACTTTGAAAGGGAATTTTCAATTTATACAAGTTAACTTTAAGTTTTAACTTTAACCAGCAGGAATCCTTCACTCTCTTCGAATCAATGGCATCTCTAGTTTATCTGGCCATGATCATGCAGACCAGAAAGAACTTGCTTTTTTGGCATTCTTCCTTTTCGTAGCACACTTGTCAAGAGTCGAAAGAAGAATTGAAACACTTACCGTGTTCCCATTTCGTAACAAGAATAATTCTTGCCAGAAAATATCTTCTACTGGCCTGATCAAGGCGATGCAGTGTTGGCTAAAGTCTTTTTCCGAGGTATAGCGCTCGTAAGCGCATAGCATCGTAAAAGAAGTCTTACGACTAACTGGCACCATGGCAACAGTGTAAATGGAATTTTCACCTAGGCGCTTTTAAAAAAATGCATCAAGCTAAGTCTCCAGTGATTCGTGTCTGATAAAAATTCACCGTGTTCCCATTCAGTAACAAGAATATATCTCGCAAGAAAATATCTTCTTCTAGCCTGATCAAAGCGAAGCAGAAATGGCTAAATTTTTTCTCCGAGGTATACAGCTAACACGTGTGTAGCGCCGTAAAAGAAGTCTTACGAAACATTGACACCATAGCAACAGTGTAAATGGAAATTTTACTTCAAAAAATGCCTTAGGCTAAGCCGTCTCCAATGATTAATATCTGATGAAAATTCACTTTAATGTATTTTCTTAAGTCACGCAATGGCAGAAGTAATAATGATGCAGAATTTTCCAAAAGCGATAAGGTATGGGCAGAAAGAAATAAAGATACATGGGCCAAAGTTTTAAGTCATTTGAGTAAACAAACACTCCTGGTAAATGCAAAGAAAAGACTGCAATTTACTTTTCGGTAACGATTGGTTATCATTGGTCATGAATAAACAATAGGCGCCAATACAACAAACATAAACAAAAAACATCATCACAAAAAATTCACTATCAGTTAACGTATGGATAAATCCAAGCTAATCACAGCGGACATTGTCATAGGAAAGGCGCAATCTTAGTTGTAATTGTCGTCCAACGGCACCTAACCAACTTGTATAGATTTTGACGAAACTGTTGACTTCGGAGACTGTACACCACAGGGTTGATAGAAGAGTTGATGGTCGCGAGTACTATAGTTGTCTTGTGCGGAACAGAATACATAGACTCTGATGGAATAACATTGGCTAAAAAGTAGATTATTAACGTGGGTACCCAGCACACGACGTATATAGCACTCACTAGTAAGACCATGGTGGTAATTCGTTTCCTGGATCGGATGAAAGCCATTTGAGAGAGGTTTTTACCAACAGTGCTATTGAACCAAAGGTGACGTGCCACCTGGAAGAAAGTTTTATGCTGTTAGCTTTCTCTTGATAGATAAATTCACGTTGAATCCTTCCGCTTGGACGTAATCTTTTGTTATTAAGTTAGACAGTCAGTCAGTCAGTCTCAATAAAATAGTCAGTCTCTCTCATAGTCCATCAGTCAGTCAGTAAGCCTGTCAGTCAGAAAGCCAGTCATTTAGTCAGTCTGTCAGTCAGTCAGTCCGTCCGTCCGTCCGTCAGACAGTCAGTCAGTAAGTCAGTCCGTCGGAGAGTCCGTCGGTCAGTACATCAGTCAATCAGTCAGTCTGTAAATTAGTTACTTACAAGTTATTAGTTAGTTAATTGGTCAGTTAGTTAATCGCTTAGTTTGTTAGTCAATTAGCTATATATTTAGTTTATAAATTAATCAATTCTTATAGGCGGATTTAAGCTGTGTGTATTGATTGACATGTGCATAACAACCCATGGAAGTCCCTCAGCCCCCTTCTCTGGGATTTAATGAAAATGAACCTGATTCACTTGATATCTCACCTTGAAGTAAATAACGCTCATGACAACAATAGGAATTACACCTCCCACAATGATCCATCCAAAGCTATAAATCTTTGGTAGTATAGAATGAGGCCATTGTTCTGCACACGTCTTCATTTCATCGTTGTATGTGACTGAAAGGTATAGTGGAAGGCCCCATAACACTGCTATAATCCAAATGACCACAACAGTCGCTCGAAGGCTTCTCCCCTTACCCACTCGTCTCTTAAAGGGTTGAAAAGTGGCATAGAAAACTTCAACAGCGATAGCAACCAGGCTGTAAATTGACGCAACTGCTGCAGTCCATGCAGTGGTTCCCCCAGAAATGAATCTACAAAGATATTCCCCTATTTGTCCCGCTGGATGGGTAAACGTTGGGCCAATCACAAACTTGATCCCCATAAAGATGGCTACCAAGATATCAGCGATCGCCAAATTGATCAAAAGGTAGTTCATAGCTGTCTTCATGCTTTTGTTCTTGAGGATAACTAAGATGACCAGAGTATTGCCAAGAAGGTCTGTTATAATCATGAAGGAAAATGCCACAGCGAACCCAATGTATTCTGAGGATACATTCTCTGGGTCTCCTGTGCGCATAAGAAACTTCATTTAAAATTAAGTATCTATCTAGAAATACCAAATTATTTTATGCTAAGAATATGCTTATTTCATGTCTTTTAATCAAAATATTTGGGGTGCGGGTAGGCTTTCATGATTAGCTCAGCAGGACGCACGTTTTTCCGCCCGTAGGAAGATTCGAGACAGAACAGGAAGAAGTTTGCAAGGTTTGGTACTAAACATACGTGGGCGGCATGATAATACATTTTTGGACCGCCAGAGCTTATACAGTTAACATTATGGTGATTCACTTTTGAGTCATTAAGAACAAATTTTTACATAGACAGATGTGTACGGCTTCCAAATACGACTCTGATTTTGCTTTATTTTTATCCTCATTCTCCAATCCATTAACAATAAAGAAATTATTTCTCGTCAATATTTGAAGAAAATGCAAATATAATTCATTTTTGCCAAGAATTATTTATGAGCTGATGGAAAAAATTGGGTCATTGCCGTTTTCTTTCGTCATTTGTCGCACTTTGTTGGTCATTAACTCTCACGTTAGATTAATTGAAGGTAAAAACAGCGCACACCAATTAAAAAAGGAAGCGGACTAAGCAAGTATTTTTTAGCTACGCAAACGGAAAAATGTCTTGAGGGACATCAATTTGCTCTGCGTAGATTGTAGAAAGACACATTCGTTTTATGATGATAATTTTACGTTATTGTCGCTTTTGATAGCTTTAGAATCATGCCCTCTTCACTGCGATTTTCTATACATGGCCAAAAAAATTTTCACTTTATTAATGCGATCTGATCAGTTTCAAACGGACGACAACAAAAACATGGATGCAGTGATCTATATAAACATGAGCACTCAGACATGTCTGGTTTCCTGTTTTCATTTACCCTAAGCCTTAAATTGCAAGACGCTTTTCCGAAAAAAAAAAAGAACTGTTTCCGTTGCATTTGCACTTTGAAACCGTATTAAACCTTGCGTACAAGCATATAGAACATTTTTCAAATTTCTTCCATATCATGTTCTGTTTATAGACTGTACTCACCTAAAAGTCTGCTGCACCCTAACAGTGAGATGTGAACGACAAAATAATAAAAAGTAACTCAACGTAAAACTTTTCCAAAATTAGAGGGTGCAATGTTTCGTTAAGGTGATTAACATCTGCTGTGTTGAAAAAGATAAATCGATTTTGGTTCGCTTTTTTTCTTTTCCTTTTTTTCAATATGGAGAGCTTGGCGGCGATTTAATGAAAATGTAAAAAAGTATACAAAAGATTGGGGAAAAAAAGTTAAATAAGTAATTTTTCTTCAGTGAATTGGAAGATATAATATTTCCCTTCAAACTTATGTGATACCGTTCTTAAAGATCGCGAGGGCATATCAGCTGTCTCATAATTAATCTTTCCAAGATTGCACCAGGGAAAATTTTAAGCTTAATCTGTATTACTGACAATGATATCATTAAGCTTAGGCCAAAATAGATTGTGGAATGAATTCTTAAAATATTCAGAAAATAAATTGATTTTTATTTTCTTTTTCAACTTCACGGCATGCCTTATTTTACGATTTGGGCAGAAAGGAAACTCAGACCTCAAATACATTATTTCACGAGGAAAGAAAAACTCCCAATGTTTGCTCTTTTTCATACGCGATTCGTTTAAAATGCTACTGTTGATAGATATAGCTAAGCTTTCCTCAGCCTCCAGTGAAATATCACATAAAGATGTAATCATTAACACCAGCAAACATTTTGATGGAGGTACCCTCTTTCAGAGAATCGAAAATAAATAATTGCCTCCAAAAGGTATATGATAAAAGCGCGTGAAGGCCATTAATGAATCATGCTCTGGGAGGTAGTAGATCAGCTTAATTAATGCTCTGAGAGATTTCATTTGGGAAAGTTTCAAAATTAAGCTGCATTTTATAGCAATATACTCCACAAAGTTAGGCAAAATAAAACTTAAGATGAATCAAATATGTCAACAAATTACGAAATTATTCACCTTCCAGACGCACTATATTTTTACCTGTGGTCAAAGCGGAAATAAGTTTGCCACTAAACAAAGGAGAATCCTATTTAAAGGTTTTCCGCCATTATCTCTGTTTTGATCGTAGATGTCAATAGCAGTCTGTCAGTTTTTTTTTCTTTTTTCCATGTTAAGAGATGATTTTTTTCTCCTGAACTCGATTTTGTTTGAAACAACGTATGTTAAGCTCAAAAAAACCATCTGCCGTTTTTTTTCGTTGAAATAATGAGAAGATTAAAACTACAAGCACGACTCCCCTCAGCCTACCATGTTTTTCAAGATAAATTGATCAATCTAGGTTCGCCATACTCGAGTGCGTTGCTCAAATAGAACTTTGGAGGCTTTGGAAAAGGTTTGGAATCAATTTTAAATGAAGAACGGCTACATCGATATCTGTATTCTTGACTTAGAGAACAGGCGCACCCCGCGACCATCAGAATTTTTAATTTTCCATGTTGAATTTTAAATGTTTTGTTCTAAAGAAGAGAGAAACGAGAATGTTGCTTAGTTTAAAATATGTTTCCTTAAATCACTATTAATAAACGTAAGCTATTAAACTCCACTAACCTGCTGAAGTTGTTTCGTTCCATTTCATTGTTAGACGCCTTTACAACCAACTCAACATCACATCAACTGAAACAGTGTGGTTTATAATTTTATGAGCTCTACAGCCAGACCACTGAGAACGTCACGCTGTAGAGCCAAAAACCTTCCAAATGTGTAATTTCCCTCAAGAAAAACCACAATCTGCTTGTTGGTTTTCAATCGAATGTTTTCCGTTCTAAATAGCCTTGACCATCAATAAAATGGATATATTTTTACGGCCTTTGATGTAAATGTCTAGATTAATATCCTTCTTAATTTGCGACGTAAGTCTTCTCGAAAGAACGCAGACTAAAATTCAAATATTTGTTTTCTCACACACTCAGTGTATTTTTTAATTTAAGACATTACGCTTCCCATGAATAACCAACAGCTTATATCTATTATGCAATATGAAACTAAAAATTTGATTTGTCACCAACAAATTTCAACTTTTGCCTATAAGAACCGTGACACAGTTCGAAATTTAATGACCTTAAAAAGACACACGATGTCCTTCGCATGTGTGCCTATTGGGTAATAGAGAATCATCCCACCGACTTGCTTCATAATTGTTTTAAAGCGCCAGAGAAAAATGAGTTTTAATTGTTACGTTAGTGGCGTGCATCTAAAGAGAGCAGTTTTGACAAACTCATTAAAAAGGTATTGCGATCCAGTCTCGTTATGATCCTTTAACAACTCCAAAATACAGCATTACCATATTTCGTGCGAGCGCAAACGTTCAATGATCAACAAAAAAAAAAAAAGGTAGCCGACGGGGAGGAAGGAAGAGTAATAAATTTTAGAGATGTAAGTAGCCACTAAAAAAAAAAATGTTACACATCAGTTCGACGTTCCCACTACTTGCGAAGCTTATGAAAAAAGAATTAATTTTCTTTCGCATTTAAAAACGAAGAAAACAATCTTATATTTTCCGTTGTTTCATCTTTTATTATTCATCTATTCTTGCCTAAATTAATTCAAGTAGGAATGAATGGTTAAGAACCAGCTGAAGCTATCCCGTCAATTGTATTGTCATAATAAGAAATATGGAAACTATCGCGCTCGTTGGTTGAGAGTCTTATCAAATAAGAGTACTAGAGTACTTGTTTTTCCCATGTCTCTCTTGATTCAAAGATGATGTTAAGAAAAAGTTTATGATTTCTTTAAAACTTCATTTTTGGTATACGTCTTTCCTACCCTACCAATCTATTGCAACACAAATATGCTTGGAAGATTAGCCAAGGTGAACTGATAAGAGAATGCTTTTCATTTTTTTTTATAATGGTAACAGCAATTAAGCTGTCTATCTTTGTCCATCGGTCATCAAGTCATGCGTAGCTTACGAATCATATTGAATTACGTAAAATGGATCTTGTATTTCGCAACGTTGACTCTTGACAAGTTGAATTTCTACCTCAATTTTTAATGCAGCCCTACTTAAGATTCGGCAAAACAAGAAAAAAATCAGCGATATCAAAATTGTAAGGGACCCACAGATGAAATAAGAATTACACTTCATGGGAAATTCACAAAGAAAAAGAGTGTCTTAAGACTGTTACATAACAGTTAGATAAACCAAGCCTCCCGCCTTCTTCATAATTTAACGAGGTACATGTTCTTCGAACCAATAACCTAGTCATTAATCCAGGGCGAAGATGAAAAGTAGAGAGCAACATCAAATAGCAGAGCAAGTAAGTGGTGTACAGACGCTAAGAAATGAAATTTGAGTGCGCTAAATTGGGATAATCAAACGGTGTTATCTAAAACCATTTCTAAGTCTTTCACGATATCTTTGCTCCTCAAGCAGTACGAGAAACTTTTGAAAGGAATCTTGGCGCTGCAGCAAATTCTAAAGGAAAACAATTTTCGAAATTCTTTGCGAAACTCCTCGTTTGCCAAACAGTATATCCATGGATTTATACACGAGTTCGACAAAGCCAAAACCAAAAAGTAGTCGCTTATTGGACTCGATAGAGACGTCACTTTAAATATACTAAGGATATAGTTCAGTTGATCTGGAAGCCAACACAGTGTTAAGAAGAGTGCTGTCAAAACACACACGTGTAAAAGTCTAGTTTTTGTCTGGATACCGCTGGCTGTATTCATTGCGGGTGATTTCCTCACGCTTATCCAAATATGGAGGAAGGAAACCCATGTTACAAAGCTTGGAATAACAAATGTGACGAACACGTATGATATTACCATTGCTTTCAGACTGATTGGCCTAAGCGTTTCCTCTGCCCAACGACATCCATCTTCGCTTGGAATTCTCCGAGACAGACGGTACAATTGTAAGACACAATTTGAAATCCAAATTGTAGTGATATAACACGCCAAACGTCTACTCGAAAACTGTATTCTGTACTGTAGAGGTTTAACAGACGCGAACCATCGCTCAATTGCCAGGCACATCACCATTAGAACAGAAGCTTTGCCCATGGTGAAGATAAGGAACTTTGTGTCAATCAGATGACAGAATAAGCTTAATCCAGTCATACCTGTAGGATATGGGAATTTATCTACCGTTATTATAAAACAAGGTGTAACTACGATAACAGCACCTGGGAATAAAGAAACAAATGACCGTGAATAAGACATTATATATATATATACAAATTCTAGGTAACGGTATCTAGATCATAACAATGTGCATTTTAGGAAATGAAAATGACATCAGCATCAAACGACAACAACACCAAAAACATAGGGGTAGCTTCAGCACAACCATTAGATTCTCAGCGTACCACCCACATTAATGGATGACTTGTGGTGAAAAGTTGTATTGTCAAATTGTTGATCAAATAGCAGAAATAAAGATTACATGTCTATTTCAAGGTGATTAAAAAATTGGATACCAATATTCACCAAGAGTACAGGGATTACTGTAACAATTTTACTTTCCAAAATTCGTACCTGTAACCATATCCGTCATTGCCAAAACAATCAGGAGGATGTTGTAAGCCTTTTTTAGAAGACATCGCTTTCTAAGTAGAACCACACAGAAAAATAAGTTACCAAAAATTGAGAGAAAGGCGATTAATCCAAAAACAGCTTGCAGGAAAACTCCAGAACAGTTCCCAGGAGTCTTTTTTGTCGAGAACAGAGAGGGCGTCACGTTGATGAAAGTCGTTGGCAGAGTTTTCATTTTATAACTAGAGCCCTGTTAAGGTAAGAACTATAGCATTCTTCAGTCCAACATTACGGCTGGACTTTTCTTAGCGACAACTACTAAATTTCAAATGAATCTGGCAGTTTTTAATTATGTACTGCTTTACAAACACAAGCGTAATTGAAATTAATCAAACATTCTTGTTCGGTTTCCAAAGGCTGTAAAGTAGGTTTTCAAACGCCCTAGCTGTGGTTGGTCCATATCGTGTTTTTCTTGGTTTTCAATTTGACCTGTCATAATTTATTTATTCAATCTTTTTTACTATGTTTCTATTTCTGTTATTTTACGTAAATGAAGGTAAACATGCCACAAATTCAATGTTTCTTTTTCTTTCTCTTTTTTTGGTTTGCTTGTTGTTTTTCCTATTCTCTTTTCCTATTGTCTTTTTCCATTGTCTTTTCTGTGATTTTGTCCTCTGAGAATATTCATTCATTACTCGCGCCGAAAAAATTCTAAACATGAATTAATGCTAAATTTACTGCCATTTGCACATGCACTGAAGGCTTTTTAGCGCATTGGCCATTGAAATAGTATAAAGTATTTAAACAAAAGTTTCCATTTGACGCTCTGAAATTGTTCAGCGTCACACATTCAGAGAGGCATTTTTTAAAAACCGGAGAATAAGAGCCTCAGACCCTCATACGTTGGCGCTAATGATTCATTCCCATATATATCTGGAAGCGATGCATGAAACTCAGTATATACACGCCAGTATTTATGTCCTTCTGGGCACCAAGTGGAAGAGAAAGCCTAATAACGAGAAAGGAAACTAGGCTAATACTAATACCGCGTCCGGAAAATAATCAAGGCATCTTTTCCCTAGATTGACCATGAATGGGATTAGAACCAGTAACAAATATTTACTAAAGCACGTTTTCTAATGCTTCAATTACTGACCAAGTATTTAAGATATTTAGGAAAACTTGTATGACTAAAATTTCTGATTAACTTATTCGTGAGTAAGCTGATTCTTGAAATGAAAACATGAATAAAAATAGATACAGGTGATATTTTGCGATATATGATGTACTGATTCCATAAAAGGTCAAATAGACTTTGTTGGGGGCTTCAAGCCGGAAATTGACGAAAAGCTTATTATGAAAAAACAATTATAAGTGGAGGTATTGGCAACACTTATGATAGCCATTTAAAACTGGATGAATGTTTCCATTAGAAGCTTAAAAGACCTCCAACAGATGAACCTTATCTGTCATACATTTGATAATATCTTGAGATGACATGATAATCACAGACTTTTCCTGCCTTAAAAAGGCATTTCAATTTTTGCTCGGAAATTTAAACGTCATCATCTGACTTGAAACAAGTCTTTACTTTTCAATAAATTTCCTTTTCTGTTTTTTACCAAAACAACGATCGTTGAATTACGTCCGCTTAAAAATGTTGGTTTTATAGATTTCCAGATCAAATTATCATTTTATATGCAAGCTTTTGATTTTAAGAAAGCATCATTTTGACTATTACTTCCGAATAACTGTGTAAATCAAATTGTTTTCCTTGGTGTTTTTGTTTTTACACAAAACAGATTCTAGATATGCTTTTTATTTTACAGTATTCTTCTAAGTAACTGAAATCGTATCTTTGAATCGATTTTCCCCCCAAGATTCTTGTGATCAATTGGAAGCAAGATATAGCATCTAAAAGACAATTTTTTGATCTCTGAACACGCTAACTAAAAAATAGCTAATCATCTGACTATGGGGGCCCCAATACCGAGTGAAGCGTTTTGATCGTGGACAAGATAGTTTTCTAGGAGGGCTTTTTCTTTTCTGTTTTATTCAATCTATGGTAGAAATCAAAGAGAGCAAATAATGGCGAATACATTTAAAAATTATTCAATTTATCTCAGACAGGAGATAAGTCTTCTTCTTTCCTTTCCTTTTAGATCTTCTTCTATTTTAGTTTTACCTCTCACAGGTGAAGTCCTTCCCTGCATTCTAGTTAAGGAGAAGTTTACCTCACTGTCTAGCTATTGCTTTCTTTTGAATCTTTCTTGGACAATTTTCCAACACTCCTGGGCAGACAAACGAAACTGTCATTAGTAGTTGTACCTTGGGGGTAAGATGAGGAATTCATATCTTTATATATCAAGCTGATTTATGATTGACGAAATGGAATAAAAATTCATACAAGCCCTTTCGATTCGCCAAAGAGAATTTCAAAACTGCTTGAATCATGCAATAATACGAAATCAGAGGTAAAGGCGTCTAGCTCGCTGCTTCAACTCCGAAGAACAAAAAATGTTATTTCTCATGTTGATGTCTTTTACGCAGAAACCACAATAATTTGTACGTGCTTTGTTATATTTTTCCCCTTTTTTTCCTCAGGGTTGTCATGGGTGACGATGCACTTAATCTCAAAGTACGCAGTACTCTTCGCGTGCGGTTTGTTTATGTCCATTCTTGCAAAATGAACCGGAAAAATTGTATGCAATATTGTCTCAGTATAAATTACCCAAAAACAATTTTAGCCATTTTCCTTCTCGGCAGCTGCAAGAATAATACATGTGTACACAAAAAGTACAGAGTATATATTCCTGGTTATTTGGAAAACGAGTCAGTAAGCAAGAAGGGTCTTATGAGTTCAACATCACTTCATGATGCTGAACATATCATACCAAGGTGGTAACCAGAGCTTTGAAGAAGCAACGCTTTGTTGCAGGCATTTAGACGTATTTTTCAGCAAAGCCGATAGCGATGTCATCCTGTTGTCAGACACAATTGTCTGTGTGATTAATTCTGTGTTTAGCGTAATCGCCGTGTTCGCCAACATACTCATCTTGTACGCTTTGTACAAAGCCTCGTCGCTGCACTCTCCATCTAAAGCGTTACTATGCAGTCTCGCTTTGTCAGATCTGGGAGTCGGTGCTATAGTACAGCCATTATTCGTGGTCTACAGATGGGCACAGATCAACGGAATTCTTCACAAATATTGCAAGGAAGGAATTTTCTCTCATATCGAAGGAAGTCACTTCTCGGCTGTTTCATTTCTTACAATGGCAGCTATTAGTATCGACCGGCTCCTTTCGCTGGTCCTTCGCGTACAATATCATTCCACTGTCACCCTAAGAAGAGTTATTTTCCTGCTAGCTTTAATTTGGATAAGCGGAGGCTTATGGTCGTCATTTTGGACCAGAAAACAGGATTTATACTCGCTTATAGGCATGATACAAATTCCAGTCTTTTTTTCCATAACATTCTGCGCTTACTTAAAAATCTACCTCTGCCTTCGCAAGCAAGCTTGTAGGATGGGAAGGCACGTGAACCCACTGAAATGCATCAGAAAAACACATGGTATGAATTTCGCTCGCTACAAGAAGTCTGTAGTGAGCATGTTTTACCTATTTTGCGCTTCAGTGGTCTCATTTCTGCCATATCTTTGTCACAAAGTTGCAGTAGCCATTTCTGGATGGAATACTTCAACTTCGGTTTTGTTTAGCTTTGCTCTCACCATGGTTTACGTGAACAGTTCTGTGAATCCTTTGATATACTGCTGGCGGATTTCAGAGCTGAAGCAAATTGTACTTAATGTTCTCTGTCGTAACCGTTCAGTAGTGAAAGAAGTCAAGTTCGTAACCTCTAGAGACCAAGTAAAAATTCGGTCTTAGAGTAGCTCAAAGTGATGATTTCCCGCACTTGAAGACAATTCTGGGATATGGATCAACATACCAGAGATTATTCTCCCAGCGTTACCTCCGTGATGTCACAGAAAGAGATGTAATTGCAAACTACTTTACTAACTGATTTTAACAACCCGGTGCCTCAGGTTAGCCGTAAAAATCTTGGATCTACAAACACGGCTTTTTAGGAAAAGTATTCTTTATGTTGGTCTTTCTCTAAAGTAGCCCTCTTAAAATAAAAACAGAAACTTTTAGCGCGAGAAAATTTTAACCAATTTAAGATTGCAGTACCGCGGGATCGCTGCTACTGAACTTGGACTGTATAACAACCCCAGTTCATGTTTATTCCAAAAGTTGCAGAGTCATTGCTATAAATTCCGAAACATCAGAAATTGTTTTCGATAAATTTAGTCAAAACGTCAAAGCGCTCGCTCATTTTCAGTCTGAAAGGTAATTGCTGAAACTTTGTAGGTCAGTTTTCAAAGCTAAAACTGAACTTTAATAAATCAGCTTGAATAAGCCTACAGAGGTTACCATCTGTTATTTCAGCGACATTATTGAACTTTGTGGACGTAAGGCTCAAATAGAATTTTAGCGATCGAAAGATATTGGTCTTCCAGAATTGTTTACACTGTTTGATGCATTTCCTGTTGACCATATATGCTTTATGACTTTCATAGAATTACGTGATGATTCGTGATTTTGTGTAGTTTCCTTGTTTGTGATCACCAGGCTTGCGCAGCCGGCAGATCCTACGGAAAATGAAAGGGCGCGAAATCAAGCATTTGTTCTCTGCTCGAAGCTCGCGGCTCGCTGCTCTTTGTTCTCTGCTCGAGCAAGAAGCTCGTAGCTCCGCTTCTTGATTCTTGCTAACGAAAACGGGTTGCAAAGCTTCAAGTTGAGAAGTAGGTTTCTCTTATTATTGCGTTCCACGCCTTTCGCCGCTTCGCTGCTTAACGTTTCAAAGCGCACATTAACTAGTAATTATATTATTACGTAAGTATATTTGAATAAAGAAACTATAAGCGTGGATCTTAGGTATATCTTGAGGTCTCCTTCAGGCAAAAAGTAGTTTGGTTTATTAGCGGGCTTAGAATATCATAATGTATTTCGTATGACATTTACCTGAGACAAACTTGGTCATCACTGAATCCGCCAAATGTGAGCTTTATTTCAGGTGCAAACAAAACTATTGTTTCAAAAACAATGCGTCATCCTTCAGTAATATTGGCTCTCTCTTATTCATTCGGTGAATATTCAGAGAGTTCTAAGGAGGATCCATGTATGTGTATCACTAAGTTGGAAGTGATTCAAGAAATCAAAAGCCTAGATGTCCCCAACGATAGATTTACAAGTACGGCAACCTTACAGAGTATGTTTCGAGAATGAAATAAAATGAATTTTACGGAGCTAACACTTGCTGATGTCGTTTGTGGTCAGTTAACAATGCTAACCTGTCAATATTTTGAAAATCCAGAACGATAAAAAATACCATATAATCATATATACAATCTCCCGTAACAAACGATTATAATCGAAAAGAGCAGAATCAATATTTCATATTAAGCCGAATAATGATGCGTCAGCACGCACGAGCTTAGTAGAGATGTATGAACTGACTCTTTGGTCTCTAACATCAGTATACGTAGTCCCTAAAGTCCTTGGTGTAATTTACCCAAAAACCGGTCTTCTCTGAAAACCCCCGAAACCAAATGATTGTGTCAGGGACTCATTTTAACTCTTTTCAAAATATTACTTTTTTATATCGTTTTAAAATAAACTTTTATTCATTGCCAGCGTTGATTAACTCTTTGACTCCCAAAAGTGATAATCGTGTAACCTCTCCTTATAATAGAAGTACATTATCCAGGAACCAGGTAATGAGAATACCTAAACTTATCAGGTAGAAGTTGTTGTCTTGATCTAACACCTAATTCTCATTACTTACTTACACGGAAATGCGTAGCAGCTACAATCAGATCTTGGGAGTTTAAAGGTGAAACAAATGGCGGCTTTTAGTTTTCGTATTACCAAGATATATAATATTCCTTTCTCAACAGTTCTAATTAAAAAATGGCAGGCTATATTAAAGTATGACTAAACAGACACATTACGTTTATATACCTGAAAGACAAGTTTTCTATTACATGTCGACCTTGGAGATGACTGAAACTTATCCACTGGCTCTTTTGTTTTGTTTTAAATTTTGAGTGCTTTTTGACAACTTTCTTTAATCCAAATAATTATTTCTTTTTTTCTTAATGATTATGGTTTGATTGTAATGATTTGCGTTTTAACTCATTCTCGCCTGAAGGGAAGCTTTAATCAAAAGACGAATCATTTGAATATCATGAATGACGATGTTGATCAAAACTGCAGGAATAATTGCGTAACTAACACGAAAGCAAATAATAAATTTATGAATTAGAAACATTGAAAAGAAAAGTTTTTGAGGCATGCAATTCAGTGATGCGAGCATTCTCAACTTAGAACATGACTTTACGCATACAAAATTGTTATGCGCCGCGGAATAAGCCTCCAGGGAAGATCATTCAGTGATAATTTTATAGAGTACAAAAGCAGCTGTGGATTCAGAAAATTCTAGTCAGTGACATCGATCAACAATCGGCCTCTAGCTAAGTGCGCAAAAACACATACTACTCCAGAGCTAATGGATTTTTATCCTGCCGACTATTATCTTACGTTAGCGTGATAATATATCTCAAGTTTCCTTCGCCTAATTTAGTGTTTTCCCTTTTTTTAGTAGTAGGATTTATTTTTATATATATTTCCTGAAAATCTGAGCGGGTAGGATTCGCTAAATCCTGTAACCTGATCACCTTATTTCGACAACAGACCCGACACAAGGACTTTCTCTTCAAATTCGCGAAAACAGAGCGGAAATTTCGTTTTAGCGATTTGAAACAACTCTTGCGAGCTACAGGCCGTTGTTAAGTCTCTAAATTTCTCGTTTCGAAGATTTCAGGAAAAGATTTTACGCATAAATTTTTAGCCGCAAGTCATCCGATTCAGAAATACATTTACTTTTAGCGATTGCAAACTATTCCCAACGGGTAACATTATTCTTTTAAAGATATGGATCACCTGCTGGGTAAATAACTTAAATATTAAGAGCATAATATATAACTTAGTTCCAAAATACAAACAGAGTTCGTTGCCTTAATAAGATATTACATGATATAATCCGTTTTTAGATTTTAATTATAGTTTATTCTAGGTGGGACTTCCTCGATAGAGAATTTTTTGTAATGATTATACCAGGTTTGAATTGAAGCAGAAAACTGTTTATTCTTATTTCCAATCATCCCTTTTTTCAGGAAGAGAGAATTTACCAATCAATTTCGGCATTTTTCAACCATTTGTTAACTGTTGTCATATTTCATCATTTCCACTTTTTCATGTCGTTCTGATCGTAAGTCCATAGGATTGTAGAATTGTCGCTAATACAATCTAACAAAAAACAAGAAGAACTAGACATCAGTGACATTGTTTATTCCACTGGTCAATATAACCATGAGTAACCATGCTTTTGAGTTATTTCCGTCGATTCGCTTCAATCGCAGAATTCGAGGAGATACATCTATTTCAAGGACATACTTAAATGTCCAAAGGACGGGGAAAAATTTAGGTTTTTCAGCATTTAACAAAGCCTGGGTCAGTTCTCCACCTAACTTTTGTCATTATCGGTGCATGCATGTTTGCATAGAAGATTCTACTTTGACGAATATCAGATAATCTGTTTATTGTAGACATTATCGGCTGCGATTTCATTGGCCGGAGACATCATTTTATATGCTTTGTGCAGAGAGTCAGAATTAAATCAGCCGAGGATCATATTCCTGTCCGTCAATTCTAAACAGGTGAAAACAAATTTACGTCAATTTTAATTGCAAATAGCCAAGTTAAGGTTCGTTATAACCAGAAAACTAGATGCATATGCATCATTGTCAATTGAGGATAAAAGACTAACGTTCGGACCGCAAATTGATAGTTGTTACATAAAGAAGAGCGAAGAGCTACAGAGCGAGGATGGTCGTCAACGCATCCCCTGCTAATTCGAGCGCTGATCTTTTTACCTGTTACGATCCGTCCATTTTCATTCGAGCGCCAAGCACACTTCACACGAACTACATTATAGCTGCTGTTTTCAACGCTATCCTCTCAGTAACAGCCACTTTGGGTAATACTTTGATTCTGTTCGCGCTTAAGAAAGCTACCACCCTGAATCGTACTTCAAATTACCTCCTGTGCTGTCTCGCTGTTTCTGATTTGATGGTCGGTCTTGTTGTACAGCCATTACACGTTATTTACTGTATATACGGAATCATCGGTGGTTCTAAAGTACGCTGTTACTCGCGAATCCTCTTCCAGTGGACATCTGATTATTTTTTTGCAGTTTCCTTTCTTACGATTGTGGCTATTAGTGTGGATCGCTATTTCACCTTATGTAAGCGTCACGCCTATCGGTCAACCCTTACAGCCAACAAAACAAGAGCAGTGATTGCATTTGTTTGGATAACTTGCCTGAGTTTCCCTCTTGGTCGTCTTGTGAGTTCTTCCATTTCAATGATTCTGTCTTCCATTATTTTTATCATTTTTCTCCTGATCCCATCATTCACGATTTTCAAGATTTACCGCTTTCTCAAACAACACGAGATTCAGATTTCTTCTAGTATGAAAAAATCTTCTGCGGCGGGCGTTAAAACCGGAGGATTCGATGTTTTGCAGTACAAACGCTCCATAGCAACATTGATCTGCGTCTACCTTACTCTCCTTGTTTGTTTTCTACCATCAATCGCTGTCACTGCGGCCTGGATAACTGCGGATCGACCTGGGAAATTACGACTCATCAAAGTGGGAAATTTCTCACTGACTTTTATAATGTTTAATTCAACCCTTAACCCACCCCTGTATTGTTGGAGGATCAGAGAGGTTCGTCAGCTAATAATCAACTTGTTGAATAAATTTTTTTGTTGTAAGATCGATCGAAATCACAGAAATAGTGTTTCTTCTAAGACTTCTGAAGATACCCGTTTGTAACTTGGATTCCGTGCGGAACAAACGCCGACTGAACGTTCAAATTCAGGAACATTAACTATGACATTATGCCCACGAAACATTAATTAGTCTCGCGCTTTTTCTTATTTGTACTATCACTAAGAATAGAGGTGCCTGTAGCAGTAGAAGACAGGTTTCAGAATTGAAAAACATCTCTGTAATTTTTAAAATATATATCCTCAAAATGTATGGTTTAAGCATATGGACGAGACGAATTTCTACGCTTTCTAATGGTTATGGCACTTAAGGAAATTGAAGATAATGAGTGCACGTTCATAAGCAAACCTTAGGAAGTAGGTGGGCGTTGAGGATTTTCCTATTTTTGGATGAATGTGTTATTATTAAATTGTTCTTCCTGTGTAACATTTACCGAAAGCGATATAGTGCCCACGAAATGTTGAAAAATGAAGAGTTTAATTGTTTTCCCTCAGTTTTGCATTATCGTCATACATAATGATGTATTTAATAATAACTGAAGAGTAGGGAACAATATTTAATTTTCAAATGCTGTCAAAAGACTAAATCATCATTTTTTCAAAATGTCAAAACGCACTAAAAAGATATTGTAAAGATGAATTTAAATAGATTAAATATAGAGGTCAAAATATCAGGCAACGTTGTTCTAATTTCGTCTTCCTATTTTGGCCAAAGTTCTTTCTGGACATTTTTTGTTTTCTCTTTTTGCTTTGTTTTGTTTTGTTTTGTTTTGTTGTTGTTGTGGTTTTTTCTTTTTTTCATTCCAATTTTTCGTTTTCAATTGGATTTTCCGTTTAGCCGTTTTAGTGATTTATAAAACGCCGTATTCAGCAGGCTAAACCGGTTCTCTCGGGACTCAAGATATTTCTAAGTGTAGCGCGGTATCATGCCACAGTCACATTTTTTAATTCTGATCTAGTCAATATCTGATATATTGCAAGTAAAAAGTATTAGTTAATTATTATTTGAACACCTGGCTATTATGAATATAGTGCATATTTATCTCGCTTTGTGTTGATATAAAAGAATTGTTATGTGATGAATGACTATAAGAATATTAAAGCTTTCGTTCCCATGATCCTTAAAGTAAACTTCTTAAGTGATGATCGCTTCTTTTGCTGGCTGATCAATCTCTTTCTTCTCGTTACCTCTTTTCTTGGCAGTGAGTGAATATTACAAGGTGAGAATTTACGAATGATGAAATATGCAAAACTGTTCAAATCGAAGTCTCGTTTACCGAGATGAAATCCATGAAAATCCTTGTCCCTTCTTGCTCTATAAGGTGCAGTTTCGATAAGTTTGAAACGTCATTTAACCGAAAGAGTGATTGATTTCCCTAGCCATGTTTTTTTCCGTAAGCATTCGATGTTCATTCTGATGATGTTCATGATGTTCATTCTAATGTAATGTACTGTCGCAAACTTCCCATTGTTAGATGGGGTAAAAGTCCAGGGCGGGTGATTAGAGTTGGAAACGAAATGCTAGATAAATAGGCATATACTTGAAAGTATTTTGGGCTTAAGTTTTTTTTTTTTTTTTTTTTTTCACCGCTTTTTTGCATCGGAAGGAATGCTTTACTAAGGAAATCTACAATCCAAATCTCCTTCCTAGAGTCTTCACAACGTTAAAGGGGTAAGTTTCTAAAGAAACTGTGGTGCTGCGTCGGTGGGAGAGTATAGCAGGTAAACCTGCTCTTACCTGCTCTTCACAACGTTGTCCAGCAGAAAAATGGTTTGTTTGAGCTAATGTTAAAATCATTGTTTGGGTACTGGTCCACAACCGTTCAGGGCCCAACTAGGCAAGCAAGTGAAACTTTCTTTAAAATTTCTTTTCCAACGAATGGACATTTGGTCAAATTCTAGTTGGTCTATAATATAACACAAAGTTTTGTGCAAATACTCCTTTTTCCGCGTCGTTTGATGGGGGACACTGGAGACGAGAATATTGCTCAACAGACACCTCATGACTTATTACACAGAAGGAAAAAGCAATAATTCAAGATGGCTGTCATTAGCTGCCTCAAATGGGTCATTCTTTCGAGGTTAGATATATCAAGATTGCTTCGGATTTGCTGCGTTTTTGGAGTTTCAGTACAAACAGTCTATATCTTTGTAATAATTGTGAGAGAAGCGTTAAAATCTTCTTCCGAAAAGACAAATAGTCATCAATCTGCAACTCAAGTTTTGTTCTTTCCGGACAAAGTTTTCGCATGCCAGCAGTTTCTATTCAATGGAGGCTGTAGTAGGAAAAACTGTCAGTTTTCTCACGAAGAGACCTCATTAAGTAAGCTTGTGAGAGTTTTATCTGAAGCTAAACAAAGCTTGGACGTTTGTGTTTTTACAATTAACTGTCGCGAGCTTGCAGATGCAGTCATTCGACAACACAAGAACGGTGTCGTTGTCCGAGTGCTGACAGATGATGAACAGATGGGTTCGACTGGTTCTCAGATTGAGAAGTTTCGACGCGAAGGAATCCAAGTTCGCCACGATCTTTCTTCGTTCTTCATGCATCACAAATTTGCCGTCATTGATCGAAAAACACTTGTTAATGGATCCTTTAACTGGACAAGGCAAGCGGTGACTGGAAATAGAGAGAACGTAGTTATTTCAAGTGAAGAATTCGTTGTCAGATCGTTTGCAGAGGAATTTGAAAAACTATGGGAAGAGTACGATCCTTCTAAAAGATTTGGGGTCTCGTGAAAGATTTTCACATCTAGGACTACGAGACTGACATTTTACTCTAGTTATTATCATGAGTATCCCAACTTGTGATTACACCTCACTGCTCGCCGACACCCACTCAGGATATTCCTCGCTTATTTCGCGAATGAAAAAGTTTCTATGTAAACTAGTATTTGATTTTTTAGGAACTCGTTACTAAGTCTCTCTCAGATGCCTTAATACCTAACGTTCTTACCTGAAGTTTTTATTCTTTACGCATTATCTTAGCATCCTTAATGATATTTTTTTTTAACTCACTACTACAACTGGTTACCAATTTCTCTTTATTGTTTTCCTTTTTCTCGACACGTCTTTCTAATGCCAAATTACTTAGATCTAGCTAGGTAATACAAACAAGTAGCTTGAATACATGTGACCTTCCCTACTCCTTGTTGAGAAAAATTGCCTAGTTTTATAAATGATGTGCATGATTCCCTGATCTCCTCTCAAGTTCTGTGTTCTCATGATGTACTTTTTTCCTTACATGGGGAAGAGAATGCATTGGTAGTGAAGCAAAACAGTGGCTATGAACAAAACAAACAATCTCCCTTGTAAGAGAATAATTTTTTTAATTTGTTGCCTTTATGAAAATTAAGATTTTTAATACTTGTGAGTAATTAGAATTGTTCTGCATTGCAAACTTTATAAGATATTAAATTTCATTAACACACTTTTGTTTCTAGAAGTAACTCTACACATAGAGAAAATAATGAAGTATGATCAATCTTGTATTAGTGTTAGTTATTTCATCACTTCAGTGGCAATCATTATACTTAAATTAAATTTTAGTGCCACAAGGTCTCCTGTACTATACTATATTCTTGACATTGCCATTACTGACATCAAGAAATTAATATTTAAGTTGAGCAGTCTCTAAATCAACATGTCTCTTCCAGGTATACTACACAAATAATTATAAGAAAGATGATTCAATTGTTTGTTTTTCAACAAAAAGCAAAACATTGACCAAAGTTAATGATCTTGTGACCTACACAAACTCTAATTATACCAACTTTTCAGTGAATTCCCAAATGTTTCCATTTCAAAATTGACATTATTTGTGTACAAAATTTTGCAAAACTTATGTATCACTATATTGAAAAACTTTCAAAACTTACCAAAAGCCAGCATTTTCAACTAATTTACAAAGTTTTTCGTTCACATAAACTGTTTTACATTCAGTGCTACTTTTTATCCTCTACAACTGGTCTAAAAAAGCCACAGCATCTCCAGTCCACAAGTCATTTGTATTTTCTTGACTTCAGTCAGGATTCTCATTTTGCCTTGAGTCGTCATCTACCCTTATATTAAGTACTTTTTAAATGATAACTTTGATTTCAGTTAGATGATGCTCAATTGAAATGTACTCTGATGTTACTATTTCTTAACCTCTTTTGAATTCCTCTTCCCTCCCCCCCTTCCCCTACCCCCCCCCCCCAAAACAACAACCTACATGGGTTCACCATGCTGAAAATAATTATTAGTATTCATCTTCCACACATCAACTTGATATAGGAGCATAACCCTGATTAGCCACTCTTCTTGCTTTCCACTCTACTTGAAAGAAACCAAGTGTTCCAAAAAGTGAAGAAACCACCTGAAATGGAAGAGCAAGAGGAATACATTTCTTGTGTCAAATTGTTACAGATACAGAAGCACACCTATTTGAAGAGGATAAAGGGGTAAGTTTCTAAAGAAACTGTGGTGCTGCGTCAGTGGGAGAGTATAGCAGGTAATTTAGTGTTAACAACTGGGTTGAAAACGTAAATTAGCCACCGTAAAGGGTAAAAAAGCTGACGTTTCGTTTCTGACGAAGGGCTAACGCTCGAAACGTCAGCTTTTTTTCCCTTTACGGTGGCTAATTTACGTTTTCAACCCAGTTGTTAACACTAAATTACCTGCTATTTGAAGAGGAGCTTTGTCATGAAATGAGTGCAGAGTAAACTTGAGATTAAAGCAATTCATTTTGGACCACAGAGGTCTTGGAAATTAAAATGCAAAAAATGTGAGTATGAGTTTCATACCTATGGAAGAAAAATAACAATATTGGCAGATAATACCTGATGACCACTTCATCATGTTAATGCAAAAAAAAAGTGCTACTTAAGCTCTGATTGCCACAATCTTAAAACAAGCCCAGAGAATAAGCTAAGAACAAACTGTTCCAGAGAAAGGAAGGTCTTCAATCTTGAATAATGATCCTTTCCCAAGAACCTTCAATTATTCTAAAAGGAAAGTACTAGGAGAGGAGGTAAGGTTAGACCACTTTGAATCGTCTTGAATTTTTACAAATTTTCAGAACTGATTCTGTGACCTTAAGGTACTCTAGATATAACTGGGTCCTTGACCAAAAAGAATCTCAAGCCTGTAACACCAAACACTGACTCACCAGAATTAGCAGTTGCCATGGTAAATTTAACCTTAGACTGTAGAAGAATCCAATGGCTGCTGTAAGGGACTGAAACGAAAATTTCGATTTCATTTGAATAAGAATACAATTTACTAGTAGTTTTATTGTTACAAATGGCTAACTTCTTGTACTTCTTGATACTCAATGTCACAAATGAGTACAAGCAAAGTTATTTATGATGGTCAACCCATGAACCAAAGCAAAAAATTGTTTGAGCAAATGTTTGATTGCTAAAGGAGGTATAACTTACTGGTTGTAACTTCATAAGGTCTGCCACTGATATGATAGCCAATAGTTCTTTTATCAGTCTAAAACCTTTGACCTCTAAGAGTGACTAGAATCTAATTTCTCCTCAAAATAACACCCCTAAATCACACACTAAGGTCTAAAAGAATGAAGGAAATAATCACCAAATAGAGAAGCTCTTGATTGTTAAAGAAATTCTGCTTGTTAGCACCTTAGAAAATGTATGGTACAGAACAGCATAGAGAAGATGCAAACTTCTACTAGAGTGTAAAGGTTTAATCCATGTACTAGAAAAATGCACAAAAATACTCAATTTTCAATTCGTAAGCAGTGTCACAACAATATTGGACAAGCTAATACTCATTCACAAAGAGCAAAGCTTAACCCATCATTTTCTGGTCATCTCCAATAAAAAACCTTGGTCCATTTGACTCCCATACAAATGTACAGTGTGAACAATACTTGTTACAGATAATTATTTATGTGAACCAACCTGTACAAATTTAAACAATGCAAAAGCTGGAGCACTATCTTTTTCATACAGAGAACCCAAAATTGCATAAATCTGGGAGGAAAAAGGGAAAAAAAATTTAATGTAAGATCATATTGAAATATTTGACAAAAGCCTAACACACTAGCCTGAGACAGTGGCCCAAACTAAATGTATCAATATAGTAAATCTATCCCAGTTTATGAAGCTGCTTGAACATTTCAACTCTACAAAATTTCTTGCCACATACTGTATAAATGTCATCCAACAGAAAGTTGCTCCCTAACAATATTGGTCAGGCTTCTTGGACAGTTTACCGAAATTCAGTTACACTCCTAGGCAGAGAGAGTCACTGCAAGAGGAATCTAATGTGTCCATGAACACAACACAGCAGACATTTAGACCAAATGCAAGTCCACTGCAGTTACCATTTAACCTTGGGACCTCTTTAAAAACTGGAATTGATTGTATATTGCCCTTTGACACGGGCAAGCTGCGCCAAAATGTCAAGATCACCACTGCTTGCCAAATAAATAGCTGTCTGTGTTTAGTCTGAAACATCAAACAAGACAGTACCTGTGTATTAAAGCTACTGTCTCCTAACCCCAGAAGGAAACCACAAAGCAAAGCAACAGGTAAGCTGCAGAAATAATAAAACATCAGTGCATTTATGACTTTTATACACTATAAGTCAACTTTTATTGCTATCAATGGAATCGAACCCCTTAAGAACGGTATGCAATTAAAAATTCTATGTAGAACCCATGTAGCCATGTACTGTTCAGTAATAGATCACAGATGACTTCAAAATGTGGAAAAAACAAAAAAGGTGACATGCAAGGTGCAGCCAAGTGTGTCAGCCATGGTCTTACCACATTTCAACATTTTCTGCAACCTATTACTGAACAGTCCCACACCAACATGGAATCTATTAATGTTATAAAATAAAGTAGCAAAATATGTTAACAGAGACATTGTCTGTGTGTCTGTTCTCTAATAGATCAAACAAACCCATCAAAATGCATGCATAATTCAACTTATGATATAATGCTTAATTTTGAGTATTGAAATGCATAACTGACAGTACGCAGTTGCAGTGTTGCAATTGAGCCACATGTCAAAACCCAAAACAAGCTTGTGGTTGGTTTACTTAGTCAAAGGTTACTTGTAGTTGTTTCCCCACAGTATTACAGAGCAAAACAAAAGCTTGTTTGCAGACAGTGGTTTCTCTCTTTCTGAGCATTAGAGAAACCAACTCTTTACAGAATAGAAAGGTGTGAATTGATTACAGTGAGCTCAGTTCACAGGGGAAGACAGAAGATTAAAAAATATGAGAACACTATTGAAGCCTCTCTGAAAGATGTTCTTACTTGGGCCCTTTTGGAAATACATGGTAATTCTCTCCTCCTGATACTGGTCCGCTAGGAGCTTCCTCAGGAATGTTGAAAAAGATAAGAAGAAAACAAATCCAGTGAACAAGTGCTCCAAAAAGGACAATGGGTTCTCTGCCAAACTTGTTACTTCTTTTGCCAAAGATTCCAAATATAAGGCCACCTAACAATGAGACAATCAAAGACAAAATAAGGAGTTTAAAACATCATTCAGTCATACAATAATATTGAAGAATTATTACAGGCACATGCATATATTGATAACAAATCCTTTCTACTGACTTACTTTGAGGGCCAAAAAGAAAAATTGTCACATATGACCAGTACATTGCATGGAATTTACTTTAAATATTTTCAATTTTCGTAGTACAGAAAATGTAATTGAACTAAAATTAGAAGATGCTTTAAAAGGGCTTTATATATTACATAAAAAAATTCAAGATTGCTGAAGTATATCAAAATAACAGACAACGATCTTGAGCCTCTTACCAGTTATCTCACCACAACCAATGAGCATTCCCACCAATCCAATTTGACGTTTAGAATTGGGGAAGAGAAGTGTGTTTCCTTTCAGCATAAAAAAAATTAACTTACAGTTGTATCCAATTGCCTTAACATAATTGTAATTAATAATATGTGACCCTCCACGGGAAAACGGACACTAACGCTTTTCCGTTAAACGGTCTCGAAAAACGGTTGTAAACGGATAGTAAACGGTTAACTCGAGCGTTTAAACGGATGCCATAACCGCTTAAACGGATGGCAAAAAATTTAAATGGTTAACCAAAGTCCAAAAACGGATAGCTTAGGCCTTCAAACGGTTGACCAAAAATAAAAACGGATAGCACGAAACGTTAAACGGTTGACCAAAGTTCAAAAACGGATGGCTCACACTGTTAAACGGTTGACCAAAAATAAAAACGGTCAGCCCGAAACGATAAACAGTTGACCAAAGTCCAAAAACGGATAGCTTAAACCGAGAAACGGTTGACCAAAATCGACAAACAATGAGCTTAAAATTAATGTTTAACGGCTGTGGTTGAGCCGGCGAGATCTTCTGCGGAAAAGCAATAAGCATCAATTAATTGTAAATTATCCTATGAACAAGTATAGATAAACGTGAACTGTAAATTAGTGGCACATTATTCACAAAATACATACACATTCTCCACCCAAAAATATAATTGATCCACTTTACATTGCAGAATTATATACAACCAACAAATACTACTCTGATCAGTCATCTAATAATATGGAAAATTTTGCACTCCAGTCACAGGAACAGAAAATAATTACTGTACCAATAGGGCCAGAGGTTTGTTAGACTTACCAACACAAGTGCCATACACACCACTAAAAAATGTGAGCTCAAGACCTGCAACATAAACTCACTATTACTTCAAAGAACTGTAAATGTTGCAATTACACATAATCCAAGGTTAAAATTGAATCTGTTCTAATGATATTCTGCTCCCCAATTTGAGTTTACAGTTTTAAACTTACAGAATTTTAAAAGCTAGCAACATTTTAATGCATTATTTTGTGGCTGTAACAAAAAGACAGGTAAACAAACCTGTGTATGCAAAGCACAAGCTGAGGAAAAACATATCCTTTGTGAAAAACAGTCTTACAGCAACCTCTACAAAAAAAAAAAAAGGCAAAAGAAAACCTTCAGAGATGCAGAATTTTGCATACAAAGCACACAAAATCCATAAGGGAAACATTTACTGTTAGTTATTCAAACACCTATTTTTAATAAGCTGTGTATCCAACTCCATGAAATAATTTCATGCCATATTAAACTTTTAACCCATGGGAGTGATAAGCATGTAATTTCTCCCAACTATATCATTCCTGAAGCAAAAATTAGGGTCCTGAGAATAAAGGATATAATCATGAACTCAAGAAACTCTTGATTGTGGGACAAATTCTCCTGGTACATGTAATTACCTCTGATAGGAAATATATAGTTCTAAAACAGTGTGAAGACCTTGCAAACTGACATATTGATGTAAAGAGTTATTAACCCTTTAATTCCCAGATCAAAGTTTTAATTCTCCTTACTATCAACCATACAATTCTTATAAAGTTAGTTCAGAGAATTTGGTGTTGGATCAACTAGTTATCCCTAAATTGATATTTTTCTTTATTCTCATCACTTATCTGGTTGATATTGTATTGATATTGTGAGGAGAAATTCTGTCTTGGTCACTCATGGGAGTTAAAGGATTAAAAGGAAGAGTATTCATCAGACAAATTATAAGTAAAAGCTTACTGAGTGACTCCAGGGCACCTCTTCTCTCAGTGCTGGGACGTTGCCTGAAAATATTTCAGTCAATAAATTCAGAAGAATATAGTACTTGGTAGTCAAGTCATGCCACAATGCATGTTTAGAATGCAGTGTAATTCATTAACCTATAAACACCCACAGATAATAGAAAATAAAACTCTTCATTGCCATGATGTAAAACAACAGTTATTGTATGAACCAAACCACATTTTGTTTACAAACTGGAAGCTGCTTGTAAAGAGTTAATAAACAACTTAGTGTTTAAGGATGGAAATTACTCACTAAAGCAATGCTCTCACCTGATATTTTGACTTAATTCTCTTTCATCATTGTCATTCTCATTTACCTCTAATGGCTTTGAGGGAACACAAAATATCAATTAAACTTAAGATTTATGTCACAAGACAAATAGTCAAATGACTGATGAACTGCATGAAGAGTTGTCCAAGTTTGAATCAGTAAGAGCAAAAATGATACCCTTATGACAATTTTGGGTTCTAGCAAATATATTCAGAAATGGCTCTAGTCTTAAACATTTTAATATGAATTCAAATTTCTAATTGACTGTTAATGAATGTCACTATGAGCAAATTATTGCTTTCTTACCAAACTTGATGGTCTCCGAAGAAGGAACAACAGACATATTCCTAAACCACACACAGTGGTGAATACTGTATACACTGTCCTCCTAACAGTGTCACCTACAAGAAAAAGAAAAGCACATCAAATTTAATTTTTTCACAAGACAAAAAAAAATTTAAAAGTTTAATGGTAAGAAAAATCAGGCTACAAAGAAAGCATTTCAACTTCATTTTTTCAACTCAATTCCAACAGATTGCTGCAAGAGAAGGAGTAAATTACAAGAATGAAGGTAATCAGCAGAAAAAAAATTCCAAATTAAGACAGGATACTGATTGATTTACATGTCAAACCAGTTTCTTAGAGCTTAAATAATAGGTAATGGAGAATCAAGAGAGAGAATGACCGTAAAGCTGGAGTAAATGTGTTAAAAAGGTTAGGGTGTTAGGTAGTTTATAATTGCAATCATTCTCATTTTTATAAAAAAGGAATTTCTTACAATTTACATTTAAGAAGAATGATCTGCAACTGTCACAGGTTGGAGTAACAATTAATTTGTACACTTGCTGGGAGTGTTCACGAAAAGCCAGCAGTGAAGGCCTCTGCAGGGTTAAACACTCACACACATGTTGACACCACGTATACATGATCAATGCAATGTACTTGTATAGGAATTGGAATCTTGAGCAAATGAAAAAGGAAGCTGACTTACTGATTCCTCCCACTTGAGTCTTAAACTGAAAGTAAACATACATGTTCCCAAAGAGCAAGCTGCAACAACAGAAACAGAATAGATTAGTTTTGACTTTTGCTCATTCCTTCAATCATGAGTTTTGAAATCAACCAAGGTTATCAACCTGAAAAAAAAGGGAATAAGGAGGAAAACTTAATTTACACAAGTATTGCGGAAAAAACCAAACCAAACTTTCATGTACAGCTTTTGACTATGACGATGCCTCTCATATCAGCTATTTAGACATCAAAAGGCCTGTAAACAACCCAACCCCTGACCTCAATTGAAATCTTTTCTACTAAGCCTTGCCTAGATTTAACCAGAAACAAATGAGAACAATTTTTGAGCTGTCTTCAATAGATCAGAAAGCTTCAGTCTACTGTATATGATTACCAAAATAACTTACTGTACCTTACTGTAGACCTCACTGCCAGCTATTTCCACAGTGCATTCTTATCTGTGTTCGTACCAACCATTTAATCAATGAGAGTCTTGCAGTAAAACACTTACCTACACTGGAGCAACGCCCAGAAAATGCCACTGTTTCTTGAGATTGTTTCAGGAGTGGAATTCATTGTAAGAAAGGTACCTTGACCCGTCCATATTACTATCAATAGAGAAATTATGCTTTTTAGAGATGATTTGTGATAATCATTTTAACCTATGAAAGTATAACACTCTACCATGTAAACACCTTCTGGATTGAAAAAGTAAGCTAGAATTAAATTTGACTAGTAAAACAGACAATAAACACACATCATTGTACTAAGCATGCAGTACTGGTACACATCAGTCAAAAAGAAGATGAAGAAGCAACTTACCGCTTGCTCCATATCCAATAATAACTGATCCTGTGTATACACTCCATGCCATTGGTTCAATGAGGCTTGCTATAAACAGGCTGAAAGATAGTAAGATGCATCCTCATAAAAAAAATAGATTTTATCTGTCAAGCTCATGCTATCTCTCAGGGCATGGTTGTTCAAAGGTTGAATAATGTTACCCAAGGGACAAATCTTTATCTAATGGATGGCACAGTGCATTTTCTTAGCACTCATCAGCTGCTGCAGGATAGTGATTTGTCCATTTGGTAGTATTACCAGCCTTTCAAACAAGTAGGGTTGGGTTAAAATTTCTTTCAGTAAGATCTAGCACCTGCTAGAGCTACACTGGATACTCTTTCCCAAATAACTGCCAAAGGGTGTGATGAAATTTCTTCCACTTTGAAACTCAGTCTAAGGTAACTGACTAATTAATGAAACTTTGAGTTGATTGACGTATTATGTTGGATAACCTCACCAGGATCAGTTAATATTGCATTGCATAAAAAGTATTTACAGCTGTACCCCTAAAATTATACAGGTCAGTGGTACTTAATATCCTAATTAAGATAAAAATATAGCAATTATTTCTTACGCATAGCAGATCCCTCCAACAATCATTGAAACTCTTGGTCCAAATATCCCCACAAAAGAAGGTGCCAGCCAGTTAGCCAATGCAAAAACTGCATAGATGATACCCTGGCTATAAATAGAACATTTTTCATAAATCAATTTTGACCCTTTAACCCCTAAGGGTGACTAGTGTCTAATTTCTCCTTACAATATCACCCCTGCATTACACATTAGGGTCATGAGAATAAAGAAAATGATCACCAGCCAATGAAGACCTTGACTGTTGAACAAATTCTCCTTGTCAGCACCTTGATAAATGTATAGAGAACAATACAGAGAATAAGCAAACTGATGTAAGGGTGCCAGAAGTGTTACTATACATGCAAGTATCTTCCTACCTTATATAGCCATTGATATGTTCTGAAACAAAAATAAAAACAGTTCTAAATATCAGAACATGTCTTGATTTATGACTGGTACAGTACATGCATAACATGGAATGTTATTTCAGTCACACTTCTGCCAATGATTATGAATTCAGTCACAATTTTGTACTTTGATTGATTGATAATTATAAACAGCAAAAAAGTTCCTATCTCCCTACATGTATATTAAACATAAATCAAAGGTTAGTTTTACCAATGTAGTCTGTTTTTGTCAGTTTTTTAGTTCATAAAGAAAAAGAGAGAATTTTTTTTACACATAAATGTGACCGTGTATATTCACTTCACATAGCATATCACTAGGTTTTTACTTACTTTCAGGTTTTTCAGGGTATTCTTTGCTGGTGAAATTCTGTAGTACAGTTGGCTGGTGAAGTAAAAAGATTTTGTTGACTTTAGCAGCCCAACACCAAGACCAGAATGTTTGTCAGATATTGGTGCACACTAGTGTGTGAAGCTTTCACAAAGCTCAAAATCTTTCTCTCACAGTGTTCCACAGCATGAAACCAACTGAAAGTTTTTCTTTTGTCCAACTTAAAACTAGATTTTCCCAGGAACCAATTGGAATATCAAAAACGCCTTACACACTTTGTTAGCCTATTATCTGCTGAGTGGTACTGTCCAGTTTGTTTTGAGGTCTGCGGTACTGCAGAGGTTGGTTATATTCAGTAAAGCAAACACTGTCATTGTTGTGTTTGGAGGTTAGTGCGTGCCTATCAGAAAAACTGTGATAATTTTATGAGCTTAACAGTGATATCTAGTTTCAAATGGTTTCTTCAAAAGCAGAGCACATAAGACGATTTTTCCGGAATGCAGTCTATTTTGTTGTCAGGTTAAAAAATTTGGAAAGATTTCCTTACAACCCTAACTTTTAAAATACAGAGCCTTCATCCTATAGGTAAACTATCGCATTTCACCATAGTTTTATAAAATTTAACTGTGTGCATAATAAAGTATGGGGTAACGACGAAATCTTGTCAGAAACTGTTAACTTATGATAGTTCTACAACTTCCCTAAAAATAGGGTGTTACATACCGATGAAAGTGAAAACTACATCATAAATTTCCTTAGTCACAAATTTGGGTCCTTTAAACCGAAGAAAGCGCGTAAGTCCATTCGATCCTCTTAATCCATATCGTTTCTCACGTAAAGCTTCTGATCATGGCCACATGAATGGAACAAATAAGGGCTTTAAATGAGGTCATTTCAATGATTACAGACCATGTGCAATTCACTTCCTTCGTGCATCACGTGAATTTACCGCCAAAAAAAACTCCCTCTCTTGGAATACTGTGTCAATTTCATGCGAGAGTGGATGCAGATAAATTATAAATGGACTTACCTCGATCATGCTCGTCGTTTGAAAGGCTGTGAACATAAACATAAAGGAAAAGCCCATGACAAGGACATTCCACATCCCTACATCGTTCGCCATCTTGTTGAAGAAGTGACAATTTTTATCGCATGCTACCCTAGAAAGGTTGAAGTTATGATATCAAGCAGTAGCTTTTAGCCCTTTAAAAATCACGAAAATATTCACAAAGTATAAAATAACAGGTATCAATGAATTATAAGTTGCATTATGGCATTTCTCTTTTTAGGTTTAAGGATCAGACGACGTAGAAAAATATTGAAAATCAAAAATCTCTCGGGTGCCCACGGGATAAGTGTGCCCGGGCATAAGGCTAGTCACATGACAATATTTACGTGTCATGTCACTGTGAGATAGGTTTCGCAGCGATTGAGGTAAGTGTAAAACTTTTCGTTTCAAATTTTCATGAAGAAAGTAAAACTTCTGTCCTAGAAATATTGCTTTAAACTTGATTCGTAAATTACATAGGAATGAGTAGTCATTTTTGCATGGTTTTTGATGATCTGTTACGGCAGTTAAGAGATGTATAATCGATAAGAAAAATTCGATGTTAATTCTCAAAAAACGTCTCCAGAGCAACGTTCATCTGCCTCTTTAAAATTTTCCTTTCAAGTTAGCTCAAGGTGTCTATTGTGAAATTAATCGATGAAGTTCCTTTTCTTTTTCTTTATTTTCCTTTGCATTAGCAAATTGTTTTCATTGTAATTATAAAAATCAGAAGACTCACTCCGCACAGCTGATCTGCATTTTTACTTGGATGCTCGATTCTTGCCCGGAAATGGAAGATTTCCGTATAATTCCATACTATTCTCTAACAAAGCCTTAGTCTTAAAGGTGATCTATTATTGTCGCCATTGCTTTAGTTTATCCTGGAACTGTAAGTACAATGAAGTATAGGGTGCAGAATTCTTGCCCTCGAAAATTCCACACAATGGAAATCTGCTAAAAGAATAAAAAAAATTAAAAAGCAAGGGCTGGTTCACACACATGTAAGTTGGAAAAATCCCAGTCAGTTGGCATTTTGCTGTTTCCCAAACACCCCAGCCTTTAAACCATTATATTGGGAGATTGCTAGGCATTTGTCATAATGGGTTACAGGAACCATTTTATTTGTGACTTGGGGGTACTGGAGGAACTAGAGGATTGATAGCAAGCTAAAACTATGGCAAGATCCCCTCCATTTAAAACAGGAGTATGTATATATCTTCAATGACTGCTGATCATCGCAGAAATCTATGTTGGATCAGAAAAAAAAAAGGAATACCTCCCCACTCCTTCCGATTTTCTCAAATTGTTGCCAACCATCCCAGATCATTGGGGTTGTCTTCAATTTTGAGTTTCAGTTGTTGTAAAACTCTGGGACAGTCAGGAAACAGTATAACAGATTGCAAGCAAGTACACAATGTTGAAAGATTTTTTTTTTATCATAATGGTAAATTTTTCAGACATCGATAAGTTTGTATTGGCTACTATAATTAGGAAATACCTGTTAATAAGGTTTTTTACTATGACTAAATAAGTAAATTGGGAGAAACTCTTTCCAGTTTTGCCTTTTAAAAGCTCCTTACTCTTACATTACTTCAATCTGTAGTGGTTGAAAAGTACAGGATTACAATGTCAGCTCCACCACCATACTACCCTCCAGGCCCCGGACACCAGGGAGGTTATCAGGTACCACAGGCTTACCAGCAAGGTCCTTATCCAATCACAACTCCTCCTCAACCAGGATATGCACCCAGTAAGTTAAAATTATATACAGTGTCAGTTGAAGGACTTTTAAATGTTAGCTCGAAAATCCTTCTAGATTAGATTAGTGATGTATCAGGCTACAAAGAAACTGATTTAGGGATGAAGATATGCTTGTAATGAAACAACTGGAGTGATAGAATGGACAAATGGAAGTGATCATTTGACAAACAAATGTCATATAACAACTAGCCAGGTCCAGCATATGGTCTGGGGCTAAGTTAGTCATTCCCCTTAAGAATATGAACCATGTAACTTTTCCCTGTAATATCCATATTATCCAGCAATCAGGTAATAAGAATACTCAAACTCATCATATCAAAGTATTTATAAAGATATAACACCATATTCTTGCAACTAACTTACAAGGAAATATGTACCAGCTAGAAAAGAGAATTAACAGTTAGATCCTGGGATTATAAGGGTTAAAGCACAATCTTAAGCAGTCCCTTACTCCAGCCTGAGGTTATTGCATAAATTAATAGTGGATGCACTAGAACATAATCAGGAACACTTCAAAAATATTTCCCAGCTTGCTATATAGAGATGAAGATTTAGTTACTGGGATCTTAGGCAGTTACAGATTTCCGTCTCTCTTTTTTTTTTCTTATGACAGTAATTGGCACCTGTTCCCCTTGTTTTAAGAGATTGACTAAGCTTACTTGGATTATTCTTAGAGGATGATCAAACTGTACAAATTTAAGTGCAGCTTGCAATTGAACAGATCAAATTTAAAGTAATTATAACATTTATCACAACCATTACAAATTCCTCAAATATTATTGGTGCATTTGCAGCAACTAATCATTCTATACAGTTGTAACTGGACAGAGTAATCAGACAGGTGGCTTTAATTGGACACCTGTTATTGGACAGTTGAAGCAGCCAATCATAATAAGTCCACTCAGCTAATCCACCAATCACAGAAATGATCAAAATAAACATTAGATAGCAACAACCACATATCCAAAGAAAAACTGGGGAATTTCAAAAATGGAGGAATTTTTAACCAAAGACATTGTCTCGACTGGAGATATTTGTTTTAGGTACCGATATATTTGTTTTTTGGAAATTGAAATCATTATGATTAATTGGTAACAGGACTTCTTGTCACTCAATTCTGTCTACAGGTAATCTTATTGTTATTTTGTTAATCACTCATATGATTACAGACCAAATTGAACTCCACTTAGTCCTATTATTGTAATTATAAATAGCCATTCAGAACAAAGGAGGTAGTGTGGCAAGTTTAAGTATTGTGTTAAGTAGCATGAAGGAATGGAAGTCCTGAGAGGTATTAAATTTCTCTGATTGGTTGAGAGGGTGGTAAAAGATTTACAGACCAGTCACAGAGAACATTTAAGAAAAACCAGGGTGCAATCATAGATTACTCAGTAAAATGCTGTGACTGTTATTTTTCGTATTCATTTGATGCAAGGCTACAATGACTCACACAAGTCTGAGATGTCGTCCTGTTTGAAAGTTACCAGACACCACATTTTCTATTATGTAATGGTGAAGATCTTTATTGATCTCTGCACAGGTTATCATGAAGGAGCTCCACCAGGTTACCAACCTTTGCCAGCAAATGTGCCTCCAACAGCGTATGTCTATATTCGAGGGAACTGCCCAGCATGCCACACAGGAACACTTGAGGACAGTTACACTGCTCTTGGAGTTTGCTTAGCCATCTGCTTCTTCCCTATTGGTATTGTCTGTTGCTTGATGCTCACTGAAAAGAGATGTAACCACTGTGGAATGAGTTTCACATAAATCAGCCATGTGTACAGCAAAGCACACTTTTTTAGATTGGTATAAAGCCAAAAATATTGTCTTATTTGTATTTATGATTATAGCCAAGGGTATACCTCTGATAGTAGCTATGATTGTTCCTTATCTCAACACATTTTCCAGGACTTGACAGCAGCTCCAGAGAAGAGTGCTGGGAAATGATAATAATTTTAAGGGATTATATTCTGTAGTTCCCAGGTAGAGTTGAAACAGTATACGAGGAAGCAAGTTCACATGCACAGTATACTGACTCCATTTTTCAGTAACATCAGAAAAAGCAATTGTCCTTAGAAGGACAAGATTTTTTTCAAAAAAACAAGAAGGTGGTAATGGGTTTATATGTGATGTGTGATTAACTCTTTAACTCCTAGGATCTGATTGATAATTCTCCCCTCTAGCTGCTACACATTTCCTTGTAAAATAGCTGCAAGAATTTGGTGTTAGATCAAGATAACAGCTTAACTTGATAAGTTTGTGTATTCTTATTACCTGCTTGTTGGATAATGTATGGTTATTAGAGGGAGAAGTCACATTTTAATCACTTCTGGGTCACACTTTAATCACTTCTGAGAGTTAAAGGGCTAATTACGACCAAAATTAATATTTGACTTGGGAATTTTACATAAAGGTGAGAGGGATTTGTGAATTTTGTAAACCAGTATGAGGCATGATTTGCCTCTTTAAATTAAAGTCATGTGTGAATTTTTTCTTTCATTTTTTGATATTTAATCTTAAGATTTCTGTGAAACCTAGGACAATTAAGAAGAGCAAGTTTTAACTTGAAATTTCTATGCATGCTACCCTCAAACAAGTAGTTGTTCATGCTGATGAACATGTAATTTAAATGTTTTTGGCAGGAATTGATACAATGGCAGTTCAAATTAATATAACTAACTTCGGAGTGAGTGTCACTTTCCTTCATGAACTTAAGTTATAATAAGTAAAATGTACAGTTATTGAGCAGAATTTAACTCCATCATGGGAGTAATTTTACAATGTTATAGTTTGTGAAACTATAAAATAAAAATATATCGTAACAGTGTCTAACAAATCCAATGTAAAAAAGAGTTCTAAATACACTAAGTAAATACTAATGCATTGATCAATTTGAAGCTTCAAAATCTCCTTTTTCCTTGGAAATTGAACTTTTGAAGATTGGTTAATTCAAATTCTTGCCCTCCTGGGCCAAAATCTAGCTCAAATGCCCCACCCAAGAGCTGGATTTGACTGTCAATTTTCCTGTAAACACCTCCATTTAAAGATATACCACATTTCTTCTTCTGGAAAGACTTGACAGTTCCTGTTCAAATTTCCCATCCTACCCAGGCAAGGTTCTAATTCCCTTCCCCACCTGGCATGGATGGCAGATGAACATGTCCACAGGTTTCAGGGTGGAGAGGGGGGGGGGCGATGTGGAAGCTTGTTATTGATATGCACACAATATACTGAGTAAACTCAGTGCTCTTAGAATTGAGGTCTGTTTAATTTTTTGTTTGTTTATTTGTTGTTGTTGTTTTTTCAATCTTCCTAATCATTTTATACAACATATGGCAGTTTGCGGTCTTTTCCTACATCTAGGCAGTTCGGAAAGCCACAAAACTCAAGAACAACAATTTATCTTCCAAATCGGCACCCTTAATCCCCACGGTGTCAACGAGCCCTTTTCATTCAACTAATTTATTCTTGTTTTCTCGTTACCATATTCCCACCGATAGCATAGCTCTATTTTCTGCATAGAGACCCGCACACAACCCACAATTCCACCATTTGCTCTGACGAAGGGCTAACGCTCGCAACGTCAGCCTTTAAACTCTTTCCGGTGGCCAATTTACGTTTTCAACTCAGTTGATAACACTAAATACTTTGTAACAATTTTGTTACTCCACGTACACTCTTAATCTTTGATATTTTTAAGTTACCTCATCTCAATAACAACAAGCAGAAAATTGAATTTCATAACTAACTGAATTTCAAACACTCCTTATAGGTGTTTCTAATGAGGAAAAGCATGGCAATAGCTTCCAGTTCAGTCAAATTTTTCTTTGATTATTTACTTGTTGGTTTTTCATTTATTTTTGTTTTTGTTTTTGTTTTTACAAAGTTATTTTGATTTGAAAGAGGGTGAGCATTTCAAGAAACATACCGGATACCCCAAGCTCAACGCTAAGCAAGGTGCAGTGAAGCATTTTTTTTTTTTTATGGGCCTTGGACTAAGAAAAAAGACTGATGAGAAACCCTAGTGGTGATTCGAACCTCGTGCAGTCAGTCCCAGCTGGGTGTCGATGGGTGGGAAATTTCGTGCGCTCCACGGCCCAAATAGAAATGTTAAACTCACTTCTCCCTCTGTTGCCATTTTGTAACGTGCAAGCATATTTTATAACCAGTCTACCATGGCAGAAAATATTTCTGGTACCACTTTTCGATCTAGCTTGGTTGTCGTCCACAATTGTGACAGTCGCCAAGGGTTCCTGTTCACTTCCTCTTCTTAAAGTAATTTCGACACTAGAACTCGAAGCTTGAAGAAGGTTTTAAATCTGTCCTTAATACTTGATGCTATACTGCTTGTGTGTTCATGTTTCCCGATCCTTTGCACTCAAGCTCTGATCCTTCGATTAGGGTCCCCCTTTTTTCTTTCCAGTCTTCTATCCAGATAAACGTTGCGGATTTTCAGATGGTCAACCCTTAAGAATAAATATAAAAGTCGAGCTTTTACGGCGAATTTTCAGCTACATATTGTCAGGCTTGGGGACATTACGAAACGTCCCTCCAACATTGCCCATGAGTGTTGCGTGACACATCTGAAAAAGTTTGTAGACTTTGAGCTTGCATTCTTTTCTGAATTTACTGATATTTGAGACGGTTGTAATTTCAATGATAAAAAGGTCTTGAAAAACTGAGATCTTTCTGAGATTTTTGGAGGGCAAAGAGCAGCTTTACATAGGCTATTTACTCTTATGTACAACTTTCTTGTGAATCATCAAGAGAATTTGGTAATTAATCGAGAAACTGTTCTCCAGCTGATCGATATCGATAAGTAAAATTATTTCTCCGATTTCTCTCTCTAGACCCTGTTTCACATTCAAGTATTTCAATTTTTATGAGAATTTTTACTTTAGGCACGGGTTAAATGGCTGATCAAGGAAGGAAATGAAAATTAGAGAAAGAGATCTAAAAAACGAAACATCAAGGCCGGCTGTTCAAGTGGTTTTCAGGTAAACATGGACCTGCTAAATTTCTTGATTTTCATTATCGAACCCCTTTAGAACTGCAATTAGGTGTTTAATGTAAACAAAAACAAATTTTTTCTTCACAAACAAAAGGCCATCTACAAATGCAATAACGGCAGGTGATTCAATTGAAATCCGCCAAAATCCCATCTTTATCGGCTCATCTCAATTATAACACTTAAATTCGCTCGCACGTGAAAACTTTTATATATAGCGGATACGCTTAGAGTAAGCCGAATTAGAGAGGGTCTTTATGTTTGAAAACCAAATGCTGCACTTTGAGTTATAATCGTCTGAATCTTGACAATTTAAGCTTTTAAGTCCACCTTCCAAATTGCACTTTTACCTGTCCAAACAAAGGAATGCAATAAGATCCTGGGTGTAATTTTCTGCTGCTGACCAGTCGAAGGACCGATAGGTTTTCCCCGCATGAAATCGAGACAGCCGGTATACTTGTAAACTTTCGCAACATAATTGAAGCGAATCACTGCAAAAATAATTCTCGACGATGGATTTCGAGATAAAAACTGAACAGGAGCTTCACGATATTACGATATTGACCTTCCAGGTAAGGCTGATAGCCTGTCTGTTCGTTGTCAAGCAGCTTTCGTGTTGACTGTCCCATTTGCTTACTGGTACAGAATGTCATCGACATGTCCGTGGTACTCAAAGAGCTCTCCATGAGCGCCAAGAATTATCTCAAATCGCTACAAAGTAAGCATTTCCTACAGCAATTTTATTCGAAACAGCAAATTTGCTAGCTTAGGTTTCCATAAGAGATCGTTGCCAAGTGTTACACCTTTAACTCTTGTTTTCAGATGTTCGACAGGCAGCGACTTCGTTCTACGATTCCTTGTCCAAGGTATCACACATGGCTGGGCAGTCGAAAGGAACCGCGCGTTCCCTCGGTAAATGTGAAAACATTTTTCGATACTTTTGAGATTCATAAAATGATTCATATATTTTAAGCTATTGTGATCGAAATTTTCTTTTGATTTGTTTATACTTTCGACAGAATAATTAAGTCCTCATTGTATTATAAACTCGCATGGGGGTTCAACTCCGAAGTCCGAAGAAAAACAGCTTTAATAATCTTTTCTCCAACAAAGTGTCAAAACACAGCATTTTAACGCTTGATCAGTCGATCGTAAACAAAAATTGCCCGGTCGAGCTTCAAACGTTGTAGTAAGAGTAATTATTGTTCACAGCCACAACTACCTTAGTTTATTGTTAAGGATTCAAGTTATATGAATTTACTAATTCGGCGCGTTGCTGAAACTTGTTACTGCCTCGTCATTACAACGTTAGATTTTAGATCAATGCCTTTTTATTTGGAAATTAAACGCCACCATGCTTAAGTGGTACTAAAACGTTTTTCAGGACGGTAGAAAATCTCTCTGACATTCAAGATTGTGGCTTCCAAATATCGATAACACCAGGTCGACGAAAATGCTTCTCTCAGCGATATTTATAGTGATGAATAAATTTTAATGGTGTTGTCTGTGTTTCTGGTAAATTCACTTGTTTGTATACTAAAAAGTCGATTGCAATGTCCTTGACACAATTGGGAAGTTTTGTTTAAATACTGTTGCGGTAAATGGCGAACTGAAGTTCGAATTGCTTGTCATCAATTTTTCATTCTTTCAAAAAAGAATGCTGAAGGTGGCAATGTAACCACTTTCTAATGTCAAAGTGTTTATTTCTGTTCAGTCTTTCTAAAATTTATTATAACATGAGGCAAGAGCTAATGTTACACCTTCTGGATTTATAAGCTAGACTAGAGCAGCACAGTAATGAAAAAATGATTCTCAAACTTTACATAACTTTTGAGTCTGAATATTTAAAATTGAACATGTGTCTCAACATGTCCCTATAAATGTATTCCACTTAATGTGGATTCGGGGAATTTGATTATTACGTCAGATTGTCAATGCAAAATTATTGAGATTTTAGTCATACCCTTGCATGAAGTAAGAATGGCTATTGATTGTGGTAAATTTCACGAGGGCTTTAGTAGAGGAGACCAGTCTGAGTCTGTTATTTGGCAAACTAGAAGTTATCTTGATTTAAGCGGCAAGACAATTCAAGGAAATAATCAATTGTACAGGCCTGGGTTGTTCAAAGCTGGGTTAAGGTAACCCAGGGTTAGTGTGAAATTTGATTTCAGGTCTGAAAGCTTCAAGAGGAAATTCAGTTCAAATCTTTTTGCTTGCAATTTGATCATTGGATGTTCTAAAAAGAATAGTGAAAATTTTCTCTAAAAGACTTTTGTACAAAAAAATAAAGAAATCTGAATTAAAATTTAACCCTGGGTTAGGGCTAATCGGCCTTTGAACAACTGGACCCAGGAAAACAAATTATTTGACGACATGGACTCATGCTCTATAATAAAGTTGAGAATTTGTCCTATTACCATCCAAGAAAGATTAGCAATGATATTGCAGTTGACAATAAGCCAATTGATACTGGAAAAAAAGTAATTGTTGGTTTGATTCCCAAAATAGTGATGACCAGTTCTTTGTTGGAGAGGCAGACTATGCCCTCTTCAGGAAGATATTGTTTACGGAACACCCATTAGATTGGTATCACATATTTGTCTTTGCCAATATCACTAGAGAAAAATATTATTATAGCAACCACAATGAAATTTGTGCGTGACAAATTGAACAGTTTGTATTAAAAACTCCATAGCTAAGGCAACCACATTTTTTTAATATTGCCAAATTACTGGAGTGTTGGTTGGCTCAATGTATGGAAAAGAAAGGTGTAATGTAGCTACCATATGTCTGGAGACTTAGAAAGTTTGAATTTACAATGCCATTTATCAATCAATGCCCTGTAAATGTAGAGACGATATTTCCTGAAAAGGAGGAGAAAAGGGGTGGAGGGTAAGGAATGGAGATTTGGCAAGTGCTGCATTTAACATGTTTCTAAACTTGAAATCATGTTTGCAATGAATGTAATCCCATTCTGCGTGATACATGCAGGGTTGTCATAGTGTGATTTGAACTGTTCATAATTTCAATAAATTGAATTATGCTTACGTAAAGGTAACAAACATGGCATGTGGCTATGCAACACTCTCTTATTGGAAAAAATGTGGAATTGATACTCTCTGGGACAAGAATTTCTAGCATTTTAAAACATTTGTCATGCATTACCCCTTTGAGCCAGACATTAATTTAGAATAATTATAAAATATTATTCTTATTTACTTTCTTTGATCACAATTCATTTAGTAGCTGGTGCAAAATGGCCTCACAACCTGCTGGTTTTCATTGCCTGTTGGCTGCTTATGATAACCCTGTACATGCATACTCTCTGAATGTGATGCACTTTCATGTAAATGGTTTACGTGACTTTTGTTGTTTGTTGAGCACAGGACCCATCATTGCTGATCTGGTAATTGTCAAGAGGGAGGAGGAAAGTAGACAAAGTGATGTGGTAATGACAACTGTTTTATAAATGATTATTTATAGACATGTTAAAGGGTAACATAGTGTGCTCCCAATCCTGAGGACCTCTCTTGTGTAGGGTTATTTGCAGTTAGGTAGCATTAAGGGACTAGAAGTATTTCTACTCTTCCTGCATAGAATGCTACTCTGTTGCTGAGAGATGGGAGGGTGGTCCAACAAATTGAGGCCACTAGCTAGAGCTCAAACTTTATCGTAAGGTTGGAAGTCCAACACATTTACCACGAAGATACAGTATTTTTCTTAATTTTTTAATGAATTGTGGGAGAAAATGCCATGGAAGTACTAAAAAATAGGCAATATTGGATGTTAATTCTGTAAATGTTGTGGTTCAGATTTTCAACTGTTAAATTTTCATCTTGAGTTGGAATGCTGAAATTTGAAATAAGGGAAAAATAGGCAGAATAACTTGGTTTGTTTTCCTTTTTTTAATTAAGCAAATTCTTGAGAAATGTGTTAAGAATAACTGATTTGAAAACCTCTCCAGGTCATTAACATTTGCTATGAATAAAAGACTAGGATTAAATGAATTTGAAACCTCTAATCATCTCATACTTATCAAAGGGATAAATAGCTTTATTCATGTTTATATTGTTGTCCTTTTTTAGAATCCAGCTTTAGCTTAAAGCATGTACATGTGGATCTTGCCCTTTAGATAATCTTATCACCTTAATCATAGTTAACGCCTCATTAGACAAATATTGTTGACTTTACAAAACAATGAATTTATTGTTGTATATCAAATATCTTGCATCAAATGAACTCCATTGACAAGAATTTGTTATTACAAACCTTGTAGTATCTGCAGAACAAACATCTTCTGTGTACAATGCCAAATAGTTTTTGCACTAAGGAAAAAAGTGTGTACATAAGAAATCCAAGTATTTTTTATTGCATGTATTGAAATTGAGTCAGAGATATCATAACCCACTAAGTTGCCTATTGTAAAGTCTATTAGGAAGGTTTTGAAATTAGCTTTCAACCAAAAAGGTCAACTAATGCCTTCTTCCTTTTGTAGTAAAACTCTTCTATGGCTTCATGTGCTTGTGATTCTTAAAGTTTAGTTAACACAAGATCAGTGTTCATTTTGACCCATAATTAATTTTTGATAACCCAAATGTTCTGCAATGATTATACTCTATGCCAAGTTTATGTAAGCATAGAACTTAATGATTCTCACATAATTACTATAATAAGTAACACTTGTTATCACAGAAATTTAATCCCAGACTATGTTTAAAAAGAGAATGGGTGCCTCAAGTGGTTAACCATTGTCTTGTGGTGATTTTTGTAACTCTTCACAGCTTTGTAGTTGTAGCTCATCCATTGCAAAATGATTCTAATCACCTTGTGTTGGGAGATTAGAACAAAGATTTAATGGCTAACCAGAATGCTTGGATCTCTGTTATCACAGCAAAATTGTGCTACTAAAGATAACCATTTTATTTGTATTTTTTGTCATGTATTAAAGTGGTGATTTAACTTATTGATCCCTTTAGCTGAAATACCTGCAGAATGATTTAATAGCTCCATTAGACATCCTGGGGGATTCAGGTGTCCAGGAGGTGAAAGTATGTATTTCTAAAGTGCAAAGTAATTTTTGAAATTAATTGCCTTCAGAGATTGAATCAGACAGGTCATCACAACAAGCCTAGGATTAGGTACAATCAGATTCATCACATAAAATTCCCTATTGAAGATATGGGAGATTAATAGATATAAAGTTGTTACTGGAAGGGCAATCACTTTGTAATTTTCCAAAGTTTTAAGTTGTAGTAATTATACACCTGTGTGGTTATGAGCTGAACAAATGTAATTATGATATGTAATTTTCTTTCTGGTTATGTTTTGATTTATTAGTCTTTGCAGAAAAGTTACATTCAAGAGAACAAAAGTAAGATGGAGGTTAGTTTTATAATCATGATAAATAATTTCATTCTGTTGTTGTGTGCTAATTCCTAGGCTTTCAAATCAAAATGAGGCTGTGGATGACCTTTTCATGAGAGAGTCAATAGACTAGTTCAGTAAACATGATAGCAGAGAAGTTTACGACACAAGAAAGTTATCCTCAGCCTTAATCTTGTTGAAAGGCTTCATACATATAGTACATGTCTTTATTCACAAGTCTGAAAGGGACCATTTTCACCAATTTTGTTTTTTAATAGCAACCATAAAATTAGTGGATATTTTCAGAATGGTCTAATTTTTTTTTCATACATTGGACACAGAATACACATACAGCTGCTGTAATACTTCTAGGTTTCTTCCTACACAACTATACCTAAGTTACAAGCAGTAATAATGAGCTACTTGTATATTTTTTTACAATTTTTTTATGTGATTTGATTGAATTACATGGTTTGCATTTTTTTCCATAATATCTGTGGCACTGATGATTATGCTTATCATCATATATTTAAAAAATATATTTTTGCAGAAATTAAATTGAATAGAACAGATATTCACCAAAAGCATTGTAGCTGACTAAAAGTAATGACACAATTATTTTGATACCTGTACAGCTTTTAGAAAGAGCGAAAGGGGAACTGTTGAGAGTTAGGAAAAAAAGTCAAAGAAATAAACCAACAGAGAAATATGAAGAGAAAGAAAAACAGGTACTTACATGTACATTGTCCTTAATGTTTTAGAGTGCATGTACATTTACCATTGAGAGAAGCTGACCATCTTTTATCACCAGATCATAGACTAATATGGCTCTAACAAAACAAGAATTTCTCTTAACTACAGAAAGTAACAAATGGAACTCATTCAATAACATGCCAACTCTGGAGTTGAGAGTGATATTATTTCTGATCAGCATGGTGTTTTTCATCATTGTAAAAATGCCCTTATATAGCAGAATTGAACCTATCATATGGAAAGGCTTCTGTTACAACTCAGGAGTGAAGTAAAGGGTGATTACATTTATGCAATCCTAGAGATCTGCAATAAAATTGAAAGCAGCATACAAAACAATGGGAATGATACACACCCATAATTTCATAACAACAATTTTTTTCTTGAGAATTGTTAATAGTTACTTCTTTTCAATTTTCAATTTCTATTTTGATCTTCTTTCAAGTGTGAGCAAAGATTGGAGTCATGCCAAAAAGGACTTAGAGAATTTAGACTTGCAGGCTGCAGAAAGGTACCATGTCAATCAATTGTACTCTTGTAGTTAATGTATGTTGCAGTATGAAGATCAGTGCTTTCACACAAAATTATATCATTCATATTGAGCTAAAGTTATTGTCCATATTGAGCTGAAATTATTTGTTTGAAGGGTTGTGAAAAATGTTATTAATGTGCTAAGTAAATCTCCCACTGTATTGAGCATTTCAGTTTTGTTTTCATTAGGCAATAAAAGAGGAATGGAATAGATATTGCTTCGTATTTGACAGATGCAGTATTGCTTCCAGAATTACCATGGAATCTTGCGAACAAGTAAGAACTCTAAACTCCGAAGAGTTTATGTACACTCAGTTTGCATTTACATGTAGATATTAAATGTAGTTTCAAATTTGTTTATTGTCTTAATTCAGAGTGCACAGATACTACGAGGAAAGCTGCCAGTTTGGTTTTCACTCATAAAAAAGGATGACTCTGTGTCAAAGGTAAAACTAGTTTGCATACTATAATGAAAATTTTACTTCACATTTTACTTCATGTTAAAGATTTTTTTGATATACTGTACCTAATATTGCCATGGTACCATTTTACTGTTTCCTGTGCTAAATTCTTCTTTCATTGTTTCAGGTGAATGGTTCCATATCAAGTGCAGAAATTAAAAAGGATGGAATTAAAAGCGAAAAGTATGTTTTATGTTAATAATGGTAGCCTGCAGAGCAGGTGTAATTTTTGCAAGCAAGTGCTCAGTTATTTCATAACGAATATTATGGCTGCCATCTTTGATTTTAATGGCAGTGGAAGGCTGGGGAGAGAAATAAATTTGTACCAAGGGGGCAGTCGATGGTCAAAAATAAGGAGAGGGGTGGGGGTAGGGGGCGGTATTAGGACTGATCATGAGTCAAGTCTAATTTGGTCTGTGATATGATACAGTCAAATGATTGATACTCGTTAATTAAGAGTATAATTACAGACAGAACTGGACTTTCTGATTATGCAAGCATGACATGTACATTGTACAGTAACACTGTCCAGTTACAAGCATGACTGTCTTTATAGAACTCAAATCAGGGTAGTTAGAATAAATCTTGTTTTAGAGTTTTGTTATAATTTTGGTTGTTGTTATTATCATAATTATAATTTTTATTATTATTATTATTATTATTATTATTATTACAATTCTGTACTTCTGAATGAATGTGTATTTAATTTCTAACTGGATACTTTTCAGAAGTTCATAAGATACTTGTCATAAGTTCTTTATGCTAATTGTTCTCCTTGCAGACTAAAGCTGAGGGCTAATTTTGCACACACAGCAGCAGAAAATTCACAGCTTAGTTTCAAAGAGGTAAGTGTAAGTGGGCTATTGCATTCCTCAACAGCATGAAGGTTTTTTTTGTGTGTTTGTGAGTTCCTGAGGTGACTGACAGAACAATTTTTAGCTCCTGTCTTTAGGGGTAAAAGAAATTCTGATATCCAGCTTTCCCTTAGAAATCAAGTTCTACAGTTGTGCTGGGCAGGAATTCAATATTATGATTATGATATCAAGCATTTGGCATCTTTCCTTAATAATATTTTTCTTCTTCTCACTGGTCATCAAGGCCAAGGGCATTCACTATTACTTATTTTTCCTTTTCACTGGTAGGGTGATTTAATAAATCCAATCAGTGAAGTTGTTTCAGGATGGCAATATGGAGAAAACTTAAAAACAAACAAGTAAGGATTGGAACTTAATATTGATAATAGATGTTTGAGTATACATGATGAAAGTTTTATGTACTGTTAATGAAGTCATAAAGTTGTAAAGCAGTTGTGCAATGATTGTTATTTATAAAAGAGCATAAAATATGTCACAGTTTGTATGTATTGAAAACCTTAACTTAAATTTTGTCCATCAGTTGTAATGTTTGCTGATCTTCAGGACTCTTAATCTTCCTACTTTTTGATAAGGGTTAGTTATAAAATAACTTTCTTTTTTTTCCTTCTCAGGTCTGGCTGGTTCCCGGCTGCTTTCACAGAGGAGGTTATAGGTGTAATGACTGGGTAAGATAGAAACTTGACCCTTTTATTCCCAGAAGTGATGAACATGTTATTTCTCCCTATAATATCTTTACATTACCTGACAAACAGGTAATGAGAAAACTCAAACTTATCAGGTAGAAGTTGTCTGCTTGATCTAAAACCAAATTCTTGCAACTTATTTACAAGGAAATGTGTAGCAGCTAGAGGGGAGAATTAACAATCAGATCTTGGGAGCAAAAGGGTTCACCAAAATGTGACAGTTGACATTCGGGTTTCGAGGTGGGAGACAAGTGCTCTCACCATTGTCCATTCACTGTACTCCTATGTGCATGTACATGTATCTGTGTAGAATAACTTTTTGCTTGTATATTCCACTGTAGTAAATTTATTGTACACATGTAAATAACTTTTCTTGCAGTCCCTCAGTGAGTCATACATTACCTGCCAGTGGAATTCATCCACGTCCTACACTAGATTCCAGTGCTGGCCACAAGTCATTGAAGCGTTATTCAAGTGCTGGACCAGATGCATCATACTATCCTCCTCCAGACTATGTGGAGGAGGACAACAAGGCAGAAATAAACAGCCTATCATCCACAAACACCCCTGGTCTGTCAGGTACAGTGTGTGTACTGTGTAGTGGGCTGTTGCTTAAAGTTGGCTGATTGAAGTAAACAAAACTGTGCCTGCTAAATCCATGTACATTCGTGTAGGTTGTGAAATTTAAGAGGTTTCATGCCAAGTGTGTGTGTGTGTGTGTGTGTATGTGAGAAATGTGACATTTCAAAGGACTCTAGTTCAAACTGCTCATGTCTGAGTTGTGATTAGTGTCTGTGGATCAGTTCTGTTCATTTCCCTGTTTGTTATCAATTTCTATAATGGCTGACCACAACTTCTGAAATTGCATGTTGTTGATAATTGCAGGTATTACTTGAAGGATTTAACACACAATTTAAATTGAAAGGTTTTAATTTTGTAACGTAGGGCTGTTTGCATTTTATTTATTTTTTATGTTTATCTTTTAAAGTTTTTTGTTTAGATTCACTTTAATATTTACAGTAACACTGTAGGAAAGTATATGATTGTAATTAGAAATTATGTACATTTCACTTCAATACCTTGTTCACTTTTTGATTGTGAACTTCTACTTAAACAAAGGAGGAATAAAAACCAAAATCATTTTGACAACCAGTCACAACAAAGTCAGATATCTCAGGGAGCCATCAAGAACTTTAAAGCAAGAATAATTAAACTGCGTGTGGTTGAGACTAACTTGTGATGGGCTCTTCAATGTAGTTCCTTTTGCATTTTGAGTTAGTGGTGTAATGTTGTTGGCCAATCACAGAGCTGAGTGAAGTAAAACCAGTTGAAAGCAATCCTGGATTATTTTCAGCACTTGATTTGAAATCTTTTGTTCTGTATGCTTGTTGTTTGTGTGTAGAAAACCAAGTTATCACAATACTAATCAAAACTGATTGAAACATCTTTACATTATTCTCCAGGTCCAACTGACAACAGTAGTGCTGCCTTGGAGGTCAGATCACCATTGATACCTCCTCCTCCTCCACCTCTTCCTCCATCATTTTCTGCGTTAGGAAAAGGTGAAGAGAAGAAAACCAAGAGGTAAGAGATCCAGTTTTTTTTTTTATCTTGGACAAAATTGCTGAGACAATTGGCATCCATAGGGCACTTGGTTGTTAGTTTAAACAATTATTAGTATCTTCATCTCCTCTCTCCCCTGTGAATGATGTTGCCTGGTTTGTAGTTTGGTCATTGATATATGTACATGTATTCCAGATCTTATGAAAATATTGGTTGAGAGGAAGGTGGAAGAAAAGCTTTCTTATGAGATGTTGTGTGTTGTTGGGCTGGTTTTGTACAAGGTAGAAAATAAGACAACACTGAGAAGAACCTCTGAAGTGCAGACTAGAGCCAGGGACAAATGCAGTCTACTTGTAACTTGATGTAACATAGTGCTAAAAAAAATTAATTAACACTGCCAGAAAATGTTCAGTTCTTTGATGAAACTTTAAAATTTACTAACCAGTAAATACTAATCAATATAATTATAGGTGGATGAAATCCAGCAGAATTCTAACCCTGATGCTTGACAGGTTCTATTATGGGTTGGTCATATTTTGGTTTTTCTGTTTTGACTTGCACTTAACTGAATTTTTACATTCTTGTCATTTTAGTCCTGGTAATGAAGTAGAACCAAACGGTCAAATAACAGAAGATTCTCCTGATGTGAGTCGCTTGTAAATTATGGGAAGGAAGAATCACAGAGATGGAAGCTGCTAGCCTCGAAAGATGATTACACAGTGAAAGAATGACAAATTAGGCCCTCAATCAAATGCATTCTAGCATTTCCATTGCTTGCTAATGATTGCTTATTTTGATGGAAGATCTCAAATTATTGGCCACATGACTGAAATACTGTTTTGTGATAGCAGAACAGTCATGTGGATAACTGAAAAATTTTTAATTGAGGGAAGGTTTTTTCAGGGCTGAAATAATCAAACTGATTTATGTGGTAAACGGAAAAATTATGCAGATCTTTGGAGGCTACTGAGCCTAATATCTGAGTTAACCCTTCCGTTCTGAAAATCTAGCCATCAATTCTCTGCACTCTCTCTTTTACTGTATCTATTTTGTATGACTTTAGCTCTGAGAGTTTGATGTTAACCCTTTAACCCCTAAGAGTGACTGGCATCTAATTTCTCCTTACAATATCACCACTGAATCACACATTCACATCATGAGAATACAGGAAATGATCACCAACTCTTGATTGTCAGACAAATTCTCCTTTTCGGCACCTTAGTAAATGTACAGAGAACAGTATGGAGAATATGAATACTGATGTTGGGGTGTAAAGGGTTAAATCAAGCAATATCCATTTGTTTATATTTTACTGCTCATCATCTTTTTGCTGAAAAATGTTTTGGTATTGTAAAAACAATTTCCTTTTTGGTCACTCTTGAAAGAAATGGTTCAATGTGCAAAGAAGCAGTGTTTCCATTTGGCCTGAAAAATGATTATGACAAGCACTTGCTTAGCATCCTTTTAGTTCTTTCAAAAGTTTTAAGTGAACAGTTTGATGTACTTAAATTATGATCTCATATTTAATTTGTAGGTTCATTGATCATGTACAAAATCTGTTAGCCATATTGATGGAAATATTTTATGGAGAGATCTGATATATCATAGCTGGAAATGGGTAAATTATTTTTGTGAGCTGTAAATTGCGAAGAAAAGAATGAACAAATTGATGCTGAAGTTAGCGATAGAGGGTAACTGGACAAAACTTTATGAAACACATGCTATGATGTTCAATTGATTTCCAATGAAAATTATTGCAGATTGTATTTGATTGTATTTACAATAATCAATGCTACATAGTAAAAGTATGTACCATTTCTGTGGTTGTATCAATGATTTTTATCTCCTATGTTATGGGAGTCAAAATGCAACCCACCCTCCCCTCCACTGGTTCAAACTTTACTCCCTTGTGAAGTTCAGCTGAATGAAGAAGACGAAATTTTCATGAGACTCCTTTCCTCCTTCCCATTGAGCTCTTTGTGTTCCCCATGCAAATTCAACGAATTAAACACCCACCCTGCCTCAGCGTTTCTGAAATTCTCTGTGGTCTTCATCAGCATAGACCGATGACGAGCGTCTCTTAGCCCACACGGACCAATGTCAGTATCTCAGCAACGGCGCACCTACCCCTCCCCTGGTCCATCAACAGTCAACTGATATCAAGTTAGGGTTAACCCTTTAAACCCTAAAAATGACCAGCATTTAATTTCTCCTAACAGTAATGATGCTGAATTGGTCATTTAGATCATGAGAATAAAGGACATGATCGCCAACCCAAGAAGCTTTGATTGCTAACGAAATTCTCCTTGTCAGTACTAAAGGAAACGTAAAGAGAAGAGTATGGGAGTTTGGATACTGATGTTAGGGTGTTAAGGGTTAATATTGGGTTAAGTGAGGGGTAGGAGCAGAGCTGTTCAGATACTTACATTGATCCGCCCACAGATTAATTTCTAGACGCGAGCCTCAGGAGTATATTGTTATCGAAGGGTTATGGGTGACTTGCTTAAATGAAAAGAACAACCAAACGCATAGAGTTCTATGCCCCGAACGATGTTAAAAAAGAATAACAATGAACCTAAACGAGGCAAATCAGATCAGATCTTAACAACTTTTCGTTTGTATTCCACATTTTTGTCCGTGAAGTTTATCTATAGCCTTGAAATGCTTCTGCATAATTTGATAACAAACTTTAGAGACAAACGATTTGGAAAATGGTGAGAAATCACTGGAACCCACGATGCTCGTGGATTAAAGCTGAAGATTATCAGGAAGTTCAGTAGATCTAAGAATAAGCCCCAGGAAGACTACGTCAAGAAACAACCTTCTCGAGGTGCCAAATAAAGGCCATAACAACGCAATGAACACAAAAGAGTGAGATTACGCTCTGCTAAACAAACAACCAATTATTCTAATAAGAATTGAGTTCATTTGTCGTCAGTCTGTCTACCCACAGATTGCTCCTGGAAAGTTCTGCGCCATATATGTTATTAATATGCGATGGAAAGAAATAAAATGACCAAATAAAAAACACGATACCCGCCTGATAACTTGTTTTAGTGGGAAATGGAACCAGGAAGTAATGGATCATTCTCAAATCGTAACTTGTTGTAATTGGAAACTACTGAGATCTAGCCTTTAGATTATAGGTATTGTGTCTTGTTATCTGCAGAGTCATTTGGTATAAATAATAGGAATAGAAAAAGGAGGGCAAAAGGTTAGGATTTTGAAAGCAAAATACACTGGATGCTATTTTCGAAACACCCTTTTTCATATTTGAATGCCTCAATTGCGGTCTTAGGCGGAGTTGACTCATTTGGACTAAATGATAGGCATCGAAAGAAGAGGGTTTTAAAAAATCCAGCTTGTATCTTAGTTCTTCCTGGCGATATTCACTGCCATTCGCTCTTTAGACAGCTGAAAGTGATTGACAACTTATAACAGGATCAATTTTGGCCTTGCCACAAGGATTAGTGGGTTCCTTTTCAGCAGGTGATCACGCTTCAGCCTATGAGGTAAGAGTTTCACCTCTAGTCACGTTCTATACCCGAATAGAGGTCGATTACTTTCTGATCCCTCACCATTTCCTCGTTTGGCTCTCACTGTAGGCGTTATCGATAATTTGACTTCTATTTCGGTGAAGAGTTTTAAAACCATGGCGACTGCGTATCTTCAGAACGTTTTCCATGACTGATCGACGTGGTACAGGAGGCTAATTTGACGGGGTGCTTTTTGCTCCGTCTTACAACATATGAAGCGGCCTAACAATTTAGCCAAAATAACTTGAATTTTCGGAAGTTGTACAGAATTCAACTCATCTTAGATTCCGAAAATAATTTCAAATAGTGTAGGTGGGGTTTGGAATTCGTGGAAGCTACAGAAAATAGGGAGTGTTGTGGCGGCCAGCTCAAGAGGAATTGTGTGTTGTGTGTGGGTTTCTAAGCAGAAAATGGAGCTACGCTACTGGTGGGAATATAGTGATGAAAAAACAAGAATAAATTAGTTGAAGGAAAATCACTCGTTGATACCGTGAGGATTCAAGGTGCCGATTTAGAAGATGAATTTTTGTTCTAAAGTTTTTTTAAATAAGTGCAAGTTATTTTGGGTCCCGAAATTTTCTCTACGTTACGAATGAATTACGTAGAGAAAATGTCGGGACCCAAGAGATCCATTGATCACTGATCACTTTACGTGCATCTCCGCCAATGTCATTTGTAGAGGTAATCACATGATTTCAAGTGCAATTTGGAATAAATAAGCACGAGTCAATTTTTCCAAAGACTGACAAAATTGCACAGCCCGTAGGGCGAGTGCAATTTGTGATCTTTGAAAAAATTAACAAGTGCTTATTTATTCCAAACTGCACGAGAAAAATTATATGATTACGTATTAATGATATAAATGGAAACATACGAGATAGTTTAACATTATTATGCAGAAGCAAAGCGCGCGCATCAAGAGCAAAAATAATTTATTCAAACTTGTCCATTCGGTCAAAACAACCGCGTTCAAAGTCCGGCTAAACAGTTCAAGGAATTGTTCAGTCTGTGTCCGAATCATTTTCGATGGAATGGAATCGTCGTTTGCGAGGTTTAACCATATTTGTTTTTAATTTCGGCGTAGAAAGTGCAATTTGTGGTCTTTGAAAAAATGAACAAGTGCTTATTTATTCCAAACTGCACGAGAAAAATCATATGATTACGTATTAATAATATACATGGAAACATACGAGATAGTTTATCACTGTTATGCAGAAGCAAAGCCCTCGCAGCAAGTGCAAAAATAATTTATTCAAACTTGTGCATTCGGTCAAAACAACCGCGTACGATCAAAACAGTAATATATAATGATATTTTTACATCTTTGAGGCGCAAAAAAGTTCAAAGTCCGGCTAAACAGTTCAAGGAATTGTTAAGTCTGTGTCCGAATCACTTTCGATGGAATGGAATCGTCGTTTGCGAGGTTTAACCATGTTTGTTTTCAATTTCGGCGTAGAATCGCTCGAAGAAAAGGTTAAGCTGGTCGGCTAGTAATTTTGATTTCCTTGGCAATTCCCTTCTCTAAACACCACTTTTTCCAATCCGACAACCAAGAAGCAGTGCTTTTTACAGTGTTTGTCCTTTTATTTCCATAACATCATTGCCAACTTCGTCAGGTATACGGTCCACAATATTCATTCAGATCCTGAATTTTTTCTTGGTGTTGATTTGGTGTGTAAATATATATCTTGTTACAGTACACCAGTGATTTGCACAGCATATGCATGCACGATTGTGTTAGTCTTACCGCAAGTTGATTGGCCGTAAACTAACATGGGATATTCTTCATCCAAAAACTTGTCCAATCTTCTTTTTTTGTTTTCCTTTTTAACAATATTATAGTTTGGAATCTTCATAATACATAAGTACATTAAAATAATTGTCATTTTCTTCACATCTTTTGGAATAACTGACAATAAATACCTAATCATGTAATCTTATATATGGACATAAACAGACTTAGAAAGAAAGCTGAAAGGCATATGAAAGCTGATTCTCTGAGACATAAGATATCAAAACAAATAAAGGATTATCGTGAAAGACAAGTGATCCAATATGAAAGCAAAGAATCATTCAAACCAATTATGGACACACAAAAAGGGGTAAAGGAGACTTTTGATGAGGAACAGGATAAGCTAATTGAAAAACTGCAGGGAAACCAAGAAAATATCAATAATTCACTTGATGCACTTTCTGACGTAGTGCGTATCCACTTAGCATCCCATGCAAAATGAATTCAAGGCTAGATAACTTCTTATCGGTTCCAAACGTTTCCTAAGTATTTTCTTCAGTATCTTGATACGCTTCTTTATACGTGTTTTTGACGATGGTGAATTATTTGCATTTCAGGAAAAATGGCCTCAGCAGCGTTTCATGTAACTAAAGAAACAACTAATTACGCCCGGTTATGCAAACTTCTGGTGGATGTCGGTACACATATTCTGAAAGAGACATTTGAGAAAAAGCGTCCGCCAGGAAAACTGGAAATAGTTTTGTCAACTCCTCAAGTTCATGAATTGCTACAAGACCTCAGAAGAAGAAAAGTGCTGAATCCATCACAATGGGGAAAACTGTATCCTACCATAAAATCTTCAGTTTCATCTCAGCATTTTGATATCACTCTGCTGATGGTTTTGCTGAGACACATTTGTGGTCTTGTTCCTCCGGCTACTGGCTGGGATACACTTCCTCCTACAACAGACACAACCCCTGAGGCAGATATCGTTCGCATCAAGTGCTACAGAAACGCAGTTTACGGTCATGCCTGCGAGGCCTCAGTCAATGATGCAACATTCAATCAATACTGGAAAGACATCCAAGATGCATTGGTGAGACTGGGAGGAGCTGATTTCCAAAGTGCTATTGATGATCTGAAAAAGGAATGCATGGACCCTGAGTTCGAAGAACACTTCAAAGAGCTTCTCAAGCAGTGGGTGATGGATGAAGTCAGCATCAAAGAACGACTGGATGAAATTGGTAAAAGTCTGAATGAAGTCAAGGAAGCAGTCGTTCATACCAAAAAGAAAGCAGGAGACAAAGGTATTGTGTCTTAATGGTAAAATCTGTGCAACAGCCTTTTGATCTTTCTTGAGAAGACAAACTTGAAGAGGAAGATTGAAGGGCCTCTCATCACGTATTAAGCAATTTAACAATCAATTCATCATGAGTTAATATGCCAAGTTTCCAAACAAAGGCGCTGGTGGTAACACCGGTCAGTGGTGATAATTTTAGACATATCTCACCCAATACGCGTTACCACTAGCGCCTTTCTTTGGAAGCCTGGCATATTAACTCCGCCCACGCTCCTTTAAATCGTGATGATGGCGGCTCACTTCCTGACGCCTATTTACACCTCGTCAGAGAAAAGACAGCTGATTAGTGAGCGTATAAGAGGACCTCTTGTTGCAGCGTTTAGATCATCCCCGATGAAAGCACTAAACAGGAGTGTCCAAACGTTGGGTCTATGAATTGTAACTTATCGATTACATTCATTAAATCTTTGAACCAGAGTAGCATCTCACCATGTCTGATTGTCCACCTCGTTGCCATGTGAATTTTGATATAATTTATTTCTTATTATTTGCTCAAGGTAATCCCACGAAAATGGAGGGAAAAGAGGACATAAATATTCTGATACTGGGAGAAACTGGAGTTGGAAAGTCCACTTGGATCAATGCGTTTTCCAATTATTTGAAGCATGGTTGTCTCCGAGCCGCCATCGATGCGAGTGAATTTACTTTTTTGATACCATTTAGGTAAAAATATGAACCTTTCGGTAGTTTAAACATTTTATTGAATTATTTAATAAGACGATGTATTTTCATGTATTGAAAGACGTTAGGCCCAAAAGTTAGCGAACTGGACTGCGGATCGAAAGGACCGAGTGGAGCTCTGGACGGGTAATTGCGTTCTTGGGAAAGGTACCTTACTCTCAGAGTATCTCCAACCAGGAGTATAAATTGGTACCCGTAGATTGATGCCATTGATTTTCTCCATCCATAAGGAGAAGTCACACTTTAAGTCCTTACCTACTCCGGCAGTTTAGATCACTTAATCGCACGAGTGCTGCATGACTTTACTGGTGTATTTTCTTACCTTCTTTACCTTTATTCGCCATTCCCTACCATAGATGTAACTATAATTGTAGTCTCCTCAAGCTATAGTTTCCTTCCTTCAAAAATCAGCCCCTGTGTCTAAAGGGGTTAAAATTTGACACTGAGTCAATGGGTCATTATGTAAAGGCTATTTCGCAGAGAACTAGTCTCACTTGTTTGATAGAAACTTTCGAACTTTCGAACCATTGAAAGCTCTGGTTCTCTTCGCGTTCTTCCCCCCCCCCCCCCCTCTCTCTCTCTCTCTCTCTCTCTCTCTTGTTCTCCTGTGACTATTGTGATTCACTGAAGTATGATATCTTATTTGTACAGTCTATGGGAAACCTTTAGTAGATTTCTTTCAAATTGAGGAGGTTGCTCATTCAACGAACATTTATCCACATGAAGTTTCCTTCACTCATGGTTACCTAGCGTGGAGCCCGTTCCTCAAAACTCTGTGGTGGACGACGGTCCCAAAAAACTTTTTGGCAGTTTACGGTTTACAGTTTACGGTCACGTTTACATTTTTGATCGATATGTTGATTTTTTTAAATTCAAAGAATTGGAATATTTGGAAGGAAAACAACTAGTATTTTTCACGAATTTGTACCCTACAATTGAATCTTAAAATACTGCTTCTGGCCGGTTAAGTATAGTTAGTTAAGACACAGTTGAGTTCCTGTCAAGAAAATTCAAACTTCTGTCCTTATAAGACAGCCTGTAGAGACTTATTGTAGTACATTAAATCAAAATATATTATGGTGACAGTAAAATGAAATATTTATCCCAGGTTTGCTCATACGAGTGAAGAAGGGGACGAGAAGGAAGTTTCCTTTGGTTCTGATGCAAATGAACATTTCGCCACCGGTCAGTCTGCTACGCAGTCCCCTCGGGAGTATATGTTTGAGACAAAGGACGCCAAGTTCAACCTTATAGACACTCCAGGCATTGGGGACTGTCGAGGAACTAACAAAGACAAACAACACTTTGAAGAAATTATGGCCTCTCTCAGCATCTACGGCAAGATCCATGCTGTGGTTGTGCTTCTCAAGCCAAACAATCCCAGGTTGTCTGTGGCTTTCAAATTTTGTGTTTTGGAGCTGCTTAAGCACCTTCACAAGTCACTGCAATCCAACATCATATTTGCCTTTACTAACTCCAGGGGAACGTTTTACCAGCCAGGAGACACCCTGCCAGTTCTCAAGAAACTCCTAGAGAAAAACAACCTTAACATTGATGTTTCGCCTTCCAACTATTTTTGTTTCGACAACGAATCTTTCAGGTATTTATCTTTCCAAGGTCTAAACTTTATTCCAGAGAACACAGATTTTGATTAACCAAGTCGTGAAGTGGGGAGGTAAATATCTTCCCCATGCCACCGACACTGAGGTGGACAGTTGTTTTAGGATATGCTAAGACAGTATGATAATATAGTACAAGGATATGACTTAAACTCATTTATTATTGTAACGATTAGAATATTTTAGGGAACAACTCCTGCGCGCGTTGCTCGGAGTTGACTAGCAAAGAATAACCGGTGTTGAGTAGCCAATCAGAGCGCGCCTTCATCGCTATCTACTGTTTTACTCAATACGAAATAGATATCTCTATTGGTATATTATTTTATATTTATGTATGTTGAAACGCTTTGTCATCGACAGATTTCTTGCCTGCCACAGGAAGGGAATTAAATTTACTCCGGATAAGGTTGGCATCTACCAAGAGAGTTGGGACAAGTCGTACAAAAATACGACCAAGCTCCTTGAGAAAGTGATGGAAATGAAGCCACATGAGACGAAGGAGACTTTGAGCTTGAACAATGCTAGAGAATATACATTGGCCTTAGCCAAACCTATGGCAGAAGCTGTCGAACTAATTAATATCAACTTGAAGAAGATTAAAGCGGAAAAAGAGAAGTGCAAAGCTTACGACAGCGACATCGAAAGTTTTCGAGCTCAGTTAAATTTCAAAGGGTTCGATCTCACTTTAATGAAGCTAAAACGCCCCATAACTGTCTGTGCTGGTAAAGGATGTAAGACGTATGTGAATGTTGGTGAAGATCGTGTGAGGCATACTGTCTATAATAGGATCTGCCATGATCCTTGCTACCTTTCGGGAGTGCCCTATGAGACTACCGACAACGAGAAACTTCGTGATTGTAAAGCAATGAAAAAGGATGGTTTTTGCAGTAAATGTCCTCACAGCTACAAAGCCCACATGCATATCACCTACAAAACTACCCTCGTAGAGAAGGAATTCTTTTCTAAGGAAACACACAAGATTATTTTGAAGAAAAAAGGTATGAAGTCCCAGAAAGAAGAGTTCATTCGTCTTTTGAAAGCGCGAATTGATGAATTAGAGAAAGAAAAGAAATATATCTATGAAACCGCATGCTTTTTCGCCATCTTTCTCAAAAACAACGCCATGATCCCTTACAACGACGCCTTTGGCGAATACATCGACATGCTAATCCAAGATGAGGAAGATAAGGAGAAGGAGAACAGGGACTCCAAGAAAATCAAACAGTTAGTGAAGGAAAAACAGGCTTATGAGGAGACGAAAAAACTTCTCATCGAAACGATGGCATCGAGCTCTGACGGAGAGTTGGGAAATTCACGCATAGAGGAAAGCTACAATAGAAAAGAAAAGCTCTGTTCTTTGAAGCACAATGGAAATATGCTGAAAGAGGTTCTAGGTATGATACTTCTTGCGTAGAATAACAAGTTATTACGTTAATGAAGTTTTCAGGGAAAGAGAAATGTTACTCATCTCTGAACAAAGTGAAAGGGGAACCCAAAATAGAAGTTCACCCCTCTCGGGTTCGAATAAAAAACAGCTTCGACCCTCTACAAAATATGAATACTTAACTTAGAAGTTTTATTTATGACAAGAAGTAATACATAAAATATCTGCCGCCTCTAATGACAAGTGTTTATTTTGTCTGTTTTAGATGGCGTCATGTCTGCAACACACAATATGTTCAGAGAAAGAAGGTATGGCAAAATCATTATCACTCCTTTTTTAGCATGCTGCATCGGGACATTACCATGTACATTGATGAAATAGAAAGACAAACTAGGGTAGAGGTTATTACACATAAACAGACATCGTCATACAGTCAGTTAGACGGAGAGACATTTTAACAATTTTTCACATGTGGAAAATATGGGCGCTACGAATATTTACATCCTCGAAGGCCTAAGACCTCCCTGTACCACCCGTTCACATCATACCACAACTCATCATTCATCGCATGAGGGGGTGGGGGTGGACGATTTTGGGGGAAGCATACGGTTCTCAGGGGGAACGGAGGGGGGATCAGTCGTCACCAAGAGAGCATATATGGGAGACTGCAGAAAACTGACTGCCAATTAACTGCAAATGAGGGAAGGGGGGGTAGGGTCATAAGCATGTTACATAGGGTAGGGGGGGTGGGTAACACGTAAGTTTTACTTTTACACAACCCTCCAGTGGATACATAATGATCAGTCTCTGATATCAGATTTTGTGTCGGGAAGGGGGGTTTGGATCATAAGAATGTTACATAGGCTTGGGGGGGGGGGGGTTGGGTGGCAAATGAGTTTTATTGTGACACAACCCTCCAGGGGATAAATAGCCCTCCAAGGGATATTAGCATTGTTTTAAAGCGGGTAGTCGTCTCAGGATTGCTATTTAGTGGGCCCTCTTCGTAATCCTAATGTGTAAACCAAATCTGTTTGTTTATTATTTAGAGTCAGCGTCTGCAACAAAGGGAAACCTCTCTGGTGAACTCCGTCAGCGGCAACCTCTGAATCTCCTTTAGCTGGGAGGGAAAGATTAACGAACGTTTGAATGGTCAATAATTTGTGCCCATAAGTAGATATTTTTGAGATATTTCATTAACAACATAACTCTCTGTGCCTATAGTGGGTGGCTGACTTGGTATGTCTTCGACAATTGCGCACTATAGTTAATACATTTGCTGTTTGTGATATTTACATTTGTGACTTTTTAAAAGTCGATCAGTCAGGAAAAAAGGAAAAGCCTATGTTTCCTAATATCAAAAATACTAGGTAGAAATCTATTTCCATGTTGCTTTTCTAAATTAAGCAATACATGCTTTGAAGCAAGACTTTGCAATCAAAGCAATCAAGTAGAGAACGCGATATTTTGCCGCAGAGTTTAGCTGTTCTCAGAGGTGAACATTTTGCCAATAGACAAGCTTGAAGAAAACTATGGTAATGGAATATTCCGAGTGTGATCGAATCTGTTAATAGGGAAGTAAGAGATTTTTCGTAAGGGGAAAGAGTGATGACCGTTAGACTGTCTATTGTAGCTTCGGGCTCACCGAAAGGCCTTGGTTAGCCCTGTGGGTTTCCGTTTTTTAACTCTACACAGAACAATCAAGTAGCTTGTTTGATATCCTGCTCTTAAGGCACATAATCAATTAAGTTTGGCTGAGTTGTTTTTAATTCCGCACCTTCGTATTGATCACTCAACAAAAAGAAGACAAAGATCAAAAAGAGGCTGGCGCATATTTTTATGTTAGGGAAGAACCTTTGTCTTTAGATTTCGATCAGATATATAGATGCTTTGGTTCCTCGAGTGTTTTCCTTTGCAAATTACAGTAGTTTTGTTGAAAGTAAGGTTTTTGTCTTGCAGACGATCAGTTAGCTTTTGTTCTTTTTGGCTAAAATAAGGGCGTCATCATTTACTAGTATAGGATTTTATCAGCATTGAGTGAGTTTCGGAGTGTTGTGTTATTCGCAAGAAATTACCACGAGTTAAATCATTTTATACGAGACAATGACTTACCTTAGTTAGGCCTAGCTTAAACTTCATATTTTTGAGGTCTCAGTTTACGGCCTTCAACAGTTATACAACGATAAGATGTTAAGGGAATAAAGAGGTGTGTTTTATGTCTGACTTTTATTTAAAGGGGAGCCCATAAAATAGAACTTAAGTCGAGACCAGCCTCCACACTTCTTGAAAATCGTGAGTCGAACGCCGCTACATAAAGGTATTACGTGAGATGCGACCTTATAAATTGTTATTAGTTCAAATGAAACAGCTCGAGGCTGGGACCAAATTCGATTACCAGCCCCTGTTCAAGCAATGAGCCTGCTCTACTCCTTCTGAGTCAGTAATGCTTGCTAAGCAAGTCTCTACAACCCCCTTGCGTTACGAATGTGTCAAATCATTGTTGCTTTGGAACGTTAAGGCAACCAAAAATTGAATGGCAAACGCTTGTTGGAGGTATTTCGTCAGCAGCGAAAGCATGTTACAAATCATGTCAAGCAAGGCTGTGTACAGAGGCCCCAAGGATCCCAAGGGTCTAAAATAAGTCGTAAGATTTTTTATTTTATACATACTGTGATCTTCAGAGTGAAGTACCTTCGTTACGTTGAATTGAAATGTGAAAAGATATCAGTATGTATGAAATGAAAACATTATACCATGGAAAATGCGCACGAAAGATTTTAAATTCATGAGTTGCGATGCATCAAAAACCTCACTCGTTTGCTGCGGTCATTCCTTCGTTGTTTTGATGCATCGCAACTCGTGCATAAAAATCGTTCGTGCGCACTTTCCATGGAATGATCTCTTTATACCGCGGTATCTACGACACAACATCATTTCTCTCGATGGAAACTCTCACCGTTTTGTTTCTAATCGTCTTCGCTTTTGTCGATCCCCCGGTTGGTAAAGTACCACCTAATCACAAATCTTTTGCAGAAACGTCATACAAGGTGTTACGTCGTGACTGTTTAACTCAACCTTTTAGCTTCCAGTCCTCCATTAGCTTTCCGATTTTGGTACCCAGTCTGGCTCAGCAAGCTTCAATGTTTTGAATGATTTTGAATGGTTCACGTCGGCATCCATAGATCGATGGCAAAATCTCCTGTCAAATTGTACGTTAACGACCTCTCTCGAGGTATGGCAAGACAGCTGTCACCTTTCATACTTGGTAAGTTAGATAACAATAGAAGCCTGCTTATTTTGATATGCGAGAAATATCCCAGCTGAAATAATTTTTTTAATTTTGTGTTTCGTATTTACACTGTGACGCAGCAAAGATGCGACGGTTAAACACATAATCCTTCGGAATAAAAGCCCAAAGTTACTAAGCTTTAAAATTCAAGGAATTTTAAATAGCCGTCAGGTCTGTTTATTTAGTATGTAGATGTGATACCGAGCCAGCTTATTACATCTTAGTCTAACATCTACATATACATTTGTTAAGGTGGTGAAATCTGTACAGACATCACACCAACTATCAGTTATTTTTTCTGCACTTGTATCCATAGGCAAGCAAATCGATGGAATTTGGTATGTGCTTATTTTTTTCTGAATAGAGTATTGGGTGGTTTTTTTTTCCTTCCTGGCCTACAATATATTTAAGATTTTATCTGATCTGTGTGCACTGTTAATTATTCGCATCGGTGGTATAATTTTGATTTATAATTTTCAGTTTACCTTCGCCCATGACCAAACTATTCGTGGAAGGTTTTAAATGGCTGTGAACAAAGAGCATTGCTTGGTTTGAAATGTTTGATCAGAATCAATCATTTTAAGCCTTGCATACACTGTATAATTACCTTCTCCAATTTAGTCCAAAATTATCACTAAGATTTGAACACTAATTCTCTTAACATTTAGCAGTAAATTAATTTTGGCTGTTCCTGAGAATTTGTTGCAAATCAGGCCTATATGTTGATAATTGGAGAGATTGCTTCTGAGTGACCTCAGAGCCTCAGGAAAGATATGACTTGCAGTAATTTCGTTGCTTGTACTCAGTCTCAATTTACAATTAATTGCAAGTGATCACATGTATGTATTTTTTTGTTTGTAAATTAAATTTACTTTTTGTTTGATTCAGGACCGGGAATATATATAACGGTGTAATATGTGACTAACACAGTCTATATACTGTAAGATTTTACGCCACTAACTCAATCGGTAGATTAATTATAATAAATTAATACATAATGAAATTATATTACTGGCGTAAAATTTACCATTATATATATCACCGACTGGAAGAAATTACGCCGTTAGTTACTGGCGTAAAATCGTACATATAAACACAGCCGACTAGAAGAAATTACGCCGTTAGTTACTGGCGTAAAATCTTCCATATAAGTACAACCGACTGGAAGAAATTACGCCGTTAGTTACTGGCGTAAAATCGTACATATAAACACAACCGACTGAAATGTGAATGCCGACGCTTTGGATACAAAGCGATTCGTACGCAAAGGAAATGGTTTGGTGTTTCCCTTTGTATGTAATTAATTTTAATTTATGGGGAAACAATATTTCTCTCATTACCGAGACATATTCAACAGTCGAAGGGATATTTCGTATTTTAACGTGCCATGTTATATCGTGTATTTGGAATTTGAAAAAAAGGAAACCCAAATTAAACGGTTAAAAATGTATCCAACGGTAGGAAGCAGTTTACATTACTTATTGCGACGGCGTGCTGGTTGACGTGGAAGTTGCCGTAAACCCTTGCGAACTGAATTCCCAGTTTTCTGGGAATTCTCAAAAATTCCCAATTATACAAATTACCCTTGGAAACTGAATTCCCAGTTTTCTGGGAATTCCTGGGAATTCAGTTCGCAAGGGTTTACGGCAACTTCCACGTCAACCAGCACGCCGTCCCAATAAGTAATGTAAACTGCTTCCTACCGTTGGATACATTTTTAACCGTTTAATTTGGGTCAAAAATTCCCAACTATGCAAATTAACTCTGATTTAAAAAGCTTGGAATTACTGGGAATTTCTGGGAAAGGAAGACTCCAGTTTTGTGAGGACTTGGAATCCCTAAGAATTCCTAGGAATTCTCAGCTTTACAAACTACCTATAATTTAAGAAGTGTGGAACTCTTGGGAGTTTCTGGGAATTGAATTTGAGGCAATTTTAATACCCTGAGGTCCACATAAATTCTAAGAAATTCTCAATACCTTGAATGTGAAGGTTTTAAGAAAAAGAGTAATTTCAGAGGCTTAAAACTTTGGCTCAATAAAAGGTATGCTATACAAAACTTACCAAGAGATATACATACATGTACATGTTTCTAACTTAAAGATCATGAAATTTATTATTCAAACTAAGTTTTAGTAAATCTTTACATTAATATGGATTTTCTCATGAACCAGCTATCGGTTATGTTAAATGGAAATTGCCAACTCCCACAATAATTAACAATAATTACATTGTTATCTTACTTCCCTAACCTACATTACTGGTTGCCTTTGTTAGAAAACCTTGGAACAGTCAAGCTCAGTTGCCTTAAAAGCTGTCAGAGACTTTTTGTTGACAATACTTTTGGTAGAAATTTCATGCCTTAGACAAACAAATTCTACACCTAATTAATCTTTCTTTTTTCATGATTGTTGTTGCTGCTTTTTTTTCAGTTTTTTGCTCTATTTTCATGAATAATTGCTGTAATTTGTTTTGCTGTTTTTATTCTTACAAAACATTTTTGTAAGAGTTCCAGTACTTGTGGATCATCCACACACTTTGCAAACATTTGGCATGCAGACAAGACAGAGGTAGTCAATGTTCCCTTTGAGAAAAAAAACACCTTTAAAATGACGTCTTCAATTTACTTTATTTGAAACTCTGATCTGAAAATATTTGTCAACAAGACTTGTTAGTAGTGAGAAGTACCAACCAAGTTTCCTTTCATAACTTAATTTCTTAAATGTCCCAATCACTGGATCTCCCAAAAAATATTACATCTTTTTATTTTTGGTGCAAATTACAAGTCCTTTTTATATAAAAATGAAAAGTGCCAGCCACACTTCAATAATAACAGCTCTTAAGTTTACTTGTTGTTCTTCTCTGTCTGTCAGCTATCAACAAAATTGTTTTATACTTGAGACAGTGCATAACTATTTGTGGACCAAAGTTCCAACGCAGCTCTGTAATCGCATATAGCTACTTCTGTCTCTTGTACAAATGTTTCTCCTTTGTAAGACGCACTCTACTCTGTTGTCAATACTGCTTTAAGTTCAGTGGAAACGACTGACTGAGGAATCGAGATGGCGGTGTTGGAACGTGTTGCTGAACGCTTGCTACGGTCAAGCTTTGTAGATTTAGGTACTGGTACACTGGGATCATCTATGTATCTTTTATACTTCCGAATGTGGTATCCTTCTTTTATAAATATGAGGGTAAAAGACGATTTGTAGTCGCATTCAAAACTGTGATTGGCTTGTGTTATTTCTCACCTTTGCCATTAACACAACTCAAGTGAGTTTCGAGTCTTTGTTTCCTCGACAACTTTCGGCCACAAATCGTGCATTTGTAATACGATCGATTCTTGTCGATTATTTCTACATAGAGTGAGCTCACATCTTTATTTATATCACCAAGGTATCCATCTTCTAGAAGCAGAGAACCGGTCGGAGAAGTCAGAATAAAGTTGGGCGCTTCTCTTAACATTGCAATCGGCAAGCCAGCGGATTCACTTTGCTAGCCAATGACAAGTCCTAAAAGATCCACGTGATCATGCCCGTGATCGGAAACAAAGATGACTCCATTTGGCGCTCGTCTTTGAATGTACTTTTCATCGGTTGATCGCTTTTCTCAACTGTTTTGCTTAATGTAACATTTCTAAAGATAGCTTTTATTGTGGTTCAATGAGAAAACGAGAATAGCGTGAGTGTTGTAAAAGAAAAGAAAGTCGTTGGCGCATTGGAGTTAAAAGAAGGGACAACAGTTGACATATTGACTGGTACAAACAAGGGTCGAGTGGCCATCTGTAAAGCTACGATTTTAAAAGTTTGTGGTGAGTAAAAATTGCGATATTCGTTACGTGATCAAAATCTTAAAAGAATAGATGAAGCGGGTTGAATTAAGCTTACATAACACTTGGCGCAACTGAAACTAGAATAATTCTGAGAAT